TCTTAATTCAACTCTTTCATACATACTGAGTGAAACTCGTGAACTACATTTACACATCCACTCACTCCTACACCACTTCTTCTCGAGATCTAGTTCTTCTTCTTTTTGTTCTCTTCTCATGTTCGCAAAAAATGCCGGTAATGAAATGCGAGGAAATGGCGGATGTTCAGCTTACACGTTCCTTTTGGCAGACAGACGTGTCTACTTATCATATCATGGAAAAATTGTTGTCTGAGTGATGCTGATGATAACCTTGATGGGGAGAGTTTAAGGCCTGGCCAAGTTTACCATTTAGTAAAGTTAAAGGGCTCCAAATTCTATAAATAGAGTTTGAAACGAGTTGCGAAACAATTTTCTGGATTGAATTCACTCGAATCCATGCAATAATATTAAATCGGGCGATATCATCGCACTTTTAGGCAGCAAACTTGCTTTCGTAATGTGAGAAGTATCAATGTAAATCTTCAAGGATGTATTATTTGTATTAGATGCATAAATATTCAAGAGGATTAATCTGCAGTAAAGGATATGAGAATCTCATGATGAGATTAATGTCCAAGTGTATCTGTGCTTAACAAATTCAATTAACAGTTTATTATCAACTTCTGTTTGAAAGTCGAACGGAAAGTGTATGTATATCTGTAGACTCGCAAAATTAATATGGGCAGTCTAAATATCTTATCATCGCTCATACAACGGAATTATTATGTAATAAGTTTCAGAACTCAATATATTCAAATTTCCCATATTTGCACCCTTTTCTCATCCAATTTTAAACTTGGAGGAAACTCAATTCTTCAAATTAAGAAACTGTTGAGTCGTCCCGCATTGGAAACTTTTCTCATACAAACTTCACATCATCGGGAATTATTAAACCCACGAGTTTTTATCACACAAAACCCTCCCAACTTTCCCTAAAAATTACACCGAAAAGAAAGTACATATTATTATTTAGTTACCGAAATGCATCCCACACCAAACTTTCACCCTAAAATTTAAATCCATCTTCCGGTTTCTTAAGAAAAGTATAAATGTTCACGCTAAACCAGAGTGAAATCATCCAGTTTTTCATTCTTCTCCATTTCCATATTCTTACTTTAGAAGTGGGCCTCTTCCGCTTAAGAGGCCCACCAAGCTGATCTATGTATACACGAAACAAGACAAAAGCCAGTGGATTCTGTTTCACTAAAAATTTAGAATTCATTCTTTTTATTCAGAAAGTAATCGCTGCTGGCTGGTTGGCAGGAGACCAGAACAAGGACCACGAGAATGTGGGATTGCATAAAGTGCTTGTTCAAGTACCGTGAAGCAAATCCCTGCATTTGGAGAATAAGTTGACACTACAACAGGACAAATTTAGAATCAACCTCTAAATTTCTAAATTTTTATGATACTTATTTCACACTTTCACTCTCCGTTACATGCATCACATAAAATATATGAACTTTCCTTCTTTGTCCAAGCTTACGTAACAAGAATTCCGTGACTGCTGCATTCCCATTTATTTTTCTACTCGTTAAAAAAATCATGGAATTACATTAAGTTGCAACAGCCATAAATTATAACGTTTTTCATGCTGTATTGCACTCGCAGCATTTAAGTCATTTTTCATACTTTCCCAAAACCGTGTCCTTGCTGCAGAGTTTGCCTGCACTGCGTGAAGTGAAAGCGTTTATGAGTTCGGTAAGTAATAATAGGCTGCAAATAACTAAATATCACACAAGAAGTAAGTTTAACTCGTTGTGAAGGCTGTAACTTGTGCGTTTTGTCCACCAACCACGCAATCCGTAGTATTATTGCATACTCGTACCCATCCTCCACTTTCTCCCTCTTTTGTTCTGGGCAGTGTAGGATATTGCATTTTGTAAATGGTGCGTACCACATTTCACACACCACCAACACAACAATCTCACAAATAACAACGTCAGCATTTCGTTTTCCAACCGAGAAGAGAAAGTCATCCCGACAACAATAATAGGGAAGCGAGAAGATTTGATGTTTATGCGCGCAGCAGAAAAATGAAGATATGAGAAATGATTTGTTTTTATCGCTATAAATTTCTCCTCGTACGAGTTGACAATGACTGGAAAGGACAACAACACGCTACCAACTAGCACGTAGTACATATTAGACTGGGTCATAGTCTCAGACTTTTCATGCAAGTAGGTTAACGGTGCGTATGAGGAAATAAAGTGCTCGTAGTAATCTCCCTTCGAGGAGGCGGCAAAGACTCCTCATCTCGCATAACGTGGAGAGAGTGGGATCAGACGGAAGATGAATTGCTTCCTGCCCTTTCCAAATGTTGAATAAACTGCTGGGCTGGGTGCGACTTGGTCCCTTCTTTGTTGTGATTTCGACTTTACAAAATTAAAAATGAGAATATTTCGTAACTTGCTGTTGGGCGTTATATCATTTAAAATACGACGCCTGCATACTTACGTAACGGCACGATTAGTTCACTCAGGTGGTAAATGGGGATGGAGACCTTCGAAAAATGTAAATTTTGAACTGAATTAATGACAATGATTACACAACGACTGGTTCAACCTACAGTGAGCTAAAACTATCTGTTTGCCTCCTGTTTGTCTGTACATATTAGTCCGACTGCATCCTGGTTACGTATTACGTACGTAATAACGATGCCGATATGTATCTTGTGGAGAAATAAAGTAATTCAAGTTATTTAAACGAGCAATAAGTATCCCCAACCTATTTACACAGCATTAGAACTGTCTGAATTCATTTGATAGGTTAATAACTCAGGGAAAGTTGTTGGTTAGTTTGTTGGTCTGGTTGGTGGTAAACCGCATTTGGACAGTGAGAGTGGAAACTGTTTTGTGTGTGGCAAAGTTTTGCGGAAGAGGATCCGTGGTGGAATCTACGAGGTAGGAATGGAGAGGAATCCAGAATTTAATTCAAATGATCGAATTTAGATAGGAATGTAATCCCCTTCATTATTTGCTCTCGTACGTACGCCGTCCAATCAATTTCCCCAACCGAATATCTGAGGGAATGGAATATCCCCTGTTTGTGACCGCGACGCAATAATATGCATGCACTACCTATTTTTAGATCAAGGGATTATTATAATCTGCGAGGGAAATGCACTTTTTCATTAATAAAATGGTTTCGGATTCCACTTTCACTCACTCACTTGCTTAATTTATTATGCACAAAGTATCTGCATGAATCAAGTGTGAGAAACTTTTAAATTTTTGTTTGATAATTAAGTACTGGTGACTGGAGAAAGCACGTGCAATTAATTCAACTCGTTTAGTACCCACCGTTTTACGTAATATTTACGAAATACTTACCAAACGTGAATAACCCATTCTGCCCTTTTATTGCGTAATTGTAAACCAGCATACGATTTTAATGGTGCAGACTACATACATAGCACATTGCGTATGGTGCATGGGGCATTCAAAATTAAGAGTACTTGTGTTGTTAATAATGGTCTTTCCAGTGTTGGAGGTAAGCAAAGTAGTCATGACTGACTTTAGCAAAATACGTACATGATTGGGGTGGTCTCTGCCAAGTGAAAGTTTTATTGTGACAAAGCAAGCAAGCTAACCAACCAGCTAACAACGGAGACTGTTACACTTTCAACGGGAACTCTTGGACCTTGCAAGATAAACAAACACGGCTTGATTTAGAAGGAAACTTGTGTCAGATAAGTTTAAAATATGCTAAATCGTTTCTTCCTCTGAGGGAATTATTTAGCTCAAACTTTAATTTAGCACAGCCACCACTCTCTCTCACTCTCCGTATTTTCTTAATTTGTCAAGTCGTGTATCTAGTTCTTTTCGTTGTTGGTTGGAATGAATTTAGTTTCCGCGATCCAAAATTCTTATTCCCGAGTCGTTTTGGTATAAATAGTCTAAAGTAGCAATTCGTCCTTTGCCCTTTTCGCACCGGAAGTTCCGTTTCCAATTTTTCTCACTTGATACTGAATGGTGCCTAATGGAGCTGAGATCCAACCAGTTAAACTAAGACCAAAAAAGACGCTGAGGAAGCTACTTACTACTTTCTTCCCGCTTTCTCCTGCCCATCAGAGCTTGCTCAAGGAGAACACGTACTTAGGAGTTTGTTACGTACTTGCCAATTTATTCGTAGCATGTGATGAATACTTGCTACGTTATAGTTTGTGGTTATATGGCTCAAGTAACGTAATTTTTTTCCCTGGACGCGTAAATAGAAAGTCCAAAAGTTCACGACGATACTGGTAATAATGTATAATACATATAAATTTATTTAGTATAAAATATCAATTTGCCCCAACCCACCCACCCACGCGTAAAAAATGTCTTTGGGCCTATCCGTGTCTAGCATTATCTGTTTTCGGTGGTAAGAAATGCTGTAAAAATAGCAGAAAATCGTTATCTAGTATTTATTCCGACAACGTCCCATGTCGATTTCCTAAACTCATTTTGCTGTAACATCGCCACATCAACCAAGGGTTCGTACAAGGCCGGGGAAAAAGTGTGGATTGGCGATGTGTAGGTACTCACTTTTTTAGTTGCCTAACTTTTCTCCAATTTGGGTGAGCAGAGAGTTTGTCTGCAAAAGTTATTAATTTTCCCTCATTCGGTCCCAGTTATAGGGTGAAAGTTGGTCACAATGCAATATAATTGGTACAATAGCATCGTCATAATTGCAATTAATTCTATTTATATTCTGCACACATTTAAATTATTTCGTAACACTAATCATACCCTTGAGATCTACCAGTAAAGTATGTAAAACTTAATGAAAAACTTAAATTGTGTAATCAACTGATTACGCAAGGGCAATCTAAGACATATCAAGAAACAGAATACTAATTTGATTTTGTAGGATCTGAATCGAAAGTTGACATTTTATTTTGTTTATTATGCACCATTTCCAAATTAATTGTCATTCGGACAACATTGTGAAAATTAAGCAGGAATTAATTGTCTTATGGACAACTGAGCAGATAAGCGTGTGCCTTATCTTCAAATGTGTGTCCTTGTGCGTAGGTGGGCTTTTTGATGTATCCGACCGCTTTGAGGAGACAGCTTTTCGACACGCGTTGGAGAGAGTAAACGAGGATCAGAATGTATTGCCCCGCTCCAGACTAAGTGCCCATTGGGAGCGAGTACCTTCAAACGATTCTTTTCATGCGAGCAAAAAACGTATGTTATCAAAATTGTCCATATTTCATTCAAAGATTGCGTGTGCCAATAATACAGATAACCGACTAAACCATTAGGATGGGTCGACTCGATCAGATTTATGACCTTTATATTGAATAACAACAGCAAAAATTACTGAACTTTCTCTTTTTCCTCAGCCTAAAAAGATGCACCGTTTTCTTCCCCTCCACACTTTTTCCCTCATTCTTAAAACTTTCTTTTCTTACACGGTGATGATGATGTCTCTGCTATCTCTTTCTTCACAGCTAACAAGTTAACAGACAGACAGATATGTTTTTTCCTGCCTTTTCGTGGTGTGAGACCCGTTCCTTTCTCCCGTATAATGTAACAAACGTGTGCTTAACACAGTCAACTTTCTCTGCACACACACCTAATTCATTCTTTTATCTCGTATCTCATCTATCCATCTACTTCTCCCTGAGAGAAAAGGGGAAGACCTTCTTCTCTCCTCAACTTTCCCTTCACGCTTGTCATTTTAAATCAGTAGTATCCATTAAATTCTGCTGACTGACGACTTTGTTCATTCACAAGTATGCCTATTTGCATGTAGAGTTATGCCCTTTAGATGTGTGGGGTGGTGGTTTTGTTTATACTGTGGTTTTAGGTTTGGTGGTTTTTATGTATTTTTACAAGAACTTGATCCTTTGCTGGTTTGGATTGTAAAAAATTTAAGAGTTTTTGGATATTTTTAGAAGAGTTTCCAATTTTATGGGGACAAATATACAAACAAGTTTGCGTAAGGTTTAGTACCGTTTTTATTATTGTGACGGAATTCTCTGCGTGTATACATATTCGTAGCTCAAGGGTTAACAACACTTGTCTCTGTATAGTAATTGTGAAACATGACTGTTTACTCGGGTTATGCAATTAACGAACATTCTGGTACACTTGGGTGTTAATCAAGGACTAATTAATGAGACAACCGCATAAATCACACACGTGACTTTCACTACCTTCATCGGCTGCAAAGCAGAGTTGAAAGTGTCAAGTTGAGATTTACGACTGTCTGCTGCTGCTACCAAAAGTGCGTAGAAATTCTGTTACTTGTTCACTTGAGGATGCATTTTATACACAGTTTATCACAATTTATACGTATTTAGTAGGCAGGTTATAAATAGGTACGTGCAACATAAAATATTTAACAGCACTTTCTCCCGAGGAAGAAAAGTTCCCACCTTTTATTGCCGTCAATTGCCAAAAGTGTTGTGATTCTTAAGTTCCTACCCCACAAAATGCTTCCTTGATCAGGACAACATTAAAGTCTTTTATTATAACCAGAATCTCCCATTAATTTCCAAATTTCTGTTTTATTAGCATCGTCTGCTGCTCCTTCATGTCCATCCACTCCAAGTTGATTAACGTTGCACGCAGCAGCAGACAGACAATTGCGAAGCGGCGGGTCGTAAATCCAGTATGCACTCGTATTCTGCTCGCTAAATTCATTTTGTTAGGTCGGACAACTCGAGAAGAAGCACAGAGAAGAAGTAATACTTTTAGTTTTAAGTGGACCATCAATATCAACCATCTATCCATTCACTCTTCTTCTTCTTTGTCGATAACATTCCACAGCCAACCTTTTGATTAGTTCGCTGCGGTCGCTGCTGAAAGAGACGGAGAAACGATGCGAGTTTGACTTTATGTTTGAAGAGCGTATTCTCTCATTCTCATTCCCTGCCAGTTTTAGGGAGATCATGTTTAATGAGGACGCTTGAAATGGAGCGCGATACTAAAAACCGTGGAGTAGTAAGTGCCCAAAATGGAGGAATGTTCTGACTTTCCAATCTCGATTGTAAAACTAGAGATACAACGGGAAATGCAATATGCTGGTAGGAAATAAGCGTAGAAAGGGTTGATAGAGATGTTGAGAAAATAGGGATAGATAACGATGACGAAATTGCCAAAATGTCCGGAAATGGGGACCAACTCTTTCTTTCCGTGGTTTGTTCTCCACTCTGTTCGGAGATGTTCTTCATGTCCGACGACCGTTTATACTTTCTCCTTGAAAAGCCCAGACAAAGCGTTTCGTTGGCGTCATCACCCATGTAGCGATAATATGACAAAGTGTAATGTAGCCTTATTGTCACCGAGATTTGGGTTGGTCGTTGGTAGAAAGTTTGTCTGCGAAACCGACAAATGTCCAAATGGACTTTGTTCCCCGGATATCCTCCTGTCTGAGGATAATATGGGGCAAAATATTGCCAAGCATGTCAAACAGAAATGGAACGGACAATAATAATTTGCATGCAAAGAATTTCAAACAGTAATAAAAAAGAATAACTTGCTTTCATTTATTATGCTTGCATGAAAATAGTGTACAATGATTGAACCAAGTCGAAAGTCGTAAAATTTGAAAATTGATAACTTTCTTTGACCGCTTGAGTTGTAGAAATATGTAAATATTTGCCAATTAGGTATTTTGTGTCAACAAACTAACTTTTTAACGCAAGTCTCCTATTATACATACACAAATATCTTTACCCATATTTACCCAATGTCCGTCTCGACTACTAATTAAAATTAATTTCATAATATCCAAACGCAATAAGTAAGTATGGATATGAAATCAATTTAGTTTGTCGAGTACTGAATGACGGGGTGGCCGCAATTATTGGACCCCAGAGTCAAGCATCAGTAAGTCATGTCCAATCCGTCTGTGATGTCGTGGGAGTGCCACATGCTGAAACGGTGGCAAATTACCGGTCAATAAGGGGAAATTATGGCATCAATTTATACCCACATCCAGCTGTGCTTACAAGGGTACGAAATTAATTATTCAACCATTTTTTTCTTAGAGGTTCGGAAACTTTTTTTCTGTTAGTTCAAAATATTATAAAAAATTTATTTATTCCATGAAATCGTGCTAGATTTCCTATGTCCACGTGGCATTTCGGAATCCACTGACCAATTTCTATCCCCTATAATTTGTCCATCTATATATAGAATGAACTAGATCTTTGTCCTCGCAAAATTAGAGTGTCCCCTCCAATCTTGTCTTCCAACTAGTCCACCAACAACCAATCTTCCTAATTTCCTTTGATACAAGAGTACTGGTTTGGTCACAATGCCAAACTCTGCATACCCAAACTCTCCTCTTGAAATGAAGGGAAGTCCTCCTAGCGTAGCCTAAAAATTGGTCAAAGACGATAAAAACCACGTCAAACTGTATTCATCTCGTAATTGGACCATCCACATAGAAATATATCGCAATTCACTGTCAAACAACGGGATACACTTGAGTTGTGGAGCTCACATGCCATAAAAGTAGCGAAATACATAATCCAAGAGAGAGGGAGAAAGCGGAGCGGAATTAATGCGGCCTGGCGTGGTGGTCACTCCACCCAAGGGAGGAAGACTGACTTTCACCAAGCTCATCCATCTCTCCGCTGCTACCTCTCATGTTCTGAATTATAGAAAAGCTCTGTTCTTTTGAGCCAAATCCCTTGTCAACATACGTGGCTGTTGTGCTGGCTGGCTTGGCTCCACCGTTTTTGGCTCCCTTATTTATTCCAGCCAGTGGAACCGTGGTCTTTAATTTTCTCTGGATTTCTGAAGTACTTGCATGAATCCCAATAAGTCTCGTCGTCTTCTAAATGTTGGCAGAATTGTACTCTTACCGGAAACTTCAACCAACAAGACCAACTTGAGAAAGAAGTTTCCGAATCTCAAGTTGCAAAAATATTTTGTCAAATGATACATATCATCTTTAAAATGTGTCATGAATAGGCTTATGCCGACGTAATCACGGCGTGGGGCTGGGAAAAATACATAATTATTTATGACGACGATGAGAGTTTGATTAGACTTCAAGGTAAGTTAAAAAAAGTAGGGTCGTTTAAGAATTTTATGTTATTGCACCGCTTTTACTTTGCTTCCAAGATATTTTAAAAGACTCTGAACCGAGTAGAAGACAAGTTTTCGTGAAACAACTTCCTCCAGATGGTGATTACAGGTACATAAATAAATCCTGTAACACAATTTTCAGTCAAAAGTATTCTATGTAAGCATACATAACTCTCGTTTCAGACCATTGTTCAAAAGTCTCACGAAACAGTCTGATATATCAAACCTGATATTGGATTGTGATACTGCAAAGCTTCCCAAAATATTTGAAGATGCAGAAAGCACAGGGTAATTAAAATGCGTGGTCAATTAAAAATTAGTTTATCCATTTAAATCTAAATTCTTCTCAAGGATGCTGAAAGACAAAAAGTATTTTTTAACTTCATTGGTAAGTTGAATCAGGTCAGATCTCTTATCAGAGAGTTGGTGAATCTGACCATAAATTACTGGCGTAGGATATCCATGCCCTGGACCCAGAGAGGTTTGCAAACATGGACATCAACATCACATCTCTGCGACTTGTGGACCCCACAAAGCCAAAAGCTCAATCAATTATCACCCAATGGCAGAACATTGTTATTTATGGATTTCCAAACCGTACTTACTCGTCTCATTACTTTGTCGACGAGTACTCCTCGTTTCGAAGCAGAGGACCAAAAACAGCAGCCTCGTCGAATGATCGCATAGAACCGCTGCCAAACGATGCTATTTTGGTAAGCTCGAAAGTTTAATTCGTATTTACTTCTCTGTGTGTAGCAGCAATCCTACCGAAATTAAGCGGATTATTACGCTGTTTATTCTATATACTTGTAAAACAAAGGAATGAGATTATGAAACACAATTATCATCCCACAACAAACACGGAAACTACTTTATTGCGGCAGAAGAGATAATATTTTTAGCTTTTATTAAGACATAAATAGACCGTTAATGACATTTTTTGTGCATTCCATTCTAATTTTTCTATATCACTAGTGGATTATACGTAGTATACGGAAGTGAACTTGAAGAAGATACGTCTTATCCAGCATCGTTGTCATGCTGCACGACCATCACCAAGTAAAATGATTCAGTTCAGCTCTTCCAACTTACTGAAGTTTAGGCATTTGACGACGATGGGTCCACTTCGGGGCCGGGCTATTAAAGTAATTAATGTGTTTCTTTTACGAAACTAGACTCGCATGCACCAGTTTAATGAGACTTTCTTCGCCTTTCATTTTCTCCCTCGGTCTTCTCCATATAAGTGAAAGTCTAGCAGAAAACTGTACCGAATCCGGATTAGTTATTAGATCCACTACTTATTACTTCCAGCCAAATGCTACATATCTACAATTTGTCTGGCCAGATGCACTATGGTCATAAGTATGTAGTGACATTTAATTTATAGCTGTCTGCCACGTATAATGTTGAGAAGGGAGGGAATATTTTGAGACGGAATGCATTATGACATTATTGTTGTGTAACTCTTGTCGTCATAAAATGCAAGCTTTATGTCCTGCGTTCCCATTCGTTATTATTGCATAATTAGATATACAGCACCGCACAACAAATAGCAAACCTCAGAGCAAATACTTTCACCAAGGGAAAGAGAAAGCTGATAAATAATTGAATTATTTCCTCCTATTTATAAATGGGACATGTTATTTATTGCGAATAGCATGATCTCATTCACTTAAGCGTGGTGTTTATCTGAATTTGTGGGATTCGCAATTTTCGAGAAAAGCTATAGAATCACAATAAGATTCGGTCGGATTGTTGCTGTGCTGCAAACTCTTTCCCCATTTGTTTAGGAAGAAGAGGGACATGTTGTGTAATTGATTTTCTTGCAATGTCACAGACGAAAGCGGCCTTAATGTATGATGCCGTGGAGTTGATTGCGAGAGGGCTTCATGCTCTGGACACCAGCCAGTTTCAGCAGCAGAGGATCGACTTGAAATCACTTAATTGTAAAAAAGAGACCACGTGGGGACCCACGGTGCTGGAGGCCATTCGAAAAGTGAGTTTCGTAACGCACAGCTTGAAAAGTATTCTGAGAGAGAATAAGCCATAAAATATTTTATATTTCGAATACGCGAGAGAGAAAGAAAATTGGGTGGTCATGTTATATTCACATTTTCTCACTCACTCACTTTCTCTTTAATAGACAATGTTCGAGGGGGTTACAGGGATTGTGGAGATTGACCCCACTACCGGATTTAGAAATCAAGTACAATTCGACGTGATGGAACTTACGCATAAGGTGATTTCTCTTTTATGACGGATTTCTCAAACCCAATCTGCACCAACTTATTATTGGTTCGGGTCCAATAAAAAAATGTGCTTGGATAGAAATTGAGCATATGAAGGCAAGGCTGAGGAGTATTTTTAAGACTTTTTTTATAAAAAAAATGGTCAGGATTTGAGAACTTTCTTCTTACCTTTGCCAGGTATCATATGTTCTATTTCGAAGCATATTTTTGCTATATATATCCGATTGGTTTATTAGTTTGGTCAGGTCCCGTTCTCATTTTATGAACGTTCAATCTTTCTCCATTTGCCCATGAGGGTTAATTTCTTGTCACCCATACATATACGAAGGTGCGCCTGCCATGATAATGCTGCTGAGGCCAGGATAAAGTCCACAGTTTAAAAGAAAGTCAGACGAAACCCGCTTCTTAACCGATCACGGAGTAGCAAAGTCTTTAGTTGAATATGCTCGAAACACATTAGTCAGCATTAACTAAGCAGTCGATACTTTCTCCAAATTCAGCTCTTTTCGTATACCGTGATTTCCGATCCTTTCACCCGTCGCAGTCAAGCAGCAGCATCAGTGTCCTCATTTTGAACAATAAACAAACTAATCCTCTACAAGTTTCGACTTTTGGTTGAGCTGAAAAAGATCAATTTATTACGCTTCTAATTCTTTCTAGTTAGTCGGTTGACTGGTGAGAATTCAGAAATTCAAGCGAAATCAGTGATTTACTAACAACTATTTTCTCATTGACCAAAATTTAGACTGGTTTGGCGAAAATCGGAATGTGGGACTCTCGCCGACAAGGTGACAGACTCACTTGGACACGAACAGCTGAAGAAACGCTGAGAAAGCAAGAGGAGGATTTAAAGGACAAAACTTTTATCGTGGTGACGAGACTGGTAATATTATGGTTGTCCTCAAATTGGTAAACTTGTCCTCATTCAAACCAGAACCACAGAGTAGTTCTGTTGATTTTTTCCACTCCACTCTAACTAGCGGACTACTTATGTAGTTCTGTGGATATTTATACTGTCAACTCTCGAGAACTTTCTCTGAGGAGAAGTTATGTACTATCAACTCACGGATCTCGATGCCCTTTGGATATGTTATAGTGTACCATGAATGAATAAGAACCCCGAAGTAGTTTAATGCCATGATCTCATTTGCGCCTTCCACACCCAATAAAAGGTGCTAAAAATCGGAGAAAGTAGCGCTTTCACTCATTAAAATCTACCCTAAAAATCCAATTTTACTCGGATTTTGAAATTCCGTGTACCTTTGTACTCCCAGTTAGTTGTTTTCTTATATCCAACATCAAACTCAACTTTTTGAAATTTTTAGTATTTTTAAAATTTAAATTGTCGTAGGTAATAAACAACGCAAATATTGCTCCCAAATAATCATAAAAAAAGTTGAGTTTGATAATGGATATAAGAAAACAACTATCTGTGCGTATAATGGTGTACGGATTTTCAAAATTCGAGTAAAATTGGGGTTTAGTCGTGGACTTGAATAAGTGAAAGCACTACTTTTTCCGCTTTTTTGCACATTTGAGTGAATGTGGCGAGCTCTAATGTGGCCATAGCATCAAACTACTTGGGTTTTTTTGTTCATTCATGTGACACTATAACATATCCAAATGGCATCGAGATCCACGAGTTGACAGTACATAACCTCTCCTCCTAAGATTTCAGACAAATAAACGTTGTTAAAGTCACATTTTTGTTGCGCATATAGGGCGATCCATATGCAATGTATGACGCAAAAACGGGAAACTATTCGGGATTCGTAGTCGACTTGGTGAGCGAGTTGGCTAAGGAGATGCACTTTAAATTTATAGTGAAGGAAGTCAGTGATGGAGGTTATGGTGGGTTGTAATCTATTTACTACAAAATTATTACGGTTCACACTTCCTTCCTGACGTGTAATTAGGTGGTTTGGATCGCAAAACGGGACTGTGGAATGGAATGATTGGCGACATTCTTTCTGGGGTAGGACATGTAGCTTTCACTCGATAAATACTTGGTCTACAGGAAAAATGCATTTATTCCTGTCAAGGAAATTGATATTGGGAAGACTTTGGGTGCTGCATCTTTTTGCAGTAAATAGACAAAGTTGTCCTCCTCGTCGCTGAATAAATCGTGCCATGAAAGGCCCTCGATAGCGTTTTCCTTGACAGGAGATTTGTCCAACCAAAATTTGTTCAATGACAGAAACGATTTATTTTTCTCTACTAACTGACCAAGACGAGTATTTATGTATTGTTCACAGAGAGGGGACCTCGCAGTTGCTGATTTGACCATAAGTCCGGGCGGGCCGTTCATAAATTACGTAACGCAAAAATCGCGATTTTTGCGTTACGTAATTTCTGGACGGCCTCCTATAAATCCTACACACATTTATATACATATAAAACGTGTTATGGCTGTGTATAACACGTTTTGCTTTCTTTAGACCACGATCGTGAAGCTGCCGTCGATTTCACAAGTGAGTATTATATAGTCGTCCTTGATTAAATTAGGTTTCCCTTTCCTCAATTTTTTTCCTATTTCTATTTTCCCCGATTTATTCTATCACACTTTACGCATAACGATTTGTATGCTTGACGCGCATTCGTTTGTGCGTGGGGTTCGGTTGTGTGGACAGGAAACTTTAGAATTAGTTAGAATTGGGAAGAGAAAGTTGTTGGAGAAAGTGATGGGCTTGTATTGCATGGCCCATTGGGATTCGATTGACAAGCAGGGACGCACTCCGATTCTGAGATTTTGATGGATTTTTATTATGAATTGTGCAGTGCCTTTTATGAATCTTGGGATCAGTATTTTGTACAAAAAGCCGAAAAAGGAACCTCCAGGTAAATAGTAATTCATTTATTTATGTAAGTAGACAATAGTAATTACATATAGATATATAAATACTGCATAATGGTCCAATTAGAAAACATATCATATAGTACATTTGAATATATAGAAAATGTACAATTACAACAATTTTACGAAATCAATACAAACACGGTCAATACAAATAAGATTTAAAAAATAATCTCCGGTTTCCCGTCTATGATGAGCAATGGTTGCACGTTGACGTTGAGTTTCAACCCGGTACGCATGGCGAATACCATGTCCAGCAATTCAGGATATTTGACGCTGTTACAGTGTTGGTCAATCTGCTCAATAATGGGACGAATGTGATGACCATATTTCTTCAACTTGATTATAGTGGAGAGGCTTCCTAAATATTCAGCCTGGAGAGCGGTCTTTTCCATCTCATCCGTGTCATCCAAAATTTCTTGAAACAATGGGACAATCGTGTGTTCCAACCCCGTCAGAGCCGTCTTCTTATTAGTTCGGTGCGCGATGCTCCCAAATCCTGTCATATAGTACGTTGTTGTTGATTTTGCGCCGTCGTAAATTCCTCCTTCTTCATCATGCCCTTGGTAGCTGTAAGGCAGGGTTTTGACAATTTTGTCTTGTGGTGGGAAATAGTGGGTCGGTCGGAAGTCGTACTCGGGAGGCAGTGGAGAAGTGGAGAACTTCAACCCATTCTTTTCGACGAATTGGAGCACCTCGTCCCAAAACTGAGAATCCGCCCCCAAAAAATGAATGACTTTTATCTGTAGAAATACTTGGTCCGCCAGTTCTGCACAGGCCGAATTATGGAAATGGACCAAAAGTGACGTCCCGACCTAAACAATTACAAATTATTCACATAACAATAACGACATGTATTGATAGAAAATTAAGCGAGTTTATAAATAATGATTTGACTTACACTAATTACACTATAATGTCGTGTTGCTTGTGTGGTTTTCATTGGGAGGGACTGGTCAATCTCGAACCAAAACGGGACCATATTCTCCCACGTATCCGGATACTCATCTTTCATCACCTTCACTCTGTCGGTCATGTACCTGTCCAAAGTATGATTCGAAACACGTGTCCACGGGTTCCTCACGTACTCGTTGATGTCCTCCTCCGTGTAAGTGGTCATCTTGAGAGCTGGGCGGAATACTACGATGTTAGGATTGGTGTAATTTTTCACATCTCGGAGTAACATGACCTCCTCAGTCTTCTCGGAGTGTGGTCTGCAATATCCAATGACTTTATCCTGAAGCACATAATGACAGATTTAAGTAATTATCTACATAACATTATTACAAACACAAGTTAGTTAATTTACTTTTGACATGGACCAGCAAGATTTAACGGTACAGATTTTTTGGCAAGCTCCCTCTCCTTTTTTATTGCTCCACGTGAACTCTTGCCCTTCAACCTTTACTTTGAAGTAGACATTGGTGCCTTTGAACCACCTCACCATTACGTCCTGACCGTTGTGCTGAATCCTAGTCACCGTTCCGTCGCTCCGTTGCAAACTGCAGACGAGCTTTGATGGATCGTCTCCTATCTCTGTCATCATGGCGAGAAATTGAGGTGATGAGTCCATGTTCATATAAGTTTCACCCGGCTGCTCGCCCCAACGAAGATGAGCTTTAAAAGCTTTGAAAATGGACATTGCCACGCCCTCCGGCCTCCCAGACCACAGTTCTTCACGTTCTGTTTAAAAATATAACATGTCGAGAAAATCAGTTGTATGTACATAATTAGTACATGAATAATAATAATACTGGAGGGGAAATGATAAATAGAGAAATGTATCAAATCAATTCATAAATGGTATAAATGTGATAGTAACAAAATAAATACATTTTTCTTACCTACTAAATCCAGCTGAACTGGGTCATCACCGTGTAGAACGGTCACTTGGAACGCGAGTCCTTGGGGATCCTCACTTTGAAGTGCTAATGGGACTTTGAATTCTAGCGACCGACCCTTGTATTGTAGCAAAACGTGACTTTTATTTGGTGCAGTGGTCGTGGGTTTGCATTTCTTGGTCGGAACAGCCTTCTCGCTCGCTGTCCCCTCTATTTTTCTGCCTTTCCCGGACATGACGACAGAGTAAAAATATCGAAATCACTAGACAATTGATCCTTCGAACTGAGAATGACTGACCTCTTCGACTGCCAGAAATGAAGTGGTTGTCGAATAGAGAAGGAATCTAATATTTAGTTTCTAAGGCGTCCCCACGCCACGCTCACATCAGGTGATATTGAGTAAAATGTCCAGAAATAGATTTCTTATCACTAAATAACTTTAGACGCGTCCTTCGTTCCTTTTTCGCGTCACAATATTTCCACAATGCAGAATATTGTTAATAGAAATTAAAAAGTGCTTTTTATCTAAAACCTGCAGAACTCTTCTCGTTTCTTCAGCCATTTTCTCCCGATATCTGGATTTACATGGTTTGTCACAAAATACACTCATATCATGTCTCACCTACGTTAAAATTTTCTCTATCTCCATAAACCTAGGCTACAGCATTTCTCGGAGTATCGCTCATTCTCTTTGTTTTAGCCAGGTAATAAATAACGTCAAAATTGAATTAAAGATAACCAGAGCACCAAAAACCTCACACTTGCCACTGTTTCTGCCAAAATGATCAACACAAAAAATTAAGGTTATTTCTTCTCCACAAAAGTCTATTTTTAGGGAACTCGTTGTGTTAAAAAAATAAAACAAAGTGAGCTTTCGTAGCGAAAAAATGCTTAATAAATAATATTATTTTTTTGATTACTTCTTGAGCTTTCTGTCGTAGATGACATTTAAGTAGAACTGTTTCAGCTGTGTGACATATTTTATATTTTCCTTCATTCGTTCGTTAGTACTGTATTTTGTTAACGTCGTGTCCCGTAAGTAAGTATGTAAATAAGTACCAAAATAACTTTCTCTTTTAGCAGTATTACCGCACACAAAATAATCCTGTTAGCGTCTGTCTTGTCGTTTAGGTTAACATTTTTTTCGTTTAGCTATATTTTCACTTGTACGTAAAGGTTTTCGCCGATGGAGTGGTCTGAACCACCCCCTTGCAGTCCAGAATATGGAGAAATTCTCGAAAATCAGTTCAATTTGGTTAACTCGCTCTGGTTCTCACTCGGCTCCTTGATGCAACAAGGTTGCGACTTTTTGCCAAAGTAAGATCATCAGTTGGACAAAAAATCAACAAATTCGTCTCGATTTTTGTTACATACTTATCATCATCATTATTATTATTACATCTGATTTCCGTTATTTACACAAATGGTTGTTTTGTGTGTGCTTGCACTTTTAATAAAATAACACCAGTGATGAACCAGTTCCCTTTTTTACCCAGGATTTTTGTACCCCAGCCAGAAAAACGACTATGTATGTCCATTTAACCTGTTGTTGAAAAATGATGGCAGAAGCATCTTGGCATGAAAAATGAAAAATAATGTGAATGCGTCAATTAATTGACTTGAATCCTGTGTTATTTTTCTGCATTTTGAAATTGTGCCTCTCTTCCTGTTCCGTGTGTAGGATGACACCGTACGAATGGGTAATTTTTACAATTAATTCATGAAATGACCCACCCATTAAAAGATAAGTGGGTCATTGTCCTTACATTCTCAAGGTCTCATCCCATCCCTGCATAAAAGACCCAGACGAACTCGAAAACAACTTGACATTGACAAACAGTTTGTGGTTCAGGTTCGACCATAGTTTTAAATTTATTTTGATTACAATTTACAAAATAAAAATAAAAATACGATTCGTTTTCTTCATGGAAATTCTAAATTATGATCGAACTTGTACATAGTATCGGATCCCTCATGCAACAGGGTAATGTCACTCACATTAAGCTAATCAATCAAAAAATTAAATGATTTAAAATTTCTACTTCAATTTATTTAAAGGAAGCGATATAGCCCCTCGGTACGTTAATAAAATAGATACCCAGAAAATCTATTTATTCCTATTTTCTACTGATTTGCTCGTAGTAAAAGTATCAGATCGGTAGTAGTGGTAGGAACAAATTAGTCAAACCGTAACATAGCCTTGCTTGAAAGTAACTGCATTATTATTCCCTATTTGCTAACCATAATTAAAATTAGTAGCGTGGTGTTGTGAATACATGGAACATATGTATGCACCGTTTTTTGACCCTGGATGATTTTTATTTTTTTTATTTGTAGCGCTTTTTAAAAATAATTTATTAAGAAACAAAAATGTCGACAAGTTGAAATGTAAATTAATATTCTTTACTTGGTGATGAAGGGCGATGTCAACGAGATCCGTTGCAGGTATGTCGAACCCCATAACCCACACGCAAATGAGAAACGCTTCTTAAATTACTCGATAATCTTCATATCCATCAAAATGCTTGACTTGGCAGGAATGTGGTGGTTCTTTACGTTGATCATGATCTCATCCTACACTGCCAACGTATGCTCAAGATATTTGTTATACATGCATTAATAAATCCTGTAAGTCTATTTATTGTCTCGTATTTAATTTACTCGTCAGTTGGCCGCCTTCTTGACAATGGAAGGTTTTGAGGAAGGAATCACGGATGTTGCGAGGTTAGGAAGCATTCAATTCATGGATTTTAAATAAATAATTTTCACAGTTTGCACAACTTTCAGTGATAAATTTCCTTACATTCATGTTACGTATTTTTATTTCAATAGTTTACCAACGCAGAGTAAAGTAAAATATGGATGCCTTGAAACGGGAACGACGGCGAAATTTTTTCGGGTAACTCTAATAAAATAAACATATTAAATAACCTTCACTCACACATTCCAGTTACTTGAACTAGTTATCTAAAGTTGTTTACTTTGGATACATTTTTAATAGAAAAACATGCATAATATTTACTTAAAGAGCGAATATTTATAACGTAAATTTGACTTGCACATTCATCACGATAAAAATAACCTGGACACGAAAAATGGACAGCATAGTCTTTGCTGAAACTAAATACTACAATGGCCGAGGAAGGGGTGCTATCATGTAACCTTATTTGTGCCAGCTAGCCTAACCCATAGCGGGATTTTGAGAAAGATAGGGTTGAAAACATGGCTGAAATACTTTAAATTCATGTTCTCCTTTCACCTGTCAAGATGAAGATAGATACAAAGTCTTTCTCATGACAAATAATTAATGGTTGCGAAACGAAAGTGGGGTTGATGCCAACATTTCGTATGTAATACACCTCTCTCTCTCTCCTTTTAGATCTTCATATTCCGAGACATAAGAATAGTATTTACTAGTGGGCCATTTTATTTTCCTTATTTACATAGTACTACAGAATTTTGAGGCTGGTTGGCTCGTACGTCAATTTGATTTAGGCCTAAAAAACAGGACAGATACTTTTTAACTCAACTTATTGTGCCCGGAATTAATACGCAGTTAGAACTTGTTTTCAGTTCCTGTATCACATTCGTGTGTTGTTGTGTTTGCCAAAGAATTTTAATTGGAGCGAGCGTCGCTTCAGAGACATTTGGAACAAAGGGAATTGTTATATGTTGTGTTACTCTTTGCGAAATAATATAAAAAATGTGTATCTCAAATGCATAGGAGTCATCATTTCCGCTATACAAGGAAATTTGGAACAGCATGGCCAACATGAAACCTTCACCTTTTGAGAATAAAAATTCTGACGGGATCAAACGTGTCAATCAGTCGGCAGGAACTTATGCATTTTTCATGGAATCCGTTAGTATTGAGTATCACACTCAGCGAGAGTGGTAAAATGTTTGCATGATAAAAATGCTTATATAAGATCCCTACTTATCTACGTCTAAATATTTTTTAGTTCATTGACTCAACTTGGTGGGTTGCTTGATTCAAAGGGATATGGCATCGCTCTAAAGAAAAGTAACTTTCACTTGGTTTAATTGTCGTCCCTAATAAAAAATTGATTTTAATACATATATCTCATAATTGTAGACTCGAAATATCGAGAAGCCTTCAACAGCAAGGTGGGTGTTTAAATCGTAGGTTATCACACGATTTACCTTAAATACTTGATAAAATTCTAGGTTTTGGAGTTTGCGGAGAAAGGTTTACTTCAACAGTTGAAGCATCGTTGGTGGGTGGAATATGGGGGTGGACAATGTCCGGTACGTATTTACGACTCATCAATAACGACATACCTACGTTAATAATTAACCCATAATTAAATATCCAGTCCGTCACGGTGTCAAGTAGCGGTGCAAAGCCGTTGACCATGGCGAATGTGGGTGGTGTCTTTGTCGTCCTGCTGGGTGGTTGTGTATGTGCAACGTTAATGGCAGTGATAGAATTTCTCTGGAAATCTAGAAAGCTCGGGAGAAATGAGGATGTGAGTTGTTGCAATTTTATATATTTTTTGAAATTTTGTGTGAAAATTAACCGAGTGTGAGTAAACAATATTGCATCTACTTACAAAAATATTTATAGAAACCGAAACCACGTCGAAAAATTCCTAGACAAAGGACGGTGGTAACAATTAACGAAAATGAGATTTTCTCGCGTTAAAGTAAACCATTGACGTCAACTAATCACTAAAAAAGTTATGCAAGTATTACGATGCATATTATATGTTACCGTGTGTGTACCATGCAGGAAAATAAGTTTGACGAGATGGTGAAAGAACTCCGATTCGCATTACAGTGCCAAGGGGACAAAAAACCTGTAAGTGTACATAAAATGTTGTAGAAAAATGTCATATTATCATTTTTACTATGCACGTTTTATGATTATTCACCAGGTAAAAAAGAGCAAACCACCCACGCAAAATCCCAGTCTGGCCGGAAGCACCCCATATTTGCCGTTCGCGAAAAAAGATCCGTCCGAATAGTTCTTATTATTATTAAACCGACAAAAAATTATCGTTTAAACGTCAAACTGTATTTTTACCCTTATTTCTTTTGTCACAAATGCCTTATTACAATATTTATAACTAATTAGTGGAACTTTAGCAAAAGAGGTAAAGTTATTATATCGAGTGCCTTAATAACTAATTGATAAATAGTCGTAATAAATAAATAAATACTATTCTCACAATGTGTATTATCTTGTAATTAAACAACGGTTGGGTGACAAATAAATTTATAATAGGTTAATAAAGTATGAGAAGCAATAAAATGTAAACACAACCGTCACACGGACAAGGAATGCAAAAGAACATGTAATTTTATACGTAAGAAAGTTGAGACACTTTTGTAAAGCAGGTGATTGAGATGGCTGGATGTAAAGTTGCATCCAATAAATAAACCGAAAGACACATGAGACTTGTTTGGCTTCCTAGTAATTTTTGATTTGTGCGATTAAGCGACGATATCAGTCTTGGTAATGGAACATTAAATAATTCATTTGGACCACCACACATAACGTTTCGCGACGAATTTATGTCCCCGTACTTTGAGAAATTTAACTATAAAAAAGTTATAACCATGAAAAAGTTAAGGATGAAAAAACCAACAGAACAGTGACAAGTTTGCTAAAAGATTAAAATCCATGTGGCACTGTGCCTCACTCCTTGGTTGAAGTGAAACCCTCCACAAAACAAGAGCAATAAAGAACATTATTATTGCACGCTGTTCTCCGTCGTCGTGCTCACTTTTTGTCTCACTCGGCATTTCTAAAATTAGAGCAAACATCTCAAATCTTGGCCAAATGAACCCTTTGAATAAGAGATCGAAAGAGAAGGTTTGGCGGATTGAACTATACACACATTGGCAAAACCGTGCTGCTTCATGTTTTAAATATTTTTCACTTCTTGTGTGAACGAGGAAATGTCGCGTTAGTTAGTGAGGTTTGATGCTTTGGTTGTGTCAGTGATTCTACGAGTTGCAAACAAAACAGCAGTGCATAATATATTTGCATACTTGTTGTCCATTGAAATGTGAAAACTTTGCAATTTTGTGGAGTTTGGAGGAGGAGGAAAATGTCAAAGTATTGGAGAGGGGATGACTTTCACCGGAAGTGGTCCAGCTTAAGCTGGCTTGTACTCACTTTGTATCTTTTAGACATACAACATGTCACTGTGCGAGGTCAATATTCATACCAAAAACCTGTCGTGCCTTATGAAAACAGTGGACTTCCGGATGTCATTCGCGTTGGTAAATAAGTAATTACTTTGTGTTAGGATTATGATTTCTACGGCTTAAACGATCATTCAGGCTAAATTATTAACTTGTAATAAATTAAAACTAACTTGTTGAACTCTTTTAAGGTGGGCTTTTCGATGAAGGTGACACCGTGGATGAAACTGCGTTTAAACACGCGGTGGATAGGGTCACATTTGACGCGACAATTTTACCCCGTCGTAGATTAAGTCCTCAAATTGAGAGAATTACGCCCGGAGATTCCTTTCATGCGGCGGAGAAAGGTTGTATTTATTTCGTTATTAAAAAATAGTAACAATTTATCAAGAAGTATTATTTGTATGCAGCATGCGACATGATGAGTGGTGGTATTGCGGCAATATTTGGTCCCCAAAGTGCAGAAGGAGCGAGTCACATTCAATCAATTTGCGACGCCTTTGAGCTTCCGCATATTGAGACGAAATGGGACTACAAAATTCGAAAGGAGAATTATCTGATTAATTTGGCACCACATCCGGCTACAATTAGCAGGGTAAGCGAATACTTGTTTGAAACTATGTAAGGTCAATTATACAATTATTTGTTGGATTTTAGGCGATCAATGATCTTGTAGAGTCGTACGGCTGGGTTGAATATGTCATCTTGTACGAAAATAATGAAAGCTTATTCAGACTTCAAGATCTCATTAAAGCAACACAACCTCCGGCACGAAAAGCCTCATTGAGACAACTTTCTCCCGATGATGATTTTAGGTACGGAAATAATACCGATACATTTTCTTGATACGTATTTCATCGATATGTATATGTTACAGGGGGCTGTTGAAGGACATTTTACGAGCTACACAGTACCGCAAAATAGTCATTGATTGCAGTACTGTAAAATTAGCTGAATTTTTTAAACAGGCTCAGCAAGTTGGACTGATGAATTATCAGTTTAGCTACATTGTTACGACTTTGGTAAGTATACTACTAGCAAACTTTGTGTAAAGAAAACACAACAATCATTCCGTTTCATAGGATCTGCACACGCTAAATCTAGAAGATTACCAACATGGCGACAGTAAGAAAATTTGATAACTCAAAATTTGTTTCTTAATTTCATGATAATTAATCAAAATGAATTTACATGCTTTAAATTCTCATTTTTGTTCAGTTAACATAACTGCATTCAGAATGTTGGATCCCGATAAGCCTGAAGTTCAGTCTGTTGTGAGGCAGTGGAATAATTTGTTAAATACTCAGGGATCTCGAGGTCAAGCGTACAACCAGCAATCTCCGTATTACTACGGATCAAAAGACCAGGCTCGCCAACTAAGAAAACCAATGGCCAATCCCGTTATTGAGGACAACTTTCAAATGATGAAGGTAAAAATTATAATTAATTACTCTGATTTTTTAAAGATTATGGTCATATTTTACCTATTAGACCGAAACAGCTCTTGTCTATGACGCTGTTCATCTCTTCAGCAAAGCATTACATGTTCTTGACAGCAGTCAACGAATTGGTATGAAAAACAATTTCTCTTATTGGCTTATTTATGTGGCATAACTGACTCATTCACTATTTACAAATGATTTTGTCACCTCGGACAAAGCTAAACTTTAATTAATTGATTTTAAATTAGTATTTTTGGCACCGAAGTCTATCTATTTTTCACAAAATCAGTGTCAGGCTTGACATGCATTACTTTTTGTAAAACTTTTAAAACTTGTGTAGGAATATGAATATGCTTCTTATTTGCATGTACTTAAATATTCGTCCAGATATTCGCCCCTTAACCTGCGAATCTACGGACACTTGGCAGCATGGCTACTCAATAATCAATTACATGAAAATGGTGCAACTTCAAGGGTTGACAGGACTTATCCAATTTGATACAAGTGGTTACCGTTCAGACATCCAATTAGACGTGATTCAAGTTGCCAACGAGGTAGCTCATTTTCTTAATTGATTTAAAATAATAGAAAAATGTACTAATGATTTGGAATACCTTATTTTTAGGGACTTATAAAAATTGGAATCTGGGATTCAAAATTTGTCTCCCGAGAAAAGTTTAGCTGGTCACGGCCTGAAGTTGAAGAAATAGTTGTAGAAAACGAGTCCATGGACTTGAGAAACAGGACTTTGGTCATTTCAACACTCAAAGTACGTATGCACTTCATAGCCTAAATAAATCGCACCTCCTTTAACTCATTTTATCAGTATTTTACTCTCTTGACCTCTAGAATGACCCCTTCTGCATGTTCAAGTTATCAAAAGTCCCCCTTAGAGGGAACGATCAGTATGAAGGATACTCGGTCGATTTAGCGCAAAAGCTTTCAGAAATTCTTGGATTCAAGTACAAAATTCACATCGTTTCTGACGGAAAATATGGAAGTCATGTTGGTAACGGCGTCTGGAACGGTATGATAAAAGAAATTTTGGATGGAACTGCTGACTTAGCCATAGCAGACCTCACTATCAACAATGCGAGGTTCTTGCTCTATTTAACTACTAAATTAAATTTACTGAACAAAATTAATAAAAGACATAAATTTTCCTTATACAAATCCTTACACAAAAATACATTTGGATGTTTTCAGAGAGACTGCGGTAAGCAATACATTTTAAACGTGCAAATACGTATGTATAGTATAGGTTTTTGACATTTTTATCTTTCAGGTTGACTTCTCGATGCCGTATATGGTGATTAATTATTTAAAATATGCTTTCCAAGTAATAAAGCGATCGATAGACACATGCATTATTATCTTGCAGAATCTCGGAATTTCAATTTTACACACGAAACCTATGGCGAAACCACCCAGTTTATTTTCATTCTTGTCGCCTTTTTCGATCGACGTCTGGATTTACATGTACGTACATACATGCGAACAGAACGATTGGATTAAAATTTATCAAATAATTAATGAGTTGGCATTTTACAGGTGTTTTGCATTCTTTGGAGTTTCTATCATTATGTTCATAATTGCTCGGTAAGAAAAATGTTTTAGTTCGTATTGTATACAATTTGTGCTTATGTATATCGTTACCATAAATCATTTAGACTTTCTCCTTATGAATGGGACTGTCCGCGTGAGAATTTATTTTATTTTATTTTACAAGTTTGCATACATCATCTATTGAGATTTTGTTCTTGATGATAGCAATTTAATTTATTAGATCCCTGTATTGAGGACCCAGATGAGCTTGAGAATCAATTTACTTTACTCAATAGTTTTTGGTAATTTTTGTGTTTCTGTAAAAGCTGTTTGTAACCCTCAGTAAAAATAAAACTTGCAAATGCATATGAAGGTTCACTATTGGAAGTTTGATGCAGCAAGGGTCAGACGTAGCTCCAAAGTAATTTTATTTAATTTGAGAGAAAATACGTATGCTTGGTTTTTATGCGTTGTTTTAACCACCATTTTAAATTATTTAACGATATACATTTGTATGTAACAGAAACAAGACTACCTCACTTAACAAATACATTTAACTAAATTACATAGCATTTAAAATAACCAAGCCCTTTTCAAACCTAACAGAATAACACCCTACGAGTGGGTCCTTACTGACCATTGTTGCAATAACAAGAAAGTGAATGACATCATGTACATTAATGACCTCTCCCTCTTCAACGCCTTGTGGGTCATTATGGGTGGATTGTTTCGACAAAAACCTAACATTTATGCAAAGTAATAACTTAATTAATAAAGAGTATATATAAAATTACTAATTAGTTTTTTGCTAAAATACTTACTTAAATACTTAAAATACTTAATACGAGATTCATCAAATAATATTTTTCTTTCAAGAGCGACAAGCACCAGAATGATTGCAGGTTCGTGGGTACAATATAACACTCGCACTATGTTGGTAATTACATTAGTAATTAAATTATAGGAATTTGGTGGTTCTTCACTCTCATCATGGTTAGTTCCTACACAGCTAATCTCGCCAGCTTTCTAATTGTGCAAGATTTAGAAGATACAATTAAAAGTCTTGACGATCTCCCCAAGCAAAATAAGGTTCATGAATTCTTAATAAATGAAAAATTCATGTAAAATGACTCCAAATATTGTAGGTAAAATACGGATGTGTGGGTGGAGGATCTACCGCAGCGTTTTTCAAGGTGGGGTTGCGGCATTGTTAACGTTTGTCCAAACTTTATCTGCTTTCACAGCTTATTGACTTATGCTTTTATAGAATTCTGAGTTTACTACACAAAAACAAATTGCGGAAAATATGGACAAATTTAATACATTCGTGAATAGCAATTTTGAGGGTGTAGAGAGAGTCAAGAATAGTAAAGGAAAGTACGCATTCTTTGTCGAAAACACGGTTTTGGAATACATAACGGAAAGGAATTGTGAGCTAACACAAGTTGGAGGAATGCTCGACAGGTTACAAATTCATTTGAATTACTCACTTTTCCAATTTGAATACTAATTGTCTGCCAAGTAAACAATTTGATTTTAAAATTTTACAGTAAGGGATATGGGGTAGCGTTGCCAAAAAGTAAACTAAATCCAGATTAAAAAATTAAAGTAAGACTACTAAATTCATAATTGATGTATATGTAGATTCGAAATATCGTCAAGCGTTCAACTCTGCAATTTTACAACTTCAAGAAAAAGGGTAATCCAATTTTTTTTATAATTAATCGCCATATATTTCCAGTTAAAAATAAATCTTGGAAATGCAATTTCCTTCTTAGAACACTTGATGATTTAAAACGGAAATGGTGGAAGGAAGAACGAAAAGGGGCGCAGTGTGTGGTAAGTCAAACTGTCAAATTTCTGTACCTTTCTAATTGCTGATTTATGTATTTTTTATGAAGGTTGGAGGATCAAGCGAGTCAAATCCCTTAGCGTTGGACAATGTGGGTGGCGTCTTCGTCGTCCTTGTCGGAGGTTGCATTTTTGCCGTGGTGGTGTGCATTTTCGAATTTTTCATCAAAACAAGGCAGACTGCAAAGTCGAGTGGGGTAATGTTTTGTCATTTAATTTAAACCGTTTACGAATTAATTTTATCGATTTAATTAATTGCTTAATTTCAGCAATAAGTTGATTTATGTTTTTATGACTGTTATGAGTTCATACCATATTTCTTTTCCTACTTATTAAAGGGCAATGTTAAAGAGGCTTTGTCAAGCGAGCTTAAGTTTGCACTCGCGTTTTCGGGTGACAGTAAACCGGTATATATACTTTCTCTTATTTCCTTGTGTTGAGTGACAACCAATTTTGCAATATGAAACTGCAAAATCAACAAATAATGTCTTATTATTGGTTGATTTAGGTCTTGCGGAAGAAGGACTCAATATCTAGTCAGGCAGAAAATGAAACCGCAATGGGTAGCCAGTACTTGGATCTTGGTTTGGACTCATACGGTACCCAATTCTTACATAAGTGCAATTAATCAAACGTTTGAATCCATTATTTATGACCACTAATTTTTGTTATCCAGGGTTCCCCAAACCCGTAAATCGTCAAAATGGTGGCGTTCCTCCCGACGGATTCACTTGATTTTCAGTGGAAGATGACATTTTACAACCCCCCATCCACATCCTTACTAGGCGACCTAAATTGAGACGGTCAAATCGAGACCGTTTTCTTACCTTAGAAAATGCAAACGATTGTCAAAACCATTGTCCAAGACATAGTAAAACGGGTAAATTTATTCCTCCAGATAAACCAAAACGTCACGTCCGCTTAAGTGAAGATGTTCAAGTGGTTGAATTTGTCGCAGATGAATTATGAAACTAAAAATGTTAAATATTTGTTTGTATGTAATGTCGACATTTAAGAAAATATTAGTGATATTTGACAAAATCTTGTAGAATACTTAGAAAATATTTGTTCATTAATTATTACCTTGCTGCCAGATTACGAAAGCATATTAAAACAGCATATAAATTATACTAGAGTTGTGTAGGGCTACCTTTACGACACACATACTTTTGTCACAATCTTTTATAGCATAATAAAAACTTGTGGAGTAAAATTTTGACTACGCACATGTTTAAACGTATGACGCAATACAACAGAGTTTATTATTATACATACAAAAAAAATCAATGGAATTATTGAAAATTAACTTCCCACAATTGAAGCAACATTTTTAACGACTGTACAAAATGTCTCTTCTTTTTTCTCTCTTTGAAAATAATGTCTAATGTTTTTAGCTCAATTCCCAACAATCCGTTTGGCTCATTTTTTAACAAGACTTCAACCTGCCGAACAAGGGATGGGTTATCATGCAGCTTAAATATGTTGGGGACTGTAACGCCTTGGAAAGTTTCCAACAAGAGGGCTTGAGCAGTTTCGGCTGCTACTTGTGGGCTGGAATTTAACACAAATAACTTGCCAATCTGCCTTCCCCAGAGGGGAAGTATGCTCGGAAGTTGAGACAATATTGACGCCTGGAATTTCTGTTGTTGGTTGTATTCGGTGAGTCGTCTTTTAACAGCTTCAAATCCGGCTGGAGTAATTAAACATGCAATTTATAATTAGAAGATTAACTTAATTGAAATAAATTGTTAACCAATTGTTACCAGCATCATAGACGAAAACTTGATATATTGCATTTCCAGCTAAATATGAGTGAACCTTTCAACATAAAAGATAGTAAATAAGGTTACAGGTAGAAAATATCGTCTTGATTGAATGAGATTATTTATGTAAATATGTTCGTCTCACATAATGCGTCCCAACTGTATTAGAAAAGTTGTACATGGACTTTTCCCCTTCATTCCCATAATTTAGCACATCATTCATCACACCTTGATTGACCGTGATATTTGCAAGCGGGGTAGCCTTTCCAGAGTTTCTAACCTATTTTTATTTTATTATTATATACTATGGTTAAAATGAGAAAATAGTTCAAATAATTAAAATTTCTCACTAGAAAGACCCTGACCAACATGTAGCGATAATCTCCCACCACGAAATTTGGGTCTACAAGCAAGAAGCCAAAGTTTTTCATCCTTTATCTGCTCAATCCATGCAACTCGTTTATTATTTGATGCAAATGACATACCAATTCCAAAATACTTTGACAGACTGGGCGTCCTCCACCCACCAGAAAATGCTTGCCACGGCTTATCGAGACCTTGGATATAAAATCTTCGAAAATAGGCTTGCACCAGTTGTCCCATGTCTTCACAGAGGTCAATATGAAACTCATTATGAATTGGCAGTGTGGAATCAATCGCGCTGAAACGTCTCTCCTCAATTTGGATTGTCGACTCAAGAAATATATTACGAACGGGTTCGAGAAACACCCAAGATTGAGAATCATTTCTTGGAACAACTCTCATGCTGAAAAATATAAATTGTTATCAGTAATAAACGACACGCCATTCTTAAGGCTACCTTATTTACTCACCTCAAACTAAGGTATCCATATCTTGGGAAGAGATGGACGATTGCTCCAACCGGTACACGGTTATGGATCGCATTTATCATCGGGGCGGATGGGGCTCCTGACACCAAAACTATTCCCGAAGAACACAAATAGTTCAGGACCAAAGCTAAGGTCAGTATCAACTTTCTGTTTGGGAAAACCCACACGACCTTCTTCTGACTTGTGACATTGGACAAAGACGAATTGTTATGACGGACACTTTTATGGACGACATCGCAGACTGACGATTGACGATGACGTCCTAAATTGTACCACTTTATTTCTGCCTCCAGCCCAGACTTGGAAGAGGGCAAGTTATTATCAAGCATTTTCTAAATAGTGGTGGTGGAGGGCTGGTGCCAGACATTGGTATTGAAAATGAAAGAATTTCCATTGTGCTAAATTATTCTTCATGGACTGGAATGCTTTGAATAATTGCATTGAGGTGCTGTTTTAATATAATTAAGCTGCAATGCCAACGTCATAAAATTACAATGCGTGCCAAATATTACTTCACTTCCGTGTACTATCCTCTGTTAGGGTATGCCGTTCATTGTTTTGTGTCACACACAATGTTACTGTTTAATTAAATTATTAAATAAATATAAAAAAAGTTTATCGCGGTGTTCTTCTCAGAAAGAAAGAAAAACATGACCTTGTTGATAATTATTATTGAATTGAAATGAGGGAGGACAATAATTAAAAATATTTAATATTTACGTATTACAATTCATAAAAGGGTGTGGGTGTGAACAAATCAAGTATTATTTATTATTTAATTATGATGACGCCCATGACTAATAATCACAATAAACTAAAACTCTTCAATTAAATAGGTTAAAATTTATTTTTGGAAATAAATATAGAAATTTTAAGCACATTTATAATACGAACACAAATTGACAATTCTTATCGCAACATGCTGCCAAAACCCGAATTATTACCTCCTCCTCGCCCGAATAGTACGTTCGCCAAATGCAAAAGTCGTTGATGACCACTAGGAAAAAACAAATTTAAGGAATGCTCAGCTCATGCTCAATTATTCATGCATAAGTAAATTATCTGAATTATCCGAATACCTGTCAGTCCAAATTCTACGACTTGGTCCGTCTTCAAGAATTTGCATTGCTTTCCGAACGGTGAGAGCGTCGCCGTCGAACGTTTCATCGTCATCTTCTACTTTGGAGTTATCATAGTTCGCTTTTGGTCTAGCCATGTTCAACAGTTCAGCCTCAAAAACCTGGAAAATTAATTATAATCATTACTTCTTGATGAATCAACACCAAATTCACTATTTTTCGAATTTTTTTAAAGCTCAGCTTATACCTTATCATCTTTTGCTAGAGTTTCGATAGTAAGTTCTGCCCAACTTTCGTCTCTCCACAGTTTTAAAACAGCCCGTGAATGAAGATGGACGTGGAGACGGCCCATCGCATCCGACATCCTAAAATCCTTAGCACATAGTTATCTTAATTGATTATATTTTCTTCAATAGCATACTGAATTTACTAAATTAATTTCGAGTTGATACCTGATTTTCTTTAAATTAGAAAGTACTTAGTTGATCAGTTGATGAGTTCAGCTGGGTCGTGGACCACGACTCGTGATTAGGTTGATGACTTTCAGATTCTATGTGTGACAATAACAAAAGAGGTGCAAAAGATTAGTTTAGTCCCTCCCACACTTTATCTACTCGGCAACAATGAAGGTTACAGTGATCTTGACCCGCTGAAACGAAAGCGACCCAAAACCGACGAAAAAAATATTTGTAAATTTACTAGATTGCTGCAGTTTGTTGGCACACCTGGCTGAAATAAATATTAACCAATGCAAGATTTTTGGTCACCAGCTTCAAGTCACATTCAAGTAAATAAATACTTGAAAATGACGTCAAAATATTACAGATTACCATAAGTAATCTGTCAAATTTTCTTACTCATTTACTATGCATCATCAATATATGTATAGTTTTGAACTTTCTCAAATTGTGAATTAGTTTAATCAATGAATTAACTAATGCATGCAAATTGTATGACGACTAAATACACACACATGCATACATAACATAATCTATTCAATCTATTCCATTTTGTGGTATTATTCTATTTGCAATTATGAAATGGGTGATAAGGTACTTTCTTGCCTTTAAAGATAAAGCATTAACATGTATTTATATAATCATTAGTGACGATTCATCACTACTTCACCAAATAAACAGAACAGATAATTTATGTAATTTTGATTGTGATAACAATTCCAAGAGTTTAATGATTTTTTCTTCAACTAATTTCCGACTGAGCATTTGCATATTCTTTCTTCTTCTTCTTGGTGCTGAATTATAAGAAGGCGGAGGGTGTCTCAGACAGAATCGTTCACCCATGACGAGAGCATTATTATTTCGAACGGATGAAATGAATCGAGAAAAAAACCAAGTAAGCAAATATTTGACACGCTGTGGTTTTCCACTAATCCCAAAATAATGTAGGTATTAGAAGATGCATTTGTTTATAGGTAGTTGAGGAAGATGAAACATCTTATCGTTCATTCTTGTTGTGCAGTAATTCAGAAAAATTCACGATTTTTACCATTTTCAGAAAACCCCCATTCAGAGATCAATACTGGTAAAAGTGTGAGTGTATTTTAGTCACAGAGGGGATGAAAGGTAATTCATTATTCACTCATTTATTATGCATGTATGTAGCTCAAAAGAAAGTGAGTGAATACATTGTTACAATTATAAAATGGGTTCTCGAAGCAATTGGACGAATAAATAAGATTCAATGAGAACAACTAACTAATCTCACTCGAAATAGTGGTGGTACATTACCATGCGTATGCACAAGCAAGGATTTCTTTTCTTTACAAACACTTACAATTTGCAGTTTTTCACACTAATCCTGATCTGCAAGCTGAGCTTTGATTTAGTTTTAATTAAGCCCTAGATTAAACCACATGCAGATTTATAGTACCACAGTCATGCCAGTCGTCAGCGATGGCGTCCAAAAGCAGCACATCCACTTTATTCTCTACATACAAGTCATCTAAAATACACAGAAATTACTCCAGAAACGGTGCCAATTCCAGCAGATACATTGTCGGCTCGGTGGGAAAATCTTGCGGAAAACATATCAATTTTGGTGGTGAGAGTGGAAGTAATAGTAGTTCGGGTAGTAGAAATTGTGGTACTTTGCATCAAAATGTGGCGATTGCGACACAAGTCTTAAATCCAAGTGCGATTGGGGGATCATTAAAAAATCGGAGATTTGTCGAACATTTTGGTCGCAAAGAGGACGATGAGATCAGTTTTCTGAACAGGAGAAGCCGGGCAGTTTGCAGTAAACTTTGTTATTATGGAATATCAATTGGAGTGACGATGGTCATGATTACAGGTTAGAAATTATTCCGAATGTTCATGTTTTATATGATATGCGGTAGTACAATTATGCATACACTCTTTAGGACTAATCGTGGCCGTCGGTTACATGCAGTCCGAAAAGCAAAAGGTTTCCACCCGTCCAGTTAAACTCGCCCAAGGACAAGATTATCACTCCTCCACGACCCATCTCCCCCTCGTAATTCTGCACGGAACCACGACCACGGTCAAACCCATCAAACGAGTTTCTTTCGATCCGGACAATGAACTAGAAGAAGATGGTGAAAATGATGACATGATGGATGAAATCAGCGTTACAGACTTTATCCAAACGCGTCCACCCCAACCTCGTAGTAATCATCATCAAGCAGGAATTTTTAATTTTAAAGTGTCAACAACAAATCAACACCGTCACAATATTCATGATGCGAACGATGACGAAAACAACATTCCGGACGACAACAAATCTAAATTTGGTGGAAATTCACAGTTTTCAAATCATAATCATGATGATGAAAATGATGAAAGTGACCATGATGATGAGACCAAGTCCCCGGAAGAAGAGGATTACGATTACGGACGAGGAATAGATAATCAGAATCAGCATTCAGTTCGAGGGGATGACAAGGGCCGACAATTCTCAGAAGTGAGAGTCAAGCCCCCTTCAGGATTTAAGTTTGACGGGATATCCTTTGAATTTCCAATCTATCGAACCAATACCACTACTACTGAGAAGAGCAGTACTTCTACCGTTCTACCGGATGTGGACGGTGATGATGATGATGAGGAATTGCACCCAAATGACGACTTGAGTGAAATTGAGACTGAAAGCGCAAGTAGTAGTTCTGCATCAGTGAAGGATTTGTCTCCCACAACGCAACCTACAACAACGCCGTTGGGAGCTCAGGAGGATGAGACAAAAGGATTAGAAACGAGTATTAAGCACTCTAATTCCAATTCTGGTACTAATTTCACTTCTCTAATTGACTCCCAAGAAAATAATCTGCATAAAGAGGTTTTGTCTTCGGATTTGGATGATGAAGAAATTGAAAATTACGCCAACGCAAACATTCAACAAGACGCTAATTCTTCGGGCTCATTGTTTTCTCAACAACTAAACCCTTCTAACTCAGCCAAGTCTGACAGCTCTAATTCTAATAGTAACGCAAAGAATGGGGATGATCAAATAATTGTAAAAGCCAGCAGTGGTGGATTCAAGACAAAGAAGACCCAATATGACAAAAACTATCATGACGATTTCAACATTGGAGAAGCAACAACCGCAGTGGCAACGTTACAAACTGATATTTTTGATAATGCCGAAGAGTTTCAAGCCAGTGCGTCCGAGGACAGTGAGATTGATGTCGAGTCTGGTGATGCAGGTGGCCGTTTAGTAAATGACGAGGAGGAGGAGGAAAGAAACAATACGCCGTCAGATCGCGTCACTACAACTAGACGCCCAAAACCTAATAATAAAAATTATGACAATGGGAACAATAAAAACAATAATGAGGAACGTTACAAGGACACTGCAGCAACCCCCCAAAAATCAAATAAGGGCCAACGACGAGGAAAAATTGTGCGACCGAGCCCGTCTCAGCCTCCATATCATCAAGAGGTCGATTATGATGACGGTGATGAACCACCCCCACCCCCAAAAAATAATGCCCGGACAAATAATAAGGGTGGTGGTGGTGCTGGTGGCAAAAAACTTTCACTGAAGCAGAAAAAATTTCGTGGAAAAGTCAAGGGTACTAAAGATAAAGACCAGTCGACAGGACAGCAAAACATTCAGCTTGAACATATTGCAATAAGTTCAGGAGAATCACTACCAATTGCTAATTTGGATTACAAAGTAGATTTTAGCAGATTCATCCCCACAACTCCGGCGCCTTCTTTTTCTCTTACGACTGACAATCCTTCACAGGATTCCGACAACATTGAATACCAACCTCCAACCATCTCACACTCTGTAAATCCATATCCAGACTTTCGATTTGCACCTCCTCCTCCAGAACGTCACAAACCATTCGACTTGGACGAATATCTTCAGAAACATGCCCACAAAAAAGTTGTAGACACTTCAGATGACGCTACTACTCAATCCCCATCTCCTCCTGCTCCCACAATTAATTTGGACTTGTCCTCCCTGGCCAACTTTCAACAATCCTTCTCCAATGTGGCTGACCCCACTGCGGCCTCGAATCCTTATGCCTCATTTGGAGGAATAAGTGGTGCTGGTGGTTCTGTGTCCCCCTCCTTCAGCGATACTCCGCCATCACCGCTGGCATTTACGCAAGATAATCAATTCAGTAAAAGAACATTATATAATTTGGATTCTTATCCCAGTTCAAATACAAACGAGTTTGCTCATCTTCTAGGCCCGCAAGTACCAACGACCAATTTTGGAGCGGCTTCCCCCACGGGCGCCACGCTAAATATTTTCCAATCTCAACCTAGCTACAATTTTGATGGAGGAAATTCTGGGGGAGGAGGAGGAGGAACTTATCAACCATCAGCCGCACCCAATTTTAATTTCCCAACCTTCAACGCCTTGTCATCATCGGCATCATCAAATGCGCAACATGGATTTCATGTTGACGCCAATGGGGCCTTTTCCCTAATCACTCCGTCAAATTTACCATACCCCAACATTCCCACTGGTCAAGTGACGAGCGACAATAGTAACAACCTGGCCAGCAACAATTTCCAAAATGCCTACTCATTCACTAACAATGAACCTGCGTCGTCCTCCAAGAATTTGATTCTAACGACAGGGACGGGTCAAATACCGGTACAAATACATTATAAAATACATAATTTTCGTATTAATATTCACAATGTCTAACAATGACAATTAATATTTCTTGTAGACGTACAACACCATTACACAAGGAATTCATTTATTGTCACTGCTTTCTGGAAGAAATTCTGGTGGAGGTGGAGGATACCAAAATTCTAATGATCAACTTTCCAGTGGATCTTCAAACTATGAAAATATTGCAGAAATGTATCCCGGATCTCAACCTCTGGTCCAAATTCCAGGATTGTCTGGTGGTGGTGCATCCGGAAATTTCGACAATTTTCAATCAAGCTATCCAAGTTATACTCAAGATTTCTTTCCTCAAAAAAATTTCAAAGGTTTCGATCAGTCTGGGGATCAAGACCCGTCAGCCTCAAATCCAATAGCATCATTCAGCCAAAACATAATTATGAAAGCTGCAGATCTGGATTTTGGGATGAACAATGTGAAGGCCATCCATCAGATGACTCAAATGTCACCTCCCACGACAAAGTCTTCGATATCGGAATTTCAACTAGTTGGACTAACAACCACGCCGTCACCTCCACCAAAATCGTTTGCCCTCAGCATTGTCCCCAAATCAACTAGCAGTACTCGGAAGAGCAAACATAAGGCAAAGGTCTCAACAACAACAACGCCTCAATCGATGGATTCTTCCGAATTGGAGCAATCTGTTCCGAAATCCAGAAAACGGCTAATGACGCCCGAACCTGATTTAGACGTTGCAGAATCAGGGATTCACGTTTTTGCGACCGATGCCCCCAGTAAGAGGAGGTTCAGTGCAGTAACTAATACTGCATTCGGGCGACCTGGGAAAGGGACAAGCTATAGGGGATTAAAGTCAGGATTTTACAGTTGAAGATATAAAATAGTTGACTTATTATTTGCAATTTTAGGATAATTTATGACATTTTTTCCTTCTACATTTATATAATCTTCTTCATAGCATCTGACAGTTAAAAAGTTGCCAGTTCTATAAATGATACACCGATTTGCATGGAATAAATCTATATGTTATTCTTTTTAATATAACTGATACACGTTTATAAGTTGCTCTCGCTGTTATAATTTAGGAAAAGATTAATAAATTACAAAAAAAATATTTACCAAAAATTGTCATTTCATAAGAAAATTGTATTCTCATACTCATAACATTTAAGGTTGCAGTCGTTTATTATGTTCAATTTTGGAAACTAATTTTATCAAAACGTTTAGAAAAGTAGCATAATCAAAATATATTTTTTTGTGAAATTTCATAATTTTTATATTTTACTAAAAAGTCTCATTTTGTCTATGTCTCCGTTTTGGGCACCATTTCCCAAAGCGAACTCCTCCACTCTTTCCTTTCCTAGCTAAAAAAATCCGTTCACTTCTTCATTCTTTGAAATACCAGCAAGCAAATCAACAACTCGTGGGCCACGAGTTGAAAAGGTACAAAATTTCATCAACTATAATCTTATCTAATTAATTTTTAATTGACTTAGTAATTACTAAGTAGAGCAGTCTTGATTTAATCTTGAATTACATCAATAAGGACAATGTTTTTGGTGTTTTGGAAATATCCACCTACCACCTGCGTGGATATTTACGTATTATAGATTGTGATGTAATTAATTGCTAATTGTTTTATGAAAATTTTTCTATTGTTCATCACATCAGCAGAAGCATATTTATTTAACTTCAATTGTTTGTTCTACTAATTAGGTCGAGTTGAATCCAGTACACCCACGTGTTTCGAGGCCACGAGTTCAACAAGGTTACCAACGAGAATAAAAATGATGTTGTTGAAACGGACTCTGAAGAATAGATAACCTGGTTATCAAGAGCAGTAGTAATATGGACCCTAAAAATTCCTCCCCCACATCTTCGCAACAGCAGCTGCACAGAAATCAGCGCAAGTTAAATTCAATTGAGCTTACTCCAGACGTGATTATTCAAAAGATTGTCCAGCATTCCAGAAATCCGTCTTCTCCCCGATTGGTGAAGTACCTCGGATATGCAAAGAAAACGTTTTCATCTTCCAATCTCAAATTATGGATGGATCTTAGAACAAAAGGTGGAATTCACGCTATTGAGACAATAATTAAAAATTCTGTGAGCAAGGAAGGAGTCGCTGATAACTCAAGTTCCGGAACAATAAGTCAAGATGTATTCACGTCCAGCCTTAGCATTTTGGGCAACTCGTACTCCCTGGATTATTGTGCAAGAAAAGATGTAAAAAGAATTTGCTTATTAATCAAATCAAGTTTTCGAAAGCCGTGTAAAATCTAAACTATAATTATTTGTACAGGTCGCCAACAGTGGATTCATATCCGTTCTTCACAAACTAATTCAAGTACCTACAACCAATATCGTGGACGGTTATCAAAATAGCGTCGTCAGCAACTCGCAACAAGATGAGACTTCGGAGGAGTCACCTCCATTCAGTCCTGCAGAATGTGATTTGAAATCAAAGGCTGTAAAATGTATAGCCAACTTGGCCCACGATATGACATGTCGCGATGCAATTTTAAAGTCAGGGATTGGGATTACGTTACTTAAAGTGCTGGAGACGTTTAATCAGTACTGGAATAAGAAACAAGAATCCCACACTCCTATTACGACTACAACAACTGATGCAGAAGCAGAAGCAAATCTGAATTCAAAATCAAAAGAAGCTGAAATCTTTTCAGAGTGCGCCAAAGCTTCTGTTCGAGCAATTAGAATACTGAGTTCTGAAAGTCGTTGTGAAGATGCTAAATGTCACCTGATTCGATTTGGAGCGGTCAATACTGTAGGTCAGATCTTAAAATGGGCTGTTAATCCAGAATTGAAGCTCGATGTGGTAAGATCACTGGCAAATTTGACAGACAAGATAAAATTACTACCACGGGAGCAAGTCCAAGAGGTACTCACCTAATTAATATTTAACCATAAACTAATTTAAAATAAATTGCCCAATTTAATCACCATTTCTTCGTTTACAGTTTGTCGCTGAGAACAATAACAATTCACTTTTAAAAGATCTCATAACCGTACTGGATGGGTGTTCAGTGGATGAAAAATTCTTCTTCCCCACCATCCGTTGTCTTATAAATTTTGCTGGAAATACTCACATTGCAGAAAAAATGGGAAATCAACAAATCTTTCGAGTGGTATTGGATAAACTTGGACAGACTACAGAAAAGGCCTCAACTGGTAATTATAATTTTAAGAGTATTACAGAGGGGCATTCATAAATGACCGATTATGATTATATTTACAGAAATATGTCGATTGCTCATTGCTTTGACAAAACATTCTGGAGTTAATCGGTGTTTGCTATATAGCGAGCAAGAAGTTTGGACAACGATGCAAATTTTAAGGTATTTCTGTTGAAATAGATATACATAACATATTTGTTTTTGTGACTAAAATATTAACTCGAGTTGTGTGTTTACAGATCTGATGGCCTTCAAGAACATCACCGCTGGCTTCTACATGTCTATGAAAATGTTTACGAAGGAACGTTAAAATCTTTATTACGAAACGGCCTGATAGAACTGATACACGAACATTTCAAGAAAGAATTAGAAGACTGTGACTATATTATTTTGAAACGTAAAATAATGTCGCTTGATGTAGACATTTGCAAAGTACATGGAGATCATTGTCACTTTGTTCCCACGTATAGATGTGATAGCCCTTCCTATCAACAAGTATGCAAAAACATGGGATTTTTAACAAATATTTTTAACCTGGTTAGATATAATTTTAATATTTTATTGTCTAATTTTTGCATAGGTGCAAGAAGAAATGAAAAACTTTATCAAGGACAGAGATTCAATGTACAAGATGGATATCGACTCTGGTTCGTCAGGCATTGACTCATCATCAAGTCCATCTTCTAGTCCCTCCCGGTCATGGAGTAGCGATGACAGTGGGTCAGAATCTGGAGTAGGGTTCCGCCGATCAAACAGTCCTGGGTCCTCCAGTAGCGATGACGAAGGTTGTTACAGCCCAGTATATTCTAGTCTGTCACTTTCACCAACATACTCTGAGGGCAGCCCTTCAGAAACGAGTTTTTCACACGATAGATCGTGGCATGAATCAGTTTCCCACCCCCGACAGTCCAAGTACCCTAAATTGGATTCCACGAGCCATATCCCATTCGTGGACGAAGAAGAACAACATGTCAACAGTCTTTCTTCAAGAAATAGTAAAACGTCTGACAGTATAAAAAACAAATCCAAGAAGATTGTTGTGATGCTAAATATTTTGCAAAAAGCGAGCTTCCTCTCACCTATTCCAGATGGAATGGCAAACATCATTCCCATTCTACTCTCTTTTATAATAAGAGGGATTGTTTCGTTAACCCCTCAAAAACTACGATATGAGGATCACTCCAAAGATGTCGAAATGACACGTCTCGGACGTAGGAGTTTCAGCGTGGCGTACAGAATTCTCAAGAAATTGTGCCTTGATATCAAGTTTTTTCCCGAGATGGTGAAGAATGGAACAATTACTATTGTTTCAAGACTGCTTCCCTGGGATGCTGTTCTGACTAGCTTTGAAAGTACAGAAAACATCTCAACTCTTTTGGATACACTTCGTGGGAAAGGCAATGATACTTCTGGCTGGAGAGAAGGCCACCTTATGCGAACTCTATTAATTAGCCAATCTGACGAAGAACTGACGAAAGTAAGTATATTTGTTTACCGCATTTTAAGTCATTCGAGTCTTTATATAGCATAAATTTGATTTACATTACAAAAACCAAGACGGAAATGAAATTTTGATATGTCTTGACTTGCCCTTTCGAAAACTATTGAACGGTTTTGTCTTATGTATTTTTTATTTTTAGGTATCTCTAACCATTCCACTCTTGTTCAGAAAAAATGACCACTCGCTGAGGAGTTTTGAGCAGAAAGGCTCCAGTTGGACTCGCGTATTTGACCTATTAGCAAAAAATAAGAATTATGACGACACATCACTATTTCAAGACTGTATTTTGACTCTTTCTGCACTATCTGAAACTATTGGAATGAAATACGACGTTTCAGAAGTTTCCAAAAGACCTACCCTTATTATGAAGGACGATACTAATATTGGACAAATTTTACAATTTCTGGATTCATCGAATGAAGCGTTGACAAACTTTGAAAATGATGGAAAAGTGAAAATTACTTTGGACGATGGATCACTAGCTCTACTGCAGAAAAATATCCTCACGGACGCGTCTCCCGTGTTCGGTGCAATGTTTGACGGTCATTTTAAGGAGGCTGGGTCTCAAGCTGTGCATATTCGCAATGTTTCGAAAGAATCTTTAAAAGTATTGGTCCTACAATTGCAAATACTCAACAACTACCAATCTTTGCAACAATCCGACCTAAACATTATGGACCTTCCCGTTAACAGCAATGCCGCTCCGATAGATAACTTGGATTTATCCACAATATTTGAATTGATATCGTTATCTGACCAATTTCTAATAGAAACTTTATATGAAAGAACACTAAATACTTTGTTAAGTTTTTACATTTGTCCACATTCTGCCCCTCGAATTTATCAAGAAGCCGTGAAACTCTCTGCTTTATGGAAACCTCAATCTCGACTCAAGGGATGGGACATGGACTTAACATTTGTGGTATTAAAATATCTCCTAGTTGGTGATTTGACTTTTACTAGTCGGTGTGGTGCATTTCGAAAGATTTTTGACTCGGTTCCTTCAGATAACGTGGTTGGAGATTTAAGAGCTCTGGTCGAATTTTATTCTTCCAGACCCCAACAGACTAGGTAGATGTGTGGATATTGTTAGTACCATTTATCTGAACATAAACCTGACCTTTTCTACCCTTTCTACCCTACCCTTTAAGATCAAGCTAACAATGATAAAAACGTTGTTAAAAAATCTAGTAATTGTAATTTATTCGAGTGACTAACCTGTCTTAAACTAAACTATTACTATAAATTATACAATTCTCACGTAAAAATAAAATGTTTCACAACATAATAAATAATTTTGTCGCCACAAAATAAGTTCATTGTTTATATGGCCCTAGATCAGAATCCTCAGACGTTGTTTTACCACAAAATATGCAGTGCAGAAAGTCAGATAATTTTTGCTGGTTCTGGGAGCTACTATTTATTAGAGAAAGTGTAATGCTAAACTGGTATCGCAAATAAACAAACTATATAAATGCACATATGTATTTACTTGACAGACCTCCTCAATTGAAGTTTTAGCTACATTTTGTAATGAGGTAATCCAATGTGTACGCATTAGGGGATTGTCATGATTAAGTATGTTAAGAAATTGCAATTTTTTAAGAGTATTCGTAACGACATCATACAAAGTTTCAGTTTAATCCAGTCCATTTTTACTTTGACATGCAAATGTAATACTGTAAAAGCGTTACATTTGAAATTGTGTATGCCAATTTAAGCCGTAATGTTCAGAATTATTTTTTTTACTGTACTTCAACTTTGGATTAGCGTGAATTTGAACACGTACACGTTTGTTTGTTTACGCAAAAAAGCTTTACATAATGAAATGATTACATGTTGCCCATTGTGACTTAATTATAGATTGCGTCGTATAAAATTGAAGGTGCATGTGTTGACATGAAACACTTGACCTTCTCGTCGATGGTCATAACTTGATAACGAGTTTGAGGAACGGTGTGTGAAACTGAAAAGATATTTTGCATGTAAAGTATTTTACGAATTTAATTATAAGAATAATCTCAACAATGTGACTAACTTACCCGAATCGCAGTAAGCTTTCAAGACCGGTTCAATATCGCAAACCTAGAAAAGGTCAGTAATTTTTCTCATAAAAATCCAACTACTTATTTAATAGTTATTTTGTTGGGTGCTATGCATTTATGAACTTACTCCTCCAGAAGTGTAACCAATCATCTTCTTAATGGCCGCATCAAACTCTTCCTTCCCATAATCTTCTTTCACACTCTCACTGAGATTACTCCAAATATGATCTGCCTGCTTCGTAATTGCATCCCCAGCATATAAAGCAGTCCCTGTTTTCATAATTTATCAATTTTGAGCTATGAATTGGGTTAAAGCTTTTGTTAATTGTTTATTGCGTTATTACCAGCAATGAAATTTCCTGGCTCGATTATAGCCACGTGTACGCCCCATCGTTTCATTTCCGCTCGAAGACATTCCGATAAACCTTGGACCGCCCATTTCGTGCAGGCGTACGGTGACCGTGAGGGGGCTCCGAACCGACCCATCATACTGCTCACGGTGATGACACGTCCTGAATTATGTAATATATTTCCTTGAGGATTATAATTGATGCAACAAATGACTTTATACATGTTACAATACCCTTTGCTCTTCGAATAAGGGGCAAAGCAGCCCTTATGACTCGGATTGAACCAAATAAATTGATGTCCATGATTTTTTGGTAAACCTAAAATTTTATATTCAAACAATTCGAATTAAACCCCCCACCACTAAAAATAAGTAAGAAAAAACTAATATTTCCCAATTTTAAAAACACTACTGCTGTGCACTCCTAAGTAAAACATAGGATTAGGACTTACATCCAAAGGTACCATTTCAACCTCTCCGAAAGTCGACCACCTTGAAATTTAAGTATAATCCTTATTGAGAAATTCATTTAATCATTATGCATATTTTCATACCCTGCGTTTGTGATCAGAGCCCAGATACCTATATTTTTATGGACAAACAGTAAAATATAAATAATTAAACTGTTAAATATTAAGCACTTAATGGAACAGTAACTAACCATTGCAATCTGCAGGAAGGTTTTCTTTAATATATTCCAACGCCTTGGTCACATCCTCATCCGATGTCACATTCATGGGCACAGTGTACATCCGGGTTTTGAATTCCTTCTGTAATTGTTTCGCTCCATCCGTGTCACTTGAAATGACACCGGCGAAAACTGTGTATCCCTAATTTTGCATACGTGAACCAATTATTTAGCATAATTAATTATCTAACTATAAATAAGTATATGAGGCTTTACCATTCCATGCAACTTCTTAGCCGAGGCGAAACCAAATCCGGTATCGCATCCCGTAATTAGCACTGCTTTCCCTTTCGAATCAAGCTAACGATGATAAAAACGTTGTTAAAAATCCCGTCATAAATTTTCAATCTCAAATATGACAAAAACTTACATGCAGCCGGTCAATCAAAATGACGCCCGCACATCCCCCAATGAGCACCAAGAAGAACAAGGTAAACCATGAAAATCCAATAAACCATCCTACATTTGCTACTACATAGGAGACAGCAAACCAAAAAATACACCTTTCCCACACATCTAACGATACGTCTTTCAGATCGAATCCATTTTGTGCCATTTTTATCTATGCAAATACCGTTTTAATTTGCAACCCTCTACAAAACCCAACTTCTCCTCCGGCAGCTCTTGTGTAACTAAACCCAACAAATACAAAACTTAATTCTGACCATTACTTGTGCTCCCTATTGCTATTATATACACTATTATATTCCTATTATATATGCATGCCGTATGTACAGACTAGGTTATGAATAAAACATACAGCTTTTGTTTCGGACAACCTTGTAACGCCAACTCCAGCATGTACACTCCCAGCATGGTTAAAATGGTTTCTAAAATAAGCCATGAACTTTGTGGTGGATGAGAAGTAAGTAAAAGTATTACACAAGTGGACTGACATGACATTATGGACAGACGGATGGCATGATGAGTAATGTCAAAGCCTGGCAGCAGCTTAATGCACAAGTTCTTCAGCTATACCCATCAATTTTAGTTAGGCCAAACTTCTGAGCGTTTTTTGTGATGAGATTTCTTTACTCCCATGTCAACTCTCGAGCTGATTAACTCGCTCATGCAGAAGTGGGGTGATGATGGATGTTGGATCGGTTAGATAACAGAGTTAAATGCATAAGTTAAGAGGAAAGTTAATGCAGAGGCAGCTACATATGTACATGTCTGGATACTGCATATGCGTAGGTAGATAATAAAGTGGATGGGTAATTAAGTTGGTAAAATAGAGCATTAAAATGTGCCTATAATTTTGTTAAAGTATCCAACTTTGGAGTTAGCTCAGTCAGTATAGCTGCAATTTAGGGAGCCGACATCTTGTAATTACTGTCCTCCTCAAACACTACTACAACATGCTGCATACATAGTTCTATGTAAAACATATATGTACATTATGCCTTTTACGCTAGAAATTGCATGATTGATATCGCACTACACCTACGTCTGCTCATTAAAATTGGCAGAAACACGAGTCTCTTCTATGCAAAATTATAAATTATAAATGATCCAGTCTTTACTAGTTTTATACTCTAAGTTTTCCAAGTTTAGTTGGAAATGCAGATGGATATGATAAATATACATGCATTACCTTCTTTTTAACCTTGACATTGACACGGTCATCAGCACACGTAAAAGTTTTTGACATGTAACCATTTGATGCTGAGACAGGATATGTGGAAGAATGAATCCTGGAGAAATTAAAATGAAAGTGAATTGTTTCTCATAATTCCAAAAATTTGTAATTTGCTTTTAGATCAGAATCAGATCAGACGCATGCGATATAAAGATGTTCCTTATGCAAATGAAGAGCGAGTATAAAAACGAATGGTTGGTAATTGTTGTGTTTCTGCTTTTGTAACCCGCACAAAAAAACAAGCAATTCATTGGACTTTGTTCTGTTTTTGTTATTCTTGCAGGACATCTCAAGAAGGTTATTTTATCCAACACGTGAACTCAATTGTGTTTGAAGAAGAGTAGCAATATTTTTTGCATGAATAGGAGAATATCATAATATTTACATACATATTTATGTAAGTATGAATATAATTTCATATCCATTATTTTCAGTAGTAGCTATTTTCACAAATTCAACCCGCTCACAAATTAGAAAATTATGTTTCAAGGAAAATATCGTAGATTTGACAAATTTTTAGATACACAGTTTCAAAGTGAGTTGTTTATTTATTTGCAATTCTTCTTCTGAACTTAATCACACGATACTTTCAGTGTATGTTATTATTTTGTTATTCTAAATTGCGTTTGAGCTCAAAATATGCAAGTCATAAAAAACAAAATTCTTCACATTTGATTAGCAAAAAATATAATTCGTCCAAACACGAAGTATTATTTATTCAATACTCGAACTGTTTCATATTAACATTAATAAACGAAGAGTATATTTAATTACTCTGGTTAAATAATTATTGTTTACATCACTTCATTCAGACGTGAGTTCATCCTCGAAAGTGAGAATAGTGCATATGTAATAGGCGTTGCCTGTCAAAAATAAAATAAGTTCGATCATAAATTCCAATCCTAATCCTCTTCAATCCTTTAATTGGTATAATTCTTACCTTCGCATTACTGGGTGATCGAGATGGGAAAACCCCACATTTCAGTCCAATTGACTATTTTCCATCATTTCTTTTGCTTTTTCAACAGATTCGGCCTGAATTTTCTCCAACTTTTCCATCGTAAATGACTTTAACGGAAGCAGTTTAGGTTTGCAAAGAACGAAAGTGAGCTCGTCTTCACAATGGAGATAACCTCGCTTTGGAATAACTTCTTTAATTTTGGACGATGATCCAATACCACCATCATCTTCGGCAATGGGGGTTTGTGCCTTACTTGGATTAATGGGAGGTTTTGCAGCCATATAAATTTAATAATTTGTTAAATTAGTCAAAGTATGTTAAAATGCAACGCAACTCATTTCTCGGTTAGGGAACCGATTAAGGCATGTGTATTACCCGGATCCTAGCTACGGTGACACAACAGAAATCGGACCCAAAAATAATGTATTTGGAATGAATTGAGCAGAAGTTACTCAAATAAATGTATCTGTAAGTGTATATATTTGTTAAAATTTCATTTCTTTCTACTTCTAGCTTTTTAGTGCGAACCATTTTCATGAATCATTTTTTTATTTTAATTGAAACTTTTGCATGAGTAATTTTAATAACGGCGTCGGAGTTATTTGTTTATATGTTTTTGTATATGCAATGTCACTTGTTATACAATAGTTTTATATAGAGCTTCTGTGCATGCTGCCTCATTTGAACTTTAATTTGATCAGATAAACAACTTCTACTTTGTAACCACTCTATTCAGTCATTGGCCGTGGTGACATCTGGGGACATTAAGATTGTAGGGGATGGAGGGGTTTATATGAGTAACATGGGCACATGATGCGGACATTGAATAATCGTGGGGACATTGTCCCTCTGTACCCACACTTCCGCGGCCACTATAGTACCGATTTTTATTCATGAGAATTCGTGGAATTGTCAAGTATTTATATAAAAAAACCTAACTAGTCTCACATGCTAATTTGATAATCCTGCACCATGCAAATGAACTTGGATGATTACAGGTGATCAACACATACGAGAACGACGACAGGTAGTGTGGATGTGTAATAACAGGAGCAGATTTGCAAAAGTAGATCTCAGTGAGATTTCACATTCGTATAGCTTCACAACTGCTCTTCTGTGGCTGAATAAAACATTACATTGCGCGAGATTTATACAGTAGAAATGCAGAATTTGAGACCAGGATTTGCATATTTTACAAAGCAATACACAACATTGTTATACATGATTTTAGAAACCAACAATTCGTTACTTTTACTTTAAAAAACTTTCAGTTATCGTGTGGCATGATAATTAAATAGAAATGTGCTCATTAAGCCGAACGATGATGCAAATTGCAAATTCAATTCCGTTTGCCGTGTTTTTGTTGTTACTTTCAATTTCTCCGTTATTATGTTTCCCCGTGGAACCTATCGACTGGAACTACCCACAAGCCCCTCTCGATTCTGAGCCACAAATTAAGCTCAGGTTGACAATTATTTAAAAACGATACCTTTTTTCAAAATAACATTCTGCAATGACTAAAAAAATCTATTTTATGCATGTAGCAGAAAACACCTCTGTCCCCCTGGCAAAACTTCGTCCTCGTTTCGATACCACACAGCGACTAAAGATTGTTATAAATTAGGCGAGAAAGGTCCCTGCGGACAGAATATGGTTTGGCATAGCGATGTCAATTCTACCGTTTTTGGGGAATGCGACTGTGATTTTCTGAATTCCAGAATTCCACTCGTCTATCATCCTGCGTCTGATCGGTGCTATCATATTTTTACCCAGGTAATGAAGAAAATTGTACGAAATATTTCAAAACAATACTAAAAAAGTTTCCCCATCTCTAGGCCTACTGCGAGCCCAATCAATGGGTCACATTTTCCGATTTCGACCCCACATGCGTCCGCGACAAATGTGACGATGTCATTTTCTTTGACGCAGACGATTCCAGTGATGGAGCAATCGTAGAATTTAATAATAAATGTGTTCAACTAAACTCCAAAAATCCTGCTTGTAAGCCAGACGAGATTGTAACCTTTGTTGCTGACCAAGTGCACCCAACATGTGGTCGAATTGGGGACGGGGAGGAATTTTCTGTCTCATTACATTCCGTTTTTAAGACGAGAACGCTATCTTGTAAGCCAGGGAGTCGTCGCGATGTTCATGGAAAGTGTAGAAGGACAATTACCATAAAACCTTCATCAGCACCTTCGTCAGAGTAAATAAGACAGGGAACCTTTCCCATTATTATTTACTGTGAAAATCGACTGATCAACAAGTACAAATAACTTTCACTTGGTATATTTACGGCTAATTTATGTTGGATAATTGAAAAATTGTAATTTCTACTCTTGAACTTGAATGTTGAAATGATAGCATTTTAAAATACTGTTTCACTCTTAAATGTCCACTCTTTCAGACTAGTCATGTATACATAGCTCGTAATTTTAATAACACTGTGTGCTCAGAAATAAAAGTGAAAAATGTTTCCAGTTATTTTTCGTCGCCTTAAATTATTTGCAATCGTCGTCATTATCCTCATTGCCAGTTGTGCCAGCCTTATTTCTGCCGAACCAGGCAGTGGAGGAGGAAAGACGAAGGATAAAGACCATGATAAGGACAAAGTTTTGTCCTACATTTTCAAGTCGACTGCCGAGAACGTGGACTCGCTATTGAGACCTTGGCCTTCCAACTCATTCATTAGCATCTATACGAACGAACTCCTCATAAAAGTCCTAGTTATGCTCTTCCCATTAATCTGCGTTATCATTGCGATCCAAACTTATTTGACAGTTTTTGGACCTTCGAACAACTACGTGGGCTACACGGGTGACAAAAGGCTCTTGAGCTAATAGTAGTTAAGGTTTGTACGTATTAGGCAAACAATAATGCTCTGATTTCATAGAGAAGAGAATTAGATCATTGTTCCACAAACCCAAATATAATGTGGATTTTGAATAATTCATAAAATATGGTTAAGTAATGTTCACACTTGTAATTTCCTTGAAATTTTTTGTGTCTTTACGTAAAACTACGCACAATGAAGCCATGTAATTATAGTGATATAAGTAAGTAATTTATTAAAAGCTGATTTTCCAATATTTATTTATGTACAAAACTGTAATTCACCAAATAATTTCTCTACCAGCATGAATTAATTTCTGTCACACACAACGCTCATAGCCATTTCCTAATCCCAAGTTATATGCATATGTATGTATATAATATGCATTTTGCAAAGTGGTGGTAGACGTCTCAGAGCTTCTTGATTTTAGAATAAGTATCAATTTACTACGTTACAATTGAGGCAGTTACAAATTCATTATGATTGTCTCATCCTACTAATGACTAGGCAGTGGTCACTAGTGAGTAACTTTAGAGTATTTTGGTTGGTCAGGTCATATAAAAAGTTGTCAGACAACTTACCATATAATCGCACCACTTGTGCACCATATAGCCTGCATAATTACGAAGATATAAATCTTGGAACCGGTAATTATTCCGCAAAATTCGTGGAACTTGTCAGCTGAATTAATACTTCAAGTTACTATTACGACTTTTTTATTGCTTCATTAACCACTACAAAAATTCCAAGCAAAACCCACAATAAATAATATTTGTCTGTCTGCCTACTCTGCTTCATTAATTGGCTTAATATACAATATCTGTAAATATGAGCACGCATTATTAAAGTCGTATGTCTTAACCACATCATGACGATAATTTTCTCACTTACGATTGTGATTCCTCAGTAATAACCACAATCACGTAGGTAAACGTATTTGGCTTTTCATACATAAAGCGCCCGAGAATAAAATATTTTCTCAGAAAAAAAACAAGAAACATAAATCTATCGTAAAAACGATACTTGCAAACTTTTAAATACATTACTTAAGTCAACGTCGCAGTTCATTACATAAAATAAATTCGAGTTAAAGTCATAAAATGGCATCTTCTAATATATCATTGTTTCCACGCTGGTTTTCAACTGTGCTGCTGATCCTCACGCTGAATATTTTCAGGACCATGTCAGTCCCAATTCCAGACAATGATATTTCTTATGAAGAGTAGGTTTACAAATAAATTACTGAGATTATCAGGTAAACCTCGTTAATTAATGACGTATTAATTTTGTATTGCAAAATTTAGCACCCAATTCAAATGCAAAAGAAGAGAATATTACCATAATGAGACTCAAAAATGCTACAAAGAGAGAACAAAAGGACCATGCACTGGGAACATGCTATTTCTAAAATTTGACAACAATGGTTTTGGAGATTGTGATTGCTCAGAGGATGAAGTTGTGCCGTATGTCTACAATCCGCAGACTAACGACTGTTATGCAACTTATGCACAGGTAAATACATGCCTTATGCACAATCTAATTGCCAATTTACTACCCACATAATTGATCTTAATTATGATTACTTAATTATTTTATAGTCTTATTGCTCTACCGGTGAATGGCTGATATTTGACGAGACTCTTAATCCAATTTGTGCTCCTAATTCATGTGTGACTCATTCAACTCCGAAAGTTGACGGGGATACTGTAACAGTTTTGTTCAAAAATGAATGTGTGGCCCTTAACAAACCATCAAAATTGTGCACCTCATTACAAGAAGTTGGAATTCGGAACAGTGAAGTGACTCCGGACTGCATCTCAACCATTGCAGAACAGTCTGTAGTTGGGACGAGTCAGTTAAAGTGCAGGCCAGGGACGAGACGAGATATGAATGGCAAATGTCGTAGGGCAATTACAATCTCTTTGACGGAAGAAGAGTAACTTTTCACTAACAATTTTATATTTAATGATCTCGGACGAAGTGCTGGCATTCTCGTCCTTTTTGTGTATTATCTATGTGTTATTTCTCGAATTTTAATAAAAAGTTATTCTTTAGCCGTGTTTAATCAGACTACTTGATTTTATTTCGCTATTATTAAAATCATTTAATTACTTTTCAATACAAGAGTTACAATAATTAATCATTAAATCGGTGGAGGGGTCTTAAGTTTCAAATCCTTCAGCCCTTGCCCATACCACAAGACCTCTTTCACCGCCAGGCCAATCCTATCCAGAACCATTTGATTGGTGGTATTTCCATCTTCGTCAATTAATGTATTCACAGTGGGAATTGGCACGTAACACGGAACAGGAAGGAGGCCCAGTTCATTGAGGTAGGGACGTACAATTGTGAGGGTCCGAGCCCCACCAAAATTTCCCATCGAATAGGTGACAATCCCCACCGGTTTGTGTCGGTATGATGATGGTGGGAAACAATTCATCAGGTTTGTAAGAGCAGGAGGTACTCCACTGTTGTATTCTGACACCACGACAAAAAACGCATCTGCTTTCAGCACAGTTTCATGAGCCGATTTCATCCAGGCTGGAACATGGTCGGGATTTTGAATGTAATGAAGTGGTTGCTGGACAAGTTCGTATTTTGAAAGCTTCAACGGATCCATCACAATCGGGGTTACGCCTCGGTTCTGGATGCATTTGTGTACCACTTTCCCCACTCGTTCGACCATCCTCCCCCCACGCACGGAGCCTAGGATGCTTACAATGTTTAGTGACATTGATAGAGCTGATTCTCCGGAGCTGTAATATAAACATTGACGTCATTGGTGATTCACTATTATGGAAGGTTTCAAAAAAGTATGCATGTACCTGCACAGAAGTAAATTAATAAATTCAAAATGGAAAAATAGTTTATTTATTTATTTAATTTTCTCGTTGCTTTTTAATTATAATTTTAATCTTTCATCAATTGCCTAATCATTAGAATCAAGGTTGCTTGACAACTTTAGTAATAATTACAAGGTTGCGACAATTGCTTCGACGCCTAAAAAACTTTAATTTTCGAAAACCCTGGTACCTTTTGGAACTAGTGTGCGTCGCACAAACTGTCGCCCAGAAACAAACCGCACAAAAATCGTCAACACTCACATTTCGTGCTTTCGATTCTCGAATTAATTTTTAGGCCTTTTAAGATGGCCTTATAGATTTGTCAAGATGTCTGTCTGTCCGTCCGTCTGTAGGCACGATAACTCTCTTTAAACAAAAGCTATCGAGTTGAAATTTTGCATGCTTCATTTTCGGGTAAAAAGTAAGGATGAGTTCGGAGATGAGCATGATCGGTCAAGTAGTTGGCCGGTGGGGGTCATTTCCACCCAAATGTGTTGCCATTAACTACCAAGATGGTATTAATGCTATCTTAAAAGGCCCTGCAAAGTTGCTTGGAGTAGGTTTTTAATCATGGATGTATTATGATAAATTGTCAAGCAATCTTGCACTCAAAGTTAGTGAGGGGAAAAGACCAAAATGTCTTTTCTCCTCACTGAAAGACTGCTGGAAGAAAATAAGAAAACTGCCTTTTCTAATTAAAAAAATGATTATCGAAGGGTTTTTACGAGCCTGTCGACAAAAATTGAAGGAACATAAAACTTGATTTGTTAGGGAAGGAAGAAAATAATACGCGGTAGGTGCGTCAAAAGGTCAAGTTGTCTTTGATAGTTTAACTTTAACACTTTATCATAATGCTAAAAAATAATTCTTCAGTTTGTAACTGGAGTTAAACATCACCATTCTGTTCTTTCTTGTTTTAGGAACGAGGACTGATTACTGAAATGTTGCTTGATAAAGATTTGGGCAGCCTCGAGTGGTGCTATCCGGATCGTCCATTGATGATCAATAGGAAGTACTCGTACCAATTGCTCAATATGCACAGCCCGGGCAATTTTTCAATCATCGTGGTGGATCAGACTTCCGTGGTGATTCAAAGGCAGATGAAGGAGATCTTTATCTGCACAACATTGCCGGTTGTGCATCGGTTGACGTTGCTTGTCTGAAGGATAGACTTCCTGTACCTGTCAAATTTGAGGATGGGTATGATCATGAATGGGACCTTGCGATATGTCAACAACACCAATAAGAAGCATTGTGCCAAATTTCATGCAAATCGGACGAGAAATGGCGAAATTATGGCATGGCGACGATATTTAGCGAAAACAAGGGGGTGGCTCTGGTTGGAGCATTGCGACATGTGGACAACACCAATAAGAAGTGTCTGTGTAAATTTGATGGAAATCGGCCAAGAAATGGCGAAATTATGGCATGGCGACGAAATTTGGCGAAAACAAAGTGATGGCGACGGTTGGGACCTTGCGACATGTCGATAACACCAATAAGAAGCATTGTGCCAAATTTCATGCAAATCGGACGAGAAATGGCGAAATTATGGCATGGCGACGATATTTGGCGAAAACAAGGGGGTGGCGGTGGGTGGGACCTTGCGACATGTCGATAACACCAAAAAGAAGTCTGTCGAAGTTTGATGGAAATCGGACGCAAAATGGCGAAGTTATGGCATGGCGACGAAATTTGGCGAAAGCAAGGGGGTGGCGACGGGTGGGACCTTGCGACACGTCGACAACACCAAAAAGAAGTCTCTGTCGAAGTTTGATGCAAATCGGACGAAAAATGGCGAAGTTATGGCCTGGCGACAAAGGTTGTCGCCATGCCATGCATTTATAAGGGGGGGGGAGCTGTTGGCCGCCCTAAGAAGGGCGTTTCCAGAGCACACGACGAGGACGTCGCTCCCTTGTGCTCCACGCGGGTAGACCCCCGCGGACGCATTCGGGCGTCCGCGGGGGTCTACCTCCACCGGCCGGGAAAGCCCTATCCACGTCACCGCCTCCGCGACCGCGTTCCCCCGGAGGGTCTCGTCTTACCCTCGCCTTACGAGGTGGGAGGTCCCCGTAAATCGGCCCCCATTAAGGCTTCGAACTCGAGAACCCGGTCGGCCCCAAGGGGAGGTATCGCTAAAGAGCGGCGTCACCCAAGGGTTGGAGGTAGAGAGCCCCTCTCACTTGCCAAGCGCCACCCGCACTTTTGGCAAGCCCCGCCGGCTCCCCACCCGGTGAGCCTGCTTGGTGGGAGGAGCATTGGAGGGGGGACCTTCCCGTAAGGCTCTCCCCTTGCAGCGTTGCTCCCCCGGACCACCCCTCCAACGGGAAGAGAGTCGGGGCTGTGGGACAAACCACGGGTGGACCCGACTCCCCAGAGAGGCAGGGCGGCCCAAGGGCGCAGCTGCAATGGGGAGCTCACCCAGGGACACGTCCCCCACGAGCGCCTCCCGCAGACTGACAAAAATTTCTGGTGCAGCTCCTTTTATACCCTCTGGAGGGCGGTGAAAGTTCTGCTATAAATAGCACCCGGTGAAAGTTCTGCTATTAATAGCACCCGGTGAAAGTTCTGCTATAAATAGCACTCAGTCATACTGTATGACTTGGTGCTATTAATAGCACCTGCGATAAGCGGCCTCACATGTTCCGTGTTTACAATTGTTACAAATAATTCATCATTAATAATTAATTATTTCAACGTTGTTGAGGTCGGGTAAATCACTGTAAATGTCGATTCTCATAGTTTTTTGGTCGCTGATTTCGAATCTGAGGTCAGTTTTTCGATTGCGACATCATGGGAAGGGACACAGGGCAAATTAATTATGTTCAAATAACATGTAAAATTATAAAGCTGCAAATATATGGCTGGGTTTGGTAGTAATTTATGAATAAATTAAAAGTTGACATAAATTCATGTAACTCTTGTCAATCAGAGAGTGAAACGTTTGGGAACCCATCACTACTGCCACTATGTGATAATTTTTGTAAAAATCTACATGCCAACTGCAACTTCGTCTCTTCACACTTTCAGTCTTCACGATACAAGAATCAGTGCAGTTGTAAATGTGAAATCGGCTATTTCGGCGTTCTGGTAGAAATTTTTGTGCTTTAATTACCGTTAGCGACGGCCCAAATAATTAGCACTTCAAAAATGGAGGTTTTTGAGGCTATCGAAGTGACGGTCGTAACCTTGTATTATGATATATAAATTAGAATTGCATGTAATTGCATTAGAATTAGCTGCCTTTAATTTTAACAATAATTTCTAATTGTTTACTGGACAGGAATGTTGTCAAGTTGATTTTTAATTACAAATCTTAATTTTACTCGAATTTAGTAGATTTCATTCGATTCTTCCTCAACGTGCATGAACGTCAGCAAAATAAGCAGTTGACATTGACCAGTGTCAAGACTGTCAACGATTTAATGGAATGCATGCTATGAATAATTATGAAATTGCAACACTCTATGAACTTGACCTTCCACTTGACGATTTCTCAAAATTCAGTGACTGGTTTCTTCCTCTGTGTTCATTCATAAATTGTTTTACATATATGCATAGCCAACACGAATTGAGGTTTCTTGTGTACATTTTCATATTGAAAATGTACACAATATTTGGAATGCAGTTCCCATGCATCAACCTCAAGCAAGGTAAACCTGACTTTGTCATGAAAACCAAATCATTTTTCCATCATGCTGGACTTATGAGAATTGTGTTATGCAATCCTACACCTAAAACGTTGTTGTTTAACATTGAGTTTCTCACAACAAGTGACTAAGATTCACCTGAATCTCTTACCTTTTAACTTAATTGTAAGTGACAACTTTGCCACTTTTGTAATGCAAATTCCATCGCATCCAGTCTTAACAGCAAAGAAAATTCCAGATTACCTAAACTAACGCAACGTAATAACGCGACTGGATTTTTGCCTTAGGACGTCTTATGATGAAGAATACGATCGCTGGGAAAACCTGTCTTCGCAAACAAAAGTCCTTCAAGGATGCCCCTTTACAATGTAGCAAGTGCTCCTACACCAACATCAAGTATAGCGAATCCTATATAAACGGAAGTCATGCTTTGCACAGTATTCATTAATCAAGAGTCTTTTGTTGCGAGCTGTGCGTCTTTGCTTAACAAAACCAAAACAAGAAGAACAAACAATTGCAAAACTTCTTTATTTTTAATTAATTAAAATGTTGAGTAGACGCATCATTTACGTCTTCCTGACGATCTCAATAGTATTAAATCTTCAAAGTGTTTTACCATTTTCGCATGGAAGAAGACAGAACTCTAGGTTTTCTAAAGATTTTGTGTTGAATGTGCCCGAATCTGTTGTTAATGAGTCAAATGAATCAGAAGAAGAAGCCATCACAATCAATACGAGTGGTGATGAAGAAATAGTGCAAACAGGATCTCAAAAAAGGACTAATGGGAGATTGTTGGTAGCACGAGAGGATGCTCAGCTACGGTGAGTCATCATTGCACAAAACAAAGTGTTGCAATAATTCTTTTACTTACTCAAGTTAAAATTATGCACATAATGGCTGATCAAAATCCTAATTGGTATTTAATTTTCTTAAATGCAGAGAAATCCTCTGTCCGGGAGCCAATATACTGTCGAGATACGACTTAAAAACGGGAAAATGCTCAGAAATTGACACACAAGGACATTGCGGAGAGAAAATGGTTTTCAAAGAGGAAATGGACAGTGCGTCGTATGGATATTGTGAATGCGACTTTGAAAATCATGAAGTTCCATTAGTCTTTCATCCTTCGTCTAACTCGTGTTATCCAATTTATTCGCAGGTGAGATTTCTGATATTATTTACAATAGCAATCCCAATGATACTAAATAAATGTTGTATCATTAAATATAGGGCTACTGTAAGCCTGGCGAATGGCTAATCCTCAGCAAAGAAGCACGAGGACCACTTTGTCAAAAAAATCAATGCCTCATTCCACTCCAGCAACGATTATCTACCAAAAATGGACGGCTATCATCAAAACTAATATTTCCCTGGATTTGGGATATCAGTAGTAGCAGCAGCATAATCTCATCCACGGAATCTGCTGCTCATCCTTCTGGCCACGATCCAGTGATCAAAATTAAAGATAGTCGGATAAAATCTGCTCTTCTTGCTCCGATTCCGCAACGATTTGTGCCGCTCAACGGAACTGGACCGTGCGTCCTGTTAGGAAGCGGATCAAAATTTTGTGACGTTAACGAAAAAGTAATTATTGACCGGGATGATATCCTTCCTCGATGCAGAGTTCCTGGAAAGACGCTCCGACGCTTGTCCATCATTCCGAATGCGTGTCCTCCCGGTAGTTATTACAGCATTATTGGTTACTGTCAGCCAGTTTGGGATTTTTAACGGGCATACTCTGGTCAATTTATTATAGTGATTTCTGAATAATTTATTATATTTTTTACCATTACTGCTGGTCTCATTACTTAAATTATGCACAATAAAAAAATTTCGGGTTTTATTACTCTAAATAAATAATATTTAAAAAAAAAACTTTATATAATTCCTGGTGCTCTATTCGTCTCCATTAATAATATTCGGATCTCTTAAAATTACGAGGTTTAAAGCGTCTTCCAACGAAGCTAGTAAAGGAACCAGCATCGTGCTCTCTAGTTTGGATACGTCTTGTCTATTTATCTGTAAAGTAAACACAATAAAGTTTAGTAACACTGAGCTCTTTACTTTGTTTGGCCAAATCCATAAAAGTGTGTTAAATCCATTCTCACCCACCTCCATAATTCTATCACCGGCCCGCAACCCGGCTATATAAGCTGGTCCTGTAACAATTACGATATTGGAATTAATTGGAGAAAGCCACAAGTAATGGACAATAATACATTTATTAAGCATAAAAATCATGGATTACCACCGGGTCGGATATCACCCACTATTGCACCTTCCTGATTATTCTGCTCCTGTATATTTTTTCCTAGCAATTTCGTCCTGCTGTTAATAACTTGATGATGAGCGGATGTATTATCAACTTCTGAATCTGTGTCGCCAGCGTCACACTCAACATCAGTCTCATCCACTAAGCTAAATCCCCAATCCTCGTACAACGGATCTTTCCAGAGGCTAAGAGAAAGCACACAGCAACCACTTTCACCACCATCACAGTAACCTCCTTGTTCTTCTTCTTGTTCATCAACTTTCTCAATCTGCCTCCTGGGCAATAAAAGCAAACTGCTGGGACTGTGCATGTTTCTAAAAGTTTTCCCACAAAATGTGCTCGTCATAATATTATTACCACCACCATTTTGTTGGTGATTATTCGTGATGGAGTTTGAACTATCACTTTCACCAAGGGTCAAAGTAGAATCCGACCCCCCAGAGTGGATGTCAATGTCCTCCGTGGAATTGTTACTAGCGGGTGGGGGTAAAATGTGACACTGGACTTGTTGCAGGATCTGATTCGGATGACAAGGCACTATGGTCAACTTAATGGAGGACTGTTTACACGTCAGTTGTCTTAAGATTTGAGCAATTTGGTAAGAATTATAGAACGGAGAGCAACAAGGAATACTAGTTTCCTCCGCAGTTTGGTCGTTCGTGATGTAGATGGATGTCACGATGTCACCTTGGAAAGAAGGAAGGAAAGAAACAAAACTTTCAATATGAAAATATTTTCTCACGATAATAATAAGTCATTGAGTGATTGCATGGGTATTTTGAATTCAGCTATGTTGAAAGTCTAAATATTGTTTGAAGACAGTCCAACATTTTTAACTATCCATATTATTATTCAAATCACTTTAGAATGGAGTACATTTTCGGTTATATTTTAGCCATGTCGGCTACAGGGACTGCCCCCTCAGCAGAACAAGTTGAGGAAGTTGTGATATCTCTCGGAGTTGAAGTTGACCAGGCGAAATTGAGAAGAATTATTACACGTTTTCACGATCAGGATATTAGGCACGTAATAAATCAAGGTAGTAAAAAAATTGTTTCTGTAACTTCTATCTATAAATTTTTTTCCAACATCATTTGCAAGACTATTTTTTCTACAGTTAAGGAAGACATGTTATGGACCCAGAGCAGCTCAGCAGCATTGGATGGACTGTTAACAATCATTAACAATAATGAAACTGTAAGTGATATCATCAGGGACATACAATTACCTACAATAATGTCACATTTTATAAATTGCAGATACTTGAAGAAAAAAATGACATGATTAGGAGCTTGCAATCAGAGAATGATTATTACTGTACAATGAATAGGCAATTAATCAAAAAATCAAAATCGCGGAATCATGAACAGATTTTTCCATCTGATGTTTCACATGTTTCTGACATCCAAGAAAATATCCCATTGGTCTCGCCCTCTACATCGGCTACTCATGGTTCAAGTCTCGTTCTTAGACCCCCACTTTCAATTATTCAAGCACCACGCCAACCAGCTAAAAGGAACCAAACAGAAGCCAATACGAACTATTTGAAGAAAACCAAGCAAATTTCCCCCAAGACTAGTTTTCAAGGAATATTTGGCACTTCAAAAGTGAATTTGATGTCTCATCTTGTTTTGGAAATTGGAAATCAAAATGTTTTCATCAATCCCAGGCCAGGTGTTATTGAGTATGTACAATTGAAAAAGGAAGACATAAAAGGTTACATCATATATGAATCATATTAATTTTGTAAATGTTTAAAGTATTATACTTCACATGCCAATTTTTCAGACAACTCTGACTGCTACCAAATCTGGGTTGGGCGCGTGAGGAACCTCCATCAAGGATGTGAAGTAATTGATCGAAACCTTTTCGGATTTACCATACAAAAAAATGTTCAAGTAGCTGCTTTTGATATTTTGCAAAAAATCCGACGCAAGATCCATTTCCCTTTAACAGCAGATGCTTGTTCAAGTTGGTAATAATAGTTTACAAAAGCGTCCTGAATACCTCCATTGTAATTTACCATCTTTACTTAATAATTACATAATTAATATGAACAGGACGGATTTCCGAGAAGGATTATTCGTGAGAGTCGATGAAGTTTTCCCAATAGATATTTTTATGTTGTCGGATTATGTATCAAAACAAGTCAAGTTTGATCTGAAGAAGAATCATAAGGGATTGGGAACATTGAAGTCCGAGACGGTGGTTTTCTATTATTTACCACAGTAAAATTATGTTACACATTTTAATAAATGTTCATTATAGGCAAAACTTCTGATGGATACGCACCAACCAATACTTAATGAAGCTATGTCTCGTTATTATGAATACTGCAAAGGTCTCACTCGTCACGCCATTCCTGACGTTGATGTAAGATAAACCTCAAATTTAGTGGTGTGGTAATATATTTTTAATATTAGGCAGGTTGAAATGAACGTGTAAAAAAATTGTTAACGTGTAGCTATAGCTCCGCCCACTTTTTGCTACAAGTAAAATGCTCGGAGGTTGAGAAAATTTGACCCGTAACTTGTAACCTGCGTTACAAGTTACACAAAATCTACAAGTTTCGTGGTACGTGTAGCAACCGATCTACACGTCAAAGTTAACTTGTAGAGAAAAAAGTGAAAATTTTCGAGGTCGTTACGTGTAGCAACCAACCAATCAGAATTGAGCAGTGACGTCACTCAGGTTACAAGTTCACGTTACACGTTACAAGTTCATTTTCTCAACCTGCCTATTGTCCTCTTTAAAAAATGTTTTTTTAGATGAACAACTTGCCCAAACCTGGGTTCACACGGACTGATGAAGATAAAACTTGTCCATATTGCAAAAAACTTTTTGCAACGGTCCAAAATAAAAATAGACATCTTAATTCCGGTTGTGATGGACTCCCAAGGCCAAAAAACCCTCACCCCCCTAACAAACCATCTCCACTCGAAACTTTGTTTTCGTCGACGCTACCTCGTCCAACATTTGACGTGGTGTTTGCAAGGACATTATCAACCAATTCGAGAATGTATTGTGGCGGTCTGGGAAAGAACGTATCCCAAGAGTATTTGAGAAGTAAGTTCTCCGAATTCGGACAGATCAAAGTGCTAGTGATGGAAGAAGGAAGTGGATTCGCATTTATAGAGTACGAAGACAAGCATGACGCTACCAAAGCCATTATCAATGTTAACAATACAGTTATTAGTGGAAATACTGTAATTTGCTCCTGGGCAAAATAATTATTATATTAATTAGTTTAACAGTCTGTTACAAAAATAAATAAGCTACTACGATGTTTGGTTTTAATGTTTTTATTTCATATCACCAGTTTGGAGGAATCCACATCGGTCAGCAAGCGACCCCGGTTGGATGGAGCTGATCCGAATTTTGTTCTCGGAGGAGTCTGCGAGTGCCAATCCGAGGGATGTGTGGCTTCTGAAAAATATAGGAAAGGCGAAGACGTGACAACATGAAAACTTTTTTTTCTCCTTGAGTGCGTGTGAGTCCAACTAACTGGATTATTTCTCTCATTGTTTTCTACTTTTCGCTACTCTTACCGATTTCCAATTTCTATAACCAACGGATAATTGGGTCGTACGTCGACCAGTAAAACTCCAAAAGTTACTTGAAGTTTTACCAAGTTGCTGTCCCCCTCCATTTGGTTCTGGTCATCGTCATCCTCCACAATCCGAATGTAATCTCCGAGTTGTACAATTCCCAGAGCGTGGGCCGGTCCACCGTGTCTCATATGGATAATTTTTCCTTCCAGGTTGACATCGCAGCCAAAATCTTTTGGCACAGTGACACTAGACAGAATTAAATTACATGCACATGATTTCTGGCATAACTATCACCATTTCACATGATTTGAATGTTAACTCAAGTAATTTAATGGTGTGTACCTTAAGATTTTCGTCGCAACTGATGCAGAGTTGAAGGACATGCAGGATAAATTAGATGATGACAAAGTTTTTCTCCTACTGCTTGGCTGCGACACTTTATTTTTTCTTCGAATTGACCCAAAATCCATGTTTGGTTGATGTGAGCAAGTACTTTAAATCAAAACTTAACGAGTAGTAGTAGCACAAGTCTGTTGTGTAATAAGAGACGTGATGACATTGCCTGTGTTTCCCATTAACTGGAAACCCCATTTAGATCTCAAGTCGCAAGAAGTTGTAATGGTATATGTATTCATTGCACCCACACAAAATCACGAATCCTCCCCGTTTTTGGTTGACTTACTTACTATGCTTAGTCACGTAAAGGAAAAAGTTAAAGAATCAACAACAAATCTTTTGTAAAAGGAGCCCGACTTGAAGAGCTCTGTTTTTCTGTATGTTTTTTCTTCTAAGTAGTTGGATACACATTCCAGTGTTTAAGACCCAAACACCAGAACAGTGAGTGAACGAGCTAAAAACAATTCTTCTTCTACCATCAAAGTATTTTAGGAAATACTGACGCTGAGACGGATTTCCAACCAACCGAGCCGATTCCCAGCAAAACTAAACTGAAGCCTGCGACACAATTGCACTTTGGTTTTCTCTCTCTGCTTTTACGTGCTTCTTCAATTTCAACTCTCTCTCACTTGTGTGTGTGCCTATCAGGGTTTTACCGTGGGGAAAATAGGGTGGGGAAAATGGGTGGGTAAAATGGGTTTTAGCCACCCACCCCAAAGCCCCGCAAGTGGGGAAAATGGACAAAATGGGGAAAATACTTTTTTGGGGCAAAACGATTCACTTTTTCACTCTCAACTTGAAAGATAAAGTAATTCATCATACTAAATAACACGAGAGCTCTGAAAAATTATCTAAAATATAGATAATTGCTGACTCTCTCTGTATTCCTTTCTTCGAAATTGTTTGCATTTCCTTCTTCATGTTTAAGGTTATTTTAAATAGATGGTTGATTCATATTCGATATCACTGTCAAGATCTAATGACAAAAGATAATTTGTATCCTTTATGAGAGATTGAAATGAATGTACATTGTTAGGATATTTCGTATTTACCCAGAATTTACCCATAGTGTAGTTTTATTTTTACTAAATTGGGAATTTTAAACCTAATGAATTATTTAACGGTAAAATAAAAAATCGAGTGGTTTATTTTATAAACAGTAAGAACATAACAAAACAAGGAAAATAATTTACCCCCAATGGTGGTGGTGGTCCACCACGTCACTATAACCCTTCATACCCATTTTCCCCATTTTTTCCATTTTACCCACTGGGCTGGGGATTAAGCTCAAAAGGTGGGTAAAGTAAAACCCTGGTGCCTATTGTAATCTGTGTGCCGAGACCGAATATCTGTCCGTACGACCAAATACGTACGTGTCCTTTTACCACTGCTATTTACCACACACCACCGAAAAAGACAAACCAACTTGCATCAATTGTGCCTTTGGTCTCAAAATTTCTCAAAAGTCTCTCTGTAAGCAAGTTGAAAAAGTAAATTGGAGATTTGTCTGCTGTACGGATCCAACTGGGTGCTGAATCTCAATTCGTGCATGAACACTTGAGAAGATCTACTGGAAGTGAATATGTATGCATGGAGTTCTTTTTGAAGAGTATGGACTTTAGCCAAAGAAAGAAGAAGAAGTCAAACTATACGATTTTTTTCCTTTTGAAACTATATAATCCTATTTTTAGTGAGGTCGCGTGTGTGTACACAATCTGCACTTATAAATCCTAATATTCCAAATAATATAGACACTTTTACTTTCTAGTGTGTGCTCACTCAATTCCAGAGAGATGAGATGATACTGCTCCTCTCTTAACACTCGTCCTATTCCCATCTCAGCCTCTTCGCTGCTTATATATCCACCCGTTTGTACGGTGGCTCTCTAGTTTGGGCAAGGATTTAAATCTCATCTAAAAGGATTTTCTTAAACTTTACGCCCAGCCGGCAAAGAAGTATACACGAGCACCCGTTGTTTGAAGTAGGAGCATTTTCACTGCAGTCAATTCCAGCCTGTCTGCGAGTAAATATATGAAATGAATATGATCTTTTATGGTGTTTATGCTAAGGAGGAAGAAGTTGCGACTGAAATAAGTGGCTCGATGTGGTCCTGTCTTTTACATACACGTTCGCATAATAAATATATATCATGTTGGGTGGCTGATATAATAATATGATAATAATATTCGTTCCGTCTTCGATATTCGGATTGGAAGGTGTTGTGCGGTCGGATGTAGGTATTAGACGCAGCACGCGATATGCATAAGCAGAAGAAATTGTTCTGGGAGAGTATGGAAATGGAAGTGGAACAAGGTGCGGAGGTGAGTTAGTGGAATTACGACCGTTTTTCCTACTTATCACACCGATGAGAGTAGCAGACGATGAATTGCTTCATCTCATCTCACCCGGGGGCATTTCCTCTTCCTAAGTCACTACTGCATCCAGGAGAGACTTCTTCCTAGGATGTAGGACATGCATACATACGCAGAGACGAAAGTGAAGTTTATAACCTTTTCTTGCACAACGCAGCAAAATCCAATCTTGGACTTTTAATGTACATTTTAGGTATGTAGCGAGTTGATTAGTGAAGGGTTTTCTGGTCATAAAATCTGAAGTAATTCTTCCCACAATGAAAATGAATCAAACGCTGCTAAAGTAGTGCAACATATTAGTTAACATGTTCCTAAACAAGATACGTCCCTATAATATAATAATGACTCGAAAAAGTTTTCCATCAAACCATTACGTTGCTTGTGGTTGTTTCCTAGAAAGATTTTTCCGGAAGGAACAACTTTGATGTTTCCTTTTAGCAGCAAAAAGAAAACTTTTTCTTGTGGGAAAGGGTTACATTACGTTACATGCAACTACCAACCCCAGGATGTAATAACCCGAATGTCATGATAATGATAAATAGAACATCCATTGCACTCACTTCACTTTTCGTCTGATGAAACACTGTGCCGAACTTTTTTCTTCTTCTCAGCGGTGATAATGTTCAGAAGCAGAGGAGGCCTCCCTCACAGTTCTTTCGCACTTACGCAATTTCGAATGTGGTAAAGTAATAATAACGCAGTTTGACTATGTTGGATCATCTTCTTGGCCTTTTCTCGGTGGCGGTGGTGGTAGTGAACATCCCGAGGGATCGATAATGTCATATCCGCTCATCCATTTAAGATGGTTAAGAACTGTCTAATCTAAAATTCAAGTTTCTCTCCCACACTAAAATGTATGTACATGCAGCAGGCTCACCTGTGACTGTGAATGGCAGGCTGACAACGACATGTACTAAAAACCTGAGGAAAATCCTGCATATTACTTAAGCCACATCATGTTCAGCCTGACGATGAGTAATAATATAATGCCAGCGGTAACACCCAACAGCGATTTTCTCCCTAGATTTCCATTTATAAACCTTTCTCTTCCTCCTCGTTCATGCTTGACTAAAAGTTGGACGGATCTTATCTTTTCCTAAAATGGATGGCACACGAGAACCACTTACTTGCATATGAATGGATTACATGTGTCCTCAGTTTTTCACTTATTTTAGTCTGTTTTTCTCTATTTTATCTATTTTCCTTGTCTCGTCCGTCGTATTGATTGGTGGGCAGATTGGGAATAATTTTAACAACATGACGCCAACGCGTGGCTTGGTTGATCTGATCCATCTGGCAGGTTGACATAGTCATAGGCATAGGAGATTTGTGGATGTGGCAGTTGTTGGTTTTGCTACTAGGCTCTTTATATCTTTTAGTGAGATGCTCAACTTTTCTAATTGACCAAATGTGCTATGTGTTTATTTATTATGCGTTTCAGATGACTGATGCATGAGACACGTAAAATCGAATCTATTTAAATTTTGTGTTTTAGATGCAAAATTTTGAATTTTGAGAAGGAAAAGTTTACCTTTCTTATATTTATAACTTGATGCTTATCCATTTCGATAGACGATGCATCTGAACTGAAGGAAACATGTGCCAAATGAAAATTAGGCATTCTTTTCCATAGTTAATTACGAGTAATTTTTTTTTGACTTTTCTGTTTGCAATTGGAATTTTAGCCGACTTGCCTTCCTTGGAATACGGAACGATACAAATACGGATTCTATTGAGACGGAAATTCCAATTTGAGTGAAATGTTAAAGAATGTTTGTGTTATTCTTGTTCAGAGATCACTTGAGACTTGACAGTTTGTGTACTTGAAGAGATTTCCCATAATATTCAGTAGAGAGGATGGATGATGACATGATAGAAGATTTGGCTGCTGCTGACGCTAAGAGCATTGACATTAATAGATTAGTCTACACACCGAAACCTCTGTATGTTTTTTAAGTACCATTTATTTATACAAATCCATGTACATTCATACGATCTTAATTAATCATTTGGCTTATTAATTTGGCTTGATATCAAATATTTATGGCTTTTAAATTTATGCAGAAAAAGTGAAAAGTTGGTCGATAGAACGTCTGGATGGGTTGATTATTGGCTGGTGCTTGTCAACTTTTGCAGTCTGGTGAGTCTTACAAATTCAGCAGTAAAATTTCGCATACATACTTTACATATTTACAAATTTCAGATATTGGCCATGTACCACCTTCTCATCGGGATGACTATATTAAGCTTTAGTTCAAGCATTCAATCAATTCTCGACGAATCTGGTAGCGATCAAGTTGCAGTCCTGCACACCGTAAAGGACTCGTCCCCCTCCACAATTTCTCTGGTTTTAATTGGGAGTGCATTCTTTCAAATTATTAACGCCGTGGGTGGAGTATACGGTTGTCTTCAAGGAGTTAAAGATATGCTGATTATAGTAATAACACATATGTAGCCACCCTACAACATATCATAAGACTACATATTTTTATATTTTTTCAATTTATATTGCAGCACTTAGTTTGCGCCTTTCTGCTACTGTTTGGAGAAATAGTATTTTCAGCCTTAACATGTAAATCGGCATATTGCAGTCTTGATGACATTCGAAAGTTACAGGACCAGATATTAGAGTTTATCCGAATACATGGCACTGAAGCTCCTCAGGGTGCGGAAAAATTACTCGCTTATGAAACCGCAATTTATCAACTGGACAGTATCCAGATTGGGGTGTGATATAAAGTTTCGCATGATTTCTTATGGCAAATCGACATCAATATCAGCATGTTTTTAGCTATCTTGTTGCGGAGCTATTGGTTGGGCAGATTACATCAATCCGGTCATTTTGCAGGATGGAAATAAATCAGCCCCCATTCCCATTCATGTGGATTTGGATGGGGTGGAAACAGTATTTCCATGTAATGTCGTATTCTTCGAAATTAATTAATTAGCCAAACTAACTAATTAATATTATCACGACCTTCCAGCATCATGTTGTCGTGCTTGGTATGTTTCCTTTTTTGTAAGTCTGGTCAATAGAAAGTTTAATGATACAATCGTAACTCTAGGTGGGTACGAAATGTGCATTGTTCAAAAGGAGTCCATTTGTGGGCGCATCCTGCAGTGGACGACGTAACAGCTACAAAATTTCGGCAACGTATCAACCAAGCTGTAATTGATAAAAATCTACAATTATGCATAGGATAAATTCTACAGTTCCTTGTTTGCTCTGCAGGGTTGCATGTGGAGAATTTTTAACGGATGCAAACGGTAAAATAATTATAAATTATCATTGATTTTTTGTATTGCATTGTCAATTTGTATGCATATAAATATGTGCATACGTGTAAATCGATCTAGAATAAGGGGACTAGTCACCATCGGACTAGTCATTGTCACCGTCATAGATTTTTTTCTGGTCGGGATCAAGATATACTGCGCTTACTCAATTGTCAAAAATATATATGACATAATTAGAAAGAAAAAGGAAATTATTGCGAGTGATATTGGAGCCGATGTTGACGAGGAGCTCGAAGAAGGGGTGGACAGGCGACCTTTACCCACTGAGGATGAAATTGAGTTAATCAAGGCTAGAAGTGACTTCAATAAATTCGAGGCAAGATCCAAAAAGACAGTAAAAATAATTATGTATGAGATGTCATGTATGTTAATGAGGTTGGAAATGTGTGTAGGCACGTGTGAAACGAACCCAAATTGGTAGATGGATGAAACAAGCGAGAAAATCTGTCTACTTGACATTTTCTAAAACACAAGCAGCAAGTGTTCCAAGAAGACTTTCTATCGTGGATATGAGAAGGAAATCTCTCACTGGATATATTGGTAAAACACATAGTGATAATTCAAAGATGGGTGAAGACCCCGACGAAGAGCAATTTCTCGACGCTGAGGCCGTCTTAAAATTGGAAATTCAGAAACAAATGAGAAAACAGGATGAGCGTCGTCTGAGAGAAATGAAAACTCCGGATTTATCACATCTCAAGTTGACGAAAGCACAACTAGAGAAGAGAGAAAAGGAGAAACGGAAATCAAAACATTGGATGATGAAAGCTAATGAAATGTCCTCATCAACTAATAAGTAACCAATCACGTTAATCTTTCATAAATTGATTATTAAAATGTTGCTTGTTTATTTCTTTGTGTTCTTTGACTTGAATATTTCTATCGCCTTTTGCTTAGCACGAGATTGATCTGTGGCGCTTTGCATCACTTGAGGAATATTGACAGTTTTGTTACGATGTAGGTTTACATTAATTTCCTCTAGTGAACGAGATGCTGAAGGTTCTTCGTTTTTCTTGTAATCATTATTGAGTTTCGCCTTTGGACGTGGGGGCGGTGGTACTTTCTTCTTAGGACGAAGAGGAGGGGATTCTTCCAAGACTTCTTCTTCAGAACTTGATTCGGAACTTAGTGCCACCTCATCGACTGGAATACTATTTTGTTTGAGTTTCTTGAAGGCGTTGTCGAGACGTTTGCTTCCTCGCTTTCGTTTAACAGGTTGATTCAAATCTTGACGATTTGAGAGTAGAAAGCTGTCTAAAGTTGGTTGTTTCAATTTGTCCATTTGACACTGCAAATTCTTACTAACGGGCAGCAACATTGAATCGCATTTAGCCTGATCCCACCCGAACTTATTGGAGGCGTAGGTTTTTATTGCATCAAGGTCTGGATTTCCCCATCGAAATGTTTCTGTCGAGGTATCAATTGAAGGATTCATATATGCCTGATACACGGCTTCACTTGGAAACCCTAAACACAAAAAAAAATAAATTAGACTTTGATATTTTAACAGGTTTAAACATTTCAACTGATTTTTAAGGATTTTTTTACCAGGTTGCAGTTTTAATTTTTTAAGTTTTTCGCGAATTTTAGGCATGTCTTCTGGTATACTGATGTCTGGAAGATTTATCATGTCCCACCACTCACGGAACTTTACTAAGGTGTCGAAAGCACTAATTTCATTCGTAGGAAACTCAGCCAAAATTTCCAACGCCGTCACTGGCCCGACACCCTCAATCCCGTCACTGTAATCACCCCCACTCAACATGGCTATTAGTACAAGTTTTTCTCTGTCCAGATCTGTTTAGAAAAATAATACACATGACTTATTTTTAAGTTTAACCATGATTTACATTAAGGGAGTAAATAAGTACGTACTCAAGTTCTGTGTAATGTCTGCAAGTTGATAAAACTCTATGGATTTATGTCCATAAAAATTCTTGTAAACGCGTAATGAACCAAACAGCCAAGCGTCTGAGTCGTCAGTAATTGTTCCATCCGTTAAACAAGCAACATCTAAAAACGCACACTGACTTTCTGCTTCATGAGGGCTAATGATGTATGGAATCCCGAACAATCCTAACAATTCTTGCGTTTCTACACTGATCTGATCTGAAATTGATGTCGCAACACGTGCCTGAAATCCTTTCTCAGACTGCAGTTTTGTTCTTTCAGCATTCAAACTTTCCTGAAATTGGTCAGATAAAATATTAAACGTATTATAGTTATTTTTGGGTCAAGCGGATAAGATATACCACACCACCCAATATGTACCTGAGCCTGCATATATTCGGCTGTTATCATCCTAACTTCTGTAAAATTTGACTGCTGGGGCATTCTTCCAAGCGTTCGGTTAATTTCCTGGTTTCCAGTTTCTTGGACGGTTTTAATTGGGGTCTTTTTTCCCAACTCTTCAATGAACTCGGTATCAGGGTCTGAATCCCAATTAATTGCTTCCTCCACGCGTGGCTTTGACTCTTGTCTTTCAACATCCCTATTTGGCGTTATCTCAGTATTCTCATCATTTTCGAAAATGTCAGCAAACATGTCATCTCCGTCACTTTGTGCTGAAGAAGAAACCACATCTGCGATATTTATTGTTGCAATTGCAAAGGTACTAGACCCCGAGTTGTTGTTGTTAACTTGCGACGAATTATTTAATAGGTTGTTGACGATGTCATGTTCCTTATTATTTTCACCAATTTCTTGCACAATGGATTCCCCTTCTTCTTCTACATCATCAAAATCATCATCACTTTCGTCACTTTCGCTAACACTTTCAGGAATTTTTTTAGTGGGAGTTGTTCCACTTGAAACAGCTCGAGATGAAAATCCAACAACATCTAAAAATTTGGAACAACTTGATGATGCTGCAGGGAGGATTACCAGCGGTTTAGATGGTGAGATATGTTTATTTGTTGAACCGCTTTGGACTTTTAATTCATCATTACCCTTTATAATATCTTGTTCTTTTGTGCTGATTTCCTTTGTGGGAGATACTGTAACAATAGTAGAATCAGTGCTACTTTGCTCCAAGGATAATTTGATTGCTAGTGCTATTTGTTCTTCCTCGTCTAAATCAGAAGCTAGTTGATTTGAATTGGACGGTGACCTTGCTGAACCGGATGCCAAGTTAAATGTTTCGTCGTTGGATACTGTTTTGTTAAAATCATTAGTTTCACTGTCTGTGTCAACCTTGTCAACCAAAGTTTTCATGCTGTTTGAGTCCTCGTCCATCGTAAGTGATGAACTTTCCTCTGAATCCTTATTCTGTATCTTTTTAAGCGGACTTTTCTTCACAAGAACGAATCCTTTATCTTTAGATCCAACAACGTCATCGCTATCAAAATTATAATTCATTTTTAAAAGTTCGTCCAAATTTTGGACATGAATATGTCGCTTTCCCATCTCCTGCTGAACGGATTGAATTTTCTTTTGTAAAAATCTCCTCTTCACAAGTCTGTCCATTTGATAACTACTAAAGTCTTGCAAATTATTTGGCATTTGCTCCATTTTTCCCCATGAATTCATCTTCCTGGATTCTTGCATTTCAAACAAGATCTCGTGTTGCGTTTCAAGTGGAAGAACGTTAAAATCTTTGGAGGTGATGGCAGAAAAGTTTTCCGCGTAATCCATTCCGTATCTACGAGATCGCTCCTCATCCGAACTGTCATCCTCATCATCGTCTACTGTGTCGACTTTGATACAGGTTTTGTCGACACGATCAACATCCATTTCAGTGCTCGAGGCAAATTTTTCTCTAAACTTTTGTAATTCGAGATCCACATCCTGAAATTTATCCCTCTTCGTTGGAGATGAAGTAGCAGTGGATGATTTTTTCGGTGAACTTGACGAAGCAGAGGAGGAAGCAATTTGAGGATCCAATTGTTGATTTGGATCTACCGGTCTCGTCCCTCGATGCAATTGTTGTCGGATAAAATTGGATAACAACTTTTGTCGTGCTACCTCAGATTTGTCGATAGCTTCCAGTTTATGTTTTCGTCTTCCTGCCAACGTTTGTCGCTTAAGAATTGGAACGCCTCCGTCAAACACAAAAATCGGCTTGATTCCGTAACTCAGAAGTTTACAAACTCTGTAAAACACTCCAAGCAAGTGAGCATTTGGTAGCGGGTTGCCATCCTTGAAATACAGAGAAAACAGGGTAAAAGTTTGATGTAACAAAGAATTAAATTAATACATGTTTTTATGTCTAATACAAAAATGTGTTATACAAACTGAGATACATTTAGTAAAAAATTTACCTTGTCACGGAATCCTTTCACAAGCTGGTGTAACCAAATAGAGGCGTCTAGTTTATAAAAGTATATTTCAATTAACTGACTTCATAAATACTAATAATTCATACACTGCACATATAACGTGCACAACGTTTTATAAACAAGTTCCTTACCCACGGCAAGAATTTTTCCTCTCAAAGTGTGCACTTCAACGGGACGACCTACAAGATTTATAATTCGAAAAAACTCATGAAAATCCATATTATATACGTTATAATAACTTTTACCGGCAGGTTCCAACAGCTGCCAAAGACCTTGAACTCCCATTTTCAAACTATTAACTCGTAATGTGAAACTTTATTCTCCAGTTATCTACAAAACAAACGCAAAACAAAACACTAATCACTTATTAAAACAATGACATTTATTGAACGTTTTGATTTCCACAGCTAAACATGACCTACTCACTTATTGATAGTGTCCCAATTATACCGCCGCACTGGTACTCACTCTTTGAAATCACCAATGATGCAATTATAAAAAAATAGTTAAATCTCCGCACAATTAATTGCAGAACATTTAATGTTAATATGCAATGTGTTGTTTGTTGTCTCATGCAAATGTTTATTTCACGTTTGTGCAAAATTTGCCAAGTTTCCGCGTCAAACTGAGTCACACCGCCCCAACCGATTTTTAAAATCTCAACTTTCTCTCACAAAATTACAAGTTTCATAATTTTAGCAAAAAATATAAATCCGAAATCAAAATTTTAAAAGAAATAATTATTTATTTAAATGCAATTTTGTATAATATATTATTTTTGTACAAGTACAATACGTCCATCTGTCCACGTTTTTCACTTAAAACAAATTTTTATGCTTTCTCCACCATATATAGTCAGGTACCATGTTACGTTTCTGCACACAATGAGATGTCTATATCACAACATTTATATATCAATATTAATAACCTGTGAGTAAATTGGCAATGAAAATGTGAGCACATTAAGAGTAACAAATAAAATATGATACAGAGAAAATAGGGCAAAAGTTTAACAAAGAATCAATACAAGTTTTTACGTCAAATACAAAAATATGTTACACAACTAATGAGATAGATACCAGGGCGCATAAACTTTTTGTTGTCCGTGGTTTCTCTTAAGGAGAAACCACGGACAACAAAAATGTTTATGCACCCTGGATAGATACATTTAGCAACCGGTATCATACGATATTCGAGAATACAATAACCTCCAGCCCCGCTTTTTTATACGTAACAAGATGATAGAAACTCTCTAATATCGAAACTCAGGACCAGCAGGATTATCGGAGTTAAGCACGTATTGAAGACGGACAGTTGCCTGAAAAAATCTCTGATGGGAACGATACCCTGCATGAACTCGTGAGAGAAGAAATATTCATCAAAATTGGGCAAATCGAAAGGAAATTGTAGCAATCCTTGTGGTAGCCAACATGTGATGAATATGCCTGCGCAATATAGAATCAATCCAAAATTAATATTTCAAACTTGGTAATTTAATGCGTTATAATTAAAATAATAGTTTAACAGATTAAAAGCATACATGTAAAAATGCAGGCATTTTTCATGACTCGAACCCTTCGATGAAAGCGCTTTCTTTGCTCAACCTAAAAATGGAGAAAGTTGAAGTATGTATTTACGTAGTTATGAAAATCTCTGTCTTGCCTGGCTCATCATGAGAAACCGCATTTGACATCGCATGGCGAAGAATTCTGAAATATTTAAGAAAATCCTGCATTTACAAATATTTGGCAAATGTATGTCAATATTTTTTACAACCTTTCACCAAGATGTATGTTGGGATGATGTAGATGACAAAAAGAGTGACAACGGCGTAGGAAGTGTGTAGAAATATGCTATTCCAGAGTAAGACCTGAGATTACAGGAATTAAAATTAGCTCAGGACGATGACACTCATCATTTGTTACATATTTACATTTGGCCTTAGAAAAATAAAAATTATCTCAACTTTTACTTTTGCTTTCTCTCTTAATCAAGAATGAGGGAAATATCAAGGGAACAGTTTGGTACAATTTCTGATGAATGCTAACTAAGCAAGGTGGTCACACAGTGTGTTGTCTCAATTATCTTTTCTCATTGTTATTCGAAGCGTATGCACACATTCCTGAAAAGCTAATTACAACTTTTTCCATTACGAGTTGAGTTGAGTTTATAAATAGTTTGGCACTATTTATAAATCCTTTCATTTATATTTTTATTTATAAATCATTTATGAAATCCGAAGAAGCCAAGCATTAATAAAAGTGTGTTTATTTTTGTCATAAAAACCCTCACTCAGCAGAATATTGTGACGCTGAAAAGGAGATGGTGTTATTAATAGGCTTCTCATAATTAATGTTACTCATTTAATTAGCCTAATTACTCAATCATTCAGTAGAAGAAAATTACTCAAGTTTAACAGCGTTTAACTCTGAATCTATTTTTAACCCTTTGAATCTCATATATTTGTTTTGTCAATTTGATTTTACAGAGTGCTTTATATTGTTATTTTGCATAAAATAGTCCGCACATTCCCATTGTTTAGTTAGCTGTTTGGCCGTTACTATCTATTTTTTGCAAAATATTGGCATATAAGGGATTAAATTTGTGTTACATGAATTCTACGAAATTGATACTCTTTGTGTGGGTCGTATGACAGACATACAATCAAGGATTAACTTGATACTGGATATGTTAAGCTGTAAGTCTGAGAAACAAGTCTGATAAAGCAAGGGATTTTCTTTTATGATGAGAGCACAACGAAGGAATTAGTGTCCTACAAAAAGCCTGTACATATTTTCCCTCAGGATTGTCTGTTTTCTGATTGTTTCTCAACCAAATGGGAAAGCAAACCTGCTGAGATTTCTCCACTCAAAATCTAGTTGTCCCTGTCACATAGCAAACTTTGTGCGAAAGAAAAACCTGCGAAAGTCTTCCATGTTTGATTCGTACTTTCGAATTCAATTCCTCCGGGATTTCAATCATTCCTATCTTTCCTTGGATCGGATCATTTCAACTTGAAGTGAAAGTTTCATAAATCGAAGAAAAGTTTATTGCCAGGCTCAGGTCACGTAGGATGGGCTGGATAGCTAGTCAATAAAATGTGACAGTAGGGCTGTAAGTGCTCTTGTAATGTGGACGTGTCCACTTTCACCACCCTGACGCTGTGTCCTTGCTTTCACTAAACTAGATGCTTGCTGCGAGAGATGATTAACTGAGAACATCCCTCAATTTTGTTCATCCTCAAGGACAATCATTAATTCAGACACAACAACCACAACTACAGGACAGTGATTTAGCCCGAGTCAGGGTCAAAGTCTGCTTTTAGACCCGACTATTTGTCAAAAAAGTTATCAGCATTCTACGACCATTCTGCACCCAACGACCCCACCCAACCTTTATGACCCCTCCGGTCAACAACTTGACGAATTTTGCTCATCTTCGAACTTAACTCGTCATGTTACATATGTGTACAAAATTTCAAGTCGATACGATGAGCTTAACGAGAGTTATCAGGAGACAGACATACGGAAATGATGATTCCATAAGCCCTAGCTCGGGCTAAAAAACAGACAAATGTCCTTCAAAACCTAATATTTATTTCATATTTGTTGTTCTCCAATGAACAAACTTTTACGATTTGACTACTCACATTCATTTCTTTAAGAAAAACAGCGTCAATTTTAATGAAGCCAACAAACTGACCTTTCTGCATTTGAAGTTGCCCTTAATCTTCTCATCAAACATGCTCATACTGGCCCTCGGAATGAGCAAAATCAAGGAGAAAGTCCAGATCATTGCCACTCTGGCGATGGCTGTCTTTCGCGACGGGTAATCTTGTGGGTTCCTCGCAACCACGCTGCGGTCGAGGCTTATGGCCGCAATTGTCAAGGGCAGGACTGGAGTGGACAGTCCTATAGAGAGAGGAACGAAACATGATAATGGACATAATAAAAGCACCATTTTCACTTAATGTATCGACACTTTACGACACGACATACTTTCAAATGGTACTTTCACCGCAACAAATGCTTTCAAGATAATAGAATTTCCTCTGTAGCAATACTTTTAAAGAGTGGTTAAAATAATAAAGTTCTCAGCAATTCCTCAGGGATGGATTTGTTAAGTGGTCAAAATTTGTCGGCTCGGATGTGCAATTTTAAGCAGGATAGGATGAAATTTAATCCAAACAGCTTGAGGGTACAGATATGTATGTAACTACTTTAAAAGGTTTTACTCAATGATTTTAATTCCACTTACGGTGCACAAACGATAGAATTTGACACGCTGTTTCCCCATATTTCGGATCCAATGAGATGACTCCTCCGGACTGGAGGTTGTAGAAAAGTGAAATTGTGATGTGATAAACGGACGCGATGCAGAGATTGGCGACCAAATAATTTGACGTCCTGTTTGTTTTTATAAAATCATAAAGTTTACCTTTTCTAAAAAGTATGTAGGAACATCATTTTTTTCGTTTTTTTTTCTTTGCTCAGATTATTATTCTAGACTGACACACTTTTATGGAAACATGACATGCTTGAGTGGAAAGAACATACACAAAAATAGACCATTCACTCTTGGCTACGTACTTATTACATGTATGCACATATTGTGTACCTAACTTCATATGGGGTAAAAAACAGTCGTGAATCGTCAAACATGTAATACAGTTACCATCACAAATTCATGACGTGGGATAAAACAAGCTTGCTTGAGATTCACGAGAAATTGTGAATCTGGTACGTAGGAGGACGACAAAATTGACTTGGAAAGTATAGGCATTTGGACTGATTATTCCAAAAATATGTAATACAAGAATGCATGGTTTTCTTTGAAATTTCTCGTGACCTTTCTTCCAAGAAACAGGCAGAGAGAGCGAGAGAGGTCCTACTGGGTCAAATGCGACTTCTTTGAAACGCAATCGGAACTTGATTGGGAAACCTATTGTGAGTTTCAATCAAATCGAAATTGAATAGAAATGCCAAATTTAACTCGACTGGACCAAATCCTTGTGTGTGGGATTTAGTTGCTCCTAATGAAACCGATGATTAAAATCTATAGAAGTAGCCCACACACTTACACTACCATTATTTATGTCACATATTTAGCCTAGAAATATTTCTCGGGGTAATCTTAATTACAAAATTTTCGTTAATGAATTACTTTCTTCCTCGATAAAATACTCAATAATAAATACTTTACGAGGTAGAAAACTCTCATTACCAAATTAATATTTAAGCGGATTATGTATTTATGTATGTACCTCCGAAAAGTTTTAGAAATGCAGACGAGAAAGAAGATGGAAATGCTGCCAACTATACTAATTGCAAAAACGATTGCCACCGTAGGGCTGAGGATCCAGGAAAAGTAGGATGGTCCTCCCATCGCACTGCTGTTGTGATACTGTAAGCTGTCATCTTCTTCCGTCGCCACCATTATTTTAAATTAGCAGCACACCCCACCCGACCAATAAATCAATGTAGAAGACGGCTAATCCGAGTGCTATTTAAGATGAAGGAAGAAGACCTTAATTGCACTTGCTGTAAAAACGTCAACTCTTAATGGGAGAGAAAGTCTGGTAGAGAATCAAAAATTCACTCGACGACGATGAGATGAGACGCAACAATTTCGAGGGAAGCAAAGCTAGTGCCCGACCTCCCTGCGATCCGAGGAAAGACTAAAGTTTTCCTACATAAATTCGTGTTGTTGGGTTCTCTTTTCTCTGCTCGCTCGCAGAATCGGGCAGACTTTCTCCGTCAGTGTCAGTCATACATCAATTCAGGTCTAGTTTCAACAGCTTTCACTACAACCAACCTTGTCATTCGCTGTTGTAAAGAGGGGAAGATTCTCTCGTTTCTAATACGTGTTACGACATGCAATCCTATTTCGCACCTACGCAAGCCTAACCGCATTGTAATACTAATTATGCTCATAATTAGGACAAAAACCATCCCTTATTACTGTAGACGAGACGAGTGTGGTGGAGCGGAGAGAGAAAGTAAACCACAGGCCAGACAATCCAGTGCCAATTTGCGATATCAATTTTAATATTAAATTATAGCATCGTCTGTGTAGCGTGTTCTGCCAGAAATGAAGTGATGATGTCTTCACGCGATCGGGTCGGGTTTAGATTGATTTCCTGTAAAATATGATAAGTGTAAGAAACACAGGAAAAATCCACTATTGATTTGTCAAGTCGTCATGAATAATAATGAAACATGGATTTGTGAATGGTACCACGAAATTAAATATCTTGATGACATTTCTCTGTCATTCAGGTTTTATTTTGGGTTTAATATTTTATGTATGTATGTGTGCCAATTTGTATTAATGTGAAAACCCAAAAATGACACGATCCGGGTATCAAATTTCGTTGGAATATTGCTTGTCGATAAATATTTCCAATATCTACTTGCAATAATACTTTACACAGCATTTCGAGTAATATGGAACTATAAAGAAAAGTGTCAAATAAAAAACGTCAAATTTTGGTTGAATGAAAAAAATCAAACTGGAACAGCCTTATGATCTCAAAATCATATCGTGCATAACTAAATATGTACTTATGTAGATACATACAACATACACCCCAAACTGCGTGCATTTCATGCATGTATTTCAATATATATTCGTTACTTAATGCATGAGCTTCGTCAAATCTGACTCCTCTCTGCTCGCCCTTTCACAGCAAAAGCGCTGTTGAACTCTAACTGTATAGTTAATAATACTTGCAATTCGTGTTTAACGATGATGCTATATTGTATGTAGTAAACACTCCAGAAATGGGAAGATTATTGCCTGATATACCCTTATCATCGATGGTGTTACTGTTGTTGACAGCTGAAACATGACATGAGGTTGAACCCTCCAATATTACTAGACGCCCATTGTCCCGACGAGTCATTCTGTTGCCTAATTTTATCCCCACGACATTCACTTAAACTTCACCAACTTCCTCTTAAGTTCGTGTTTAAATAATCAACTTGTCATAATAATGTTGTCCAGATATTTGGCATTTTTGCTGATATCATGGCTAACCGTGAGAGAAATTGAATCAAGATCTTTCACAGTGGACTACGACCAAAATTCTTTTTTGAAAGATGGAGAAAAGTTCCGTTACGTGGCTGGTTCAATTCACTATTTTCGGTCGCCCGAGGAAAGATGGGAAAGCATTTTACAAAAAGCAAGACTCGGTGGGTTGAATACCATCACGACGTACGTAAGCAAGGTTTTTCCTTATAAAATATTGCAAACAATGTGAAACAGACAATGATTACGTGGGTTTTGAACAAATCCGTATATATTTTTCACATGATACATATCTCTTTTTTGATTTATTACATATTCTTATTTTGTCCGGGACACAAAAAAGTATTCTATTTTCAGTACCACCTCACTCAATAGTGGTCTTGTGCAAATATTTGCAAAACTTCTCTTCATAAAACCAATAACTAGTTGTTATTTTTGCTCTATAAACACTTTATTTGCAGATATGTCCCGTGGACGAGGTATGCTACACGTTATTAATATGTCGCTTTGTTGAGCAAAAATCATTAACAATTATGCACACGAGTAACTTTTATGTATGCCTCCGTGTTAGCCATCAACACTTGCCAGCAATGGATTTCAACTATAAAGGAAATTTAAATGTGTTCAAGTTTCTGAAACTTGCGCAAGATAACGACCTTCTGGTCATCTTACGACCTTCGCCTTTTATTGATGCGGAATGGGACATGGTATGTGAAATTCACATTGTGAATCGAGGTTGATGGGAAGGAACGAGATTAAATCGGGGAGAAAGGATGCTATTTGTATTGTTGCAACATAACTTTGCTATTTTGACACGATTGAATTCCTATGTTTACAAAATAAGAAACGTTGTTGTCGTCATTTCAGGGAGGAATTCCATCGTGGGTATTATGGGAAAATCCTGATATTAAACTACGAAGTAGCGACCTTGGTAAGAATAAGTTAGATTTTGCAGAGAGCAATATGAGACAAAATTAAGAATCTGGTTTATTTATTTGCTTACTTAACGTAACCATTAAGTAACAATCACCACGGTTTATTTATACATCTCATTTTCAGACTACAATTACCACGTTGCTCGATGGTATGATGAGCTTTTGCCGAGATTGAAACCCTTCCTCTACTCAAATGGTGGACCTATTATTTCGATGCAGGTTTGTGGTTGAAATGCCTCCCTTGTTTTGGATGTGGTTTCATTGTTTCTTATTTATGCAATACAAGCCAAGTTGAAATGATGGCAATTTAATACCCGCGTCTCCTGTTCATTCAGTAGCAGAAGCAGTGAAAGTAAAAGTGAAAGTAACACAATTATTCTAATTCCCTCGCCGCAGGTGGAGAACGAGTACGGCTCTGTGGGCTGTGATAAGAATTACGTGAGCTTATATTATGATTGCTGTATTTGTAATGATGGTGATACTCACTTTGTTGGTACGTTTTATTAACGCTAGACCTCATTTCTACGGGATTTACTCCGACATCATTTAGGAAATGATCTCGTTCTATTTACCAATGATGGGGCTGCCGATCCAAACCTTAAATGCGGCAGTGTGCCGGGTGTACTTGCAACGCTTGATTTTGGACCAGGTTACATAAATAGTTTCTAAAAACTTTTAATTATATGAGCTCATTATACAAGATGCCTACAGGAAATGGCAGGTTTTTCCATAATTGAGATACGTATTCCCTTGCCGCTTACAGAACCACTGTCCGAAATAAAATTAAGGTTTGATCTTGAAAGGAAGCACAATAATGGAAAGGGTCCCCTCGTGTGTTCCGAGTTCTACCCGGGCTGGGTATGCGAATACATGCAGTTTTTAATCCTATTTCTACTAAAAACATTGTAACATTAGTTCCTTGCAAACAGTTGCTAATTGCAAATCATTACGTGTAGTTGGACCATTGGCAGAAACCGCATAACAAAGGAAAAACGACCGTGGTTTCTACCGCGTTAGATAATATGCTGGAAATGGGAGCAAATGTCAATATTTACATGTACCATGGGGGCACGTCCTTCGGCTATATGGCTGGAGCTAACCTTGATGGCGATATGTATGACCCATGTCCAACCAGTTATGACTACGATGCTCCTCTTACAGAAGGTCTGCATTTTTATTTGAAATTATTATGCCTCAACAAATTCTCATAAAAATATTGTACGGGTCTATCTTTCACTCAAGCTGGAGATCCAACGGAAAAATATTTCGCCATAAAATCGACCATTGCAAAGGTAAGTAAATAGCACAAATAATGCATAACAATGTTTGAGAGTGATTTGCATAATTTATTTTAATAATACCCTTTGTGCGGAAAGTATATGGAAGTTCCTAAAGAAAATCCGGTCGTGAAGAGGAAAGCAGCCTATGGAAAGGTTGCTTTGGAACTGTACACGAGCGTCCATGATACAGAATTTCTCACTTTATTTGCGGGGAGATCGATAGCGTCGTAAGTTCCATGTTCACATTTAATTTGAGTTATTATAAATGCGGAATGTGGCATATCGATTGGAGATTAAATACATGTCAAGTAATGTCATGCAATTATGGGACATTATTATACGCAGTTCATCCGCACTTTCATTCGAGCAGCTTAAAATCGGGTCAGGATTTGCCTTGTATCAAACACCCATTGATTTTAAAACTTCGGATCCCATCGTACTAAAAACTCCGCAACTGAGAGATCGTGGCATAGTTTTTGTAGATGAGGTCAGCAAAACTTTGCTTTCTAATGCCCTGGCTACACTACCGACGTAATATTCTAGAGTTTACTGGTAATATGGGAAAATGCATAAGGCCAGCTACATGTGTAACTTGCAACCAGTTCAGAGTTTACTCCAGAGTTTTACTAGTAAAATTTCACTAGTAAAACTCTAGAGTTCAGAGTTTTACTACGAACTCCAGCTATACCAATATGCTACTTCAGCGTTAAACATTGAAATTTTAAGCGCGATTTCCAATTTAATGACGAGAGTCCACTTATTTTTCCAAACATTAATTCTTCGTCTTCATTTAATTTATAAGAACATTTAAATCAATGGAGTCGCAAATAAATATCGAAGTTGTTGGTAAAAAAAGCAAATCATTTTTCGCAAGACGAGAACCTCTCATTAATACGGATTTGGGGATCGCCTGAAAATCAGGCTACAGGCCATGACGAAATTCTTCGACAGTGGAGCGACATATTTTGAAATTCAGACACGAAAATTAAATGAAAATTGAAAGCCCTGAAAATTGATAGCCATGAAGAGTGAAAGAGAGCAATAAACATGTACTAAATATGATAAAGTTTTATGTACGTATTTATTTTTCTGCTATAATATGATAATTAACAAATTGTAAATACAGTTGAAAACAACGACTCTTCATTCGCTATTTAATTAGTAATTAAAGGGCCACAGATTTTCATTCATTGGCAAAAGAGCGTGCCATATGGTCACGTTTTTCTTTTGCGGATGTAGATACGTAAGCGAAACTCGATAAGCCCAGCAAGACCTTCTCTTCTTTACTTTTCCAGAGTTTCGCACTCTCAACAGGGTCTTCACTTGATGGAAGGGAAATGGTGATAATATAGTCAGTCCTGGACGTCTAATGAAATTCCAAGAATGAAAAATTGACGAGCTAATTATTGTTAAATCCATGTCGAAAGTTCAACCCTTTCTCGACACTTATTTTAAACTAAATTATTATTTTTTAGATGGTAAATTTTTAAAAGTCCCACCTCTGAGAAATAACTCTGAGATTTGGTACCCTGAAAATTACAACGGTACAAAATGCAATGTGGCTGGAGTTTTTATTTCAGCGTTAAACTCTAGAGTTAACTCTGAAAAAATTTACGACAGTAGTGTAGCCAGGGCATAATAAGCATTTAGCTTTTAATTTACTGCATTGCACGAACTACATTCTCTTTTATTTTATTCGCAGGAGTTTGTCGGAATTTTATCTCGAACTGAGAATAATTTTGCGATTCCTATCAGAATCAAGTTGGGACAGACGCTCACCGTTTTGGTGGAAAACCAAGGCCGTATTGCGTCTGGAGATGCAATAGGAGAAAATAAGGTGCACAGACAAAGAGATAATTGAAGTTGGGTTTTTTATTACGAGAAAGCAGTTAATTTCGTGTACCAAACTATCATATTAAGTACGTGCTCAATTATACCAGACCTGATTCTACTATGTATACCTACTGTTTGCTGTAGGGTCTCGGGAATAATATTACGCTCGGGACACGTGCTCTTCATAATTGGACAATTTTTCCATTAGGGGAGATCGATGGGAAGAAACTTTTAAAGTACAGTCAAGGACTGAAAGACAAGAGTCTCCAAATTAAAGAAGATTTCTTTTCTGCAATTCGCAACCGTGGGAGTGCCCGTTTTTTTGCTGGGAATTTCACCTTACCTCGAGGCACTTCTAGGGATGAAATATTGGATACGTACGTTCGACTAGATGGGTTCAACAAGGTGAGATTTTTTTTATTCAATTTGATCCACCCTGGTTTTTTTCGTCAGAAGAGGCAATTTTCGTCTAATACATAGCTGCGTAATACAGTTTGATTGGTTGCAAATGCATATACAGCTTCCGCTTTCACACGGTCTACTGCACTTATTTCGTCTGTAGCAAAGTGTGCCAGAGCGGATGTTCACATAGATATATGCATGGATTTCATGGAAATTGCAACCTCCACACAAATACTCAAGTCTATGTATGTCTCTGTCTCAATTAATTACTTTCAGGGCTTTATCTGGATCAATGGGATCAATCTTGGCAGGTACTGGCCAGTTGTCGGGCCTCAAGAAACTCTCTACCTTCCCTCGACATTCCTGAAACCCTTTCCGGATACCAACACGTTCATTGTCTTTGAGTTGGAACAAGCCCCAAATGCATGTCTGGGCATTCCAGCCGAGTACAGTGGCAGCAGCAGCGTCTGTTACATCACAATGACTGATACGCATGTGATAGATGGTTCGTCTACAATTCAACCAACTCATCTGCTAACTAACAACTCTGATTTAAAAAATTGTCTCTTAATAGCCCCCACACCTTATGACGGGATGACGACGAGGACCAGTGAGGAACGCTTTTGGCAGAGAACATAGCTTGATGATATGTAATTGCCCGTGGCCTTGCTATTTAAACAATGACGATTTATATTTGAACCCAAATACATTTAATGAAAACGAGAAACAGATTGAGGCGAATTATTACTTGTATATTATTAGACAAACAACATTGAGATAATAAACATTTGCCAAAATGAGGGAGGTTGTAGGACATGATGATGGTATTGATGATGCCAAAGGTTTTGTTGCATATTCATTAAATCGGGAATTCCACTGATTAATGCGGAATACGGTGTGACCTTACTTTCATTTAGATCATGGCACAAGGCTTCCCCTCGCATGATGTAATAGGCTTTGGTACACAAACACATACCGGAATCATCTTGAAATACATACATAAAGTAAAGGTTAAGCCAGTTATGACAAGTTTTGATACGCTTTGATTATCTGTTTTGATGATCTTCAAATTTATGAAAACTTTTATTTATTTTTAAATATTTGTGTACATTAATCTAGATTTCATATCCCGTCATCTATGTAAGATGACACTACGTTATCATCAGCTTGATCAAGTGCAATTTTCTATGTAGGTAATGTTGGCCCCGTTACAATTCGAAATGCCAACACACATTACACCACCGGCATGATTACCATTACTGCCGGATTCAAGAGCACACCACATTCCAGATTAAAGATCAGATTGAGACTAAATAATCCTTAGCTCCACACTGAATCATCCCAAGACGACACGGCAAAGAGTCACAAGATTCCTTCATTTTGGCAGCACAACGCAACGCTACAGTTTTTGTAGCACGACTCCTTTAGGAATTGCCGAGAGTGAAAAATCCATCTTTTTTTGCATTTTCTATTTTGCACTAGTAGCATTTTATTTGCATCGTAACAACAAAACTGTACATAACTAAGTGCATATTTCCCTTGCAGCAATCCTTCCGGAATCTGTAATAAGTAGTGTGACGCATTTTGTTGTTATAAAACAAGGGTTTTTGTCTTTCCGTTCGGCAAAATGACGAACAGGATGGCTCAACCATTTCAACCATCATTTGGTTCATGTTTACATTTCATCTACATCCACCCCTATCATTACATGATGACACTCCTTGCGTCAAATGTTAAGATATGTCAGTTCGAATTTCGAAAACCGACAATCACAACCCAAGCCGAGGTACATCAGGAAAATCAGTTCAGTTCAGTAGCACTATATAAATCCACGAAATGAGAAACTGAGTGCCATGATTCTCATGGCACAGATTTCTTATAGCTACATAAATCCTGTAATGGTTATTATTACGACTATAAATATACCCAAAGTGTGTGCACTTACATATACTTACTACTTGTCTCTCTCACCACTATTTACTCATCCCAATTCCGCTAATGTTCTTTCCTCACAAGAACGTGAAGAGACCACCACTTAGAAATTAGTTACGCATTTACATTTGACATTAGGATAATTTGAGATGAAGCATCCGTTGAGATACGTTCTTCAACCCGTTCTTCACGATACGAGGTATTCATCCGCAACGGAGATGAATTAATCTCAAATTGCTCCAATAATTATTCCTTGAAGCGATATAAATATAGACGTATCATTATCGTCAAAGTTGACGGTATGCAATTTAATGATGGTCTGTCGGTATAATTTTGCTAACAAAAGTATGTGTGTGAACACATGAGATTCGTACTTTCAATACCAAGCGCATCTGCAAATAGCTACTGGAACAAGGTAGTGCACCCACGCAGCTACTTATGCACATGTAGTCGGCGAGATTTATATGACACAAAAATTTAAACGATGTCTGACATGACACCAGGAAGAGAAAGAATGATTACAGTTGTTCCATGATTTCAATTCTGCGATGATTTTTGGCTTTGAGGTCTAATCAGTAAAGTAGTGGGGGCTAAATAGCTGGGGAACCAAGCTAATCAAATTAATTGAAGGAAACGACTTACTTTCAAAGGGATATTGAAGGACTCGTTTATTTAATTGGAAGAGAACGCTTCTCTCAATCCTAGAAATCAGAGTTCAGAAAAGTACTACGTATAAAGTACAAAGTCCAGTCGGGCTAACTAAATAAATATGAACGGATGATTATTTTATTCCCTTGCCATTGGGAGAGAGGGTCATCATCATGAAGTTAACAAGTCGTTACTTAAGGATCACTTTAAATCTCGAGAAGATTATTAATCCTTGAACATTTTCTATTCATCCAGTACATATTTTCGACTGGGAAGCGTAGGGTGCGACCCTCTCCCAGTATAATTGCCTTGATCATTTCGTACTAAATAAGGAGCCGACTTTTTTTCTATTAACAATCATTTCACGCTTGAAAAGCATTTCTTTTGTTTATTTTGTTTCACTCGCTTAACTAGTCACCCATCATTTACATATTCACTGCATTTCCCAATAGGTACGACTAACACGGCGAAACTGAGACTATGTACATTTGTATGTATAACTTTTACGTTGCTTTTGTTCCCGTAAATTCTTTACAGATGTGGAAGGAAGGAAGGAAGGGAAGTGATCTTGCCTTCTTCTTCCTTCTCTCTCCTTATTTCATTTCATGGTTGCCTTAAATTTTCTCAAAGTTGTCGAACGGTTTGCTAGGTGCGAGAGGATGGACATGTTTCACAGGCGTCCGAACATGTCAAGTTATACTTGGAGATGAATGTAGAGACAATTCACCCTCTTCTCATGCCCACATAATAAAGTAACGAACTGAAAATGTATTAACAAACCAGCAGAAGTGCATGCATTCATTCAACTATTTACTATTTTACTTACTACTACTACTGCAGCATGGATGGACTATAAGTGTTGCAGTAGTGATGATAGTAATGGTAAATTAAGTAAGTAAGTGACTCAGTTAAGTTTACTGATCTATGTATACCGTATTTTCAACTTTCGTTACGTTGTTGTTTGTTATACAGGAGGAGAGCATTTGGAAACAAATCTTATTACATGGGGACAGAAACAAGGAGACAGGAATGAGGACAGGACAGGAGACAGGAAGATTTGTGTTGTTTGGTTCAATTCGAATACAAAGCAGCACAGGAAGCTGGCTACGATTTTAAGGGAGAATAGTAGTGAAACTAAAGTGAAAATATGTATATTAAGCTGAGTCTCTCATACACTGGGGAAATTGCAGTCAGTCTGTTTATCTTTGTATATAGTCAAATTTTATTAAGGTTTTCCCAAGTGTCGAAATTTTGTGTGACAACTATTCATAAAACAAAACAGCAGCAGAAGGAGCTTAGAAACCTCCTGTGCAAAATTATGGACCTTGACAATCGTCATTAAATTAGCAAGGAAGAGGTAAATACCTACCAGAAAATATTAGAAAAGTTTCGAAAATAAAAGTCAAACTTTAGTTTACAACTTTTGCTTGTGTAAATATTTGAACATGGAAACTATACCAGTGTCGTGTTGTCGTGAATATGATGGACTTTGTAAGAGTCTCAATGTTTGCAAACAACATGTCCAATAACAACCTCTTCTTTCCTGTCCCTTTAAAAATTGAGACAAACGTGGCAGTCGAGTGGAGGTACTGAAACATAGATTTGTTTTGTTTTGTTCAAAGCACTTTACTTACTTATTGTATCTAAATGATGAAACTGCTTCTGTTTCTGGCATGCAATAATAAGGGACGGAAGTTGTGAGATCGGATTTCAAGTGACACACACGGGAAACTGGAGCAAAAGTTATCCAAACTGAAGGATGCTCGACATGAAACCATAACTGAAAACAAGCTTCAACTTTTCACATGGTTTTCAGCATAGGAAAAAGTGATTAATTCTTCCAGATCGTATGGTTCTTCTTCAAAAAAGACGAATAACATCGGGCACACATGTTGGCTGATGAAGTAACTCATTCATTTCCGTTAATCCTACCAACTTCACCCAATGGAATAAGGCAAGAGAATGAAAGAAGGCAGGATTTGATATTCATTAATCTCACTACAAGACCACATTTGCATTCTGAAAGCGTGTGAAAGTGACAAAGTGGCCCTAAAAATAGAGCAGTGGCTTCATTCTAATGTGATATTCTGCTGGCTGTTGGTTGTAAAAGTTGTAAAGCAGATAAGACCTGTGTACGTATATATTTGCAGTGGTTGGTATCAACTAACAGTAAAACTACCAGCGGTGTCATCTTATTTCATTAGTTTTCACGTAACCTCGTGAGCTGTACGTTTAAACGGGCAGGTTGAATCTACTACAGATGCATGTATTCATCCTGTAAACTTCATTAAATAGAAGCACACAGCCAACTAACACGAATTACATACTCCATGCAATGATATGACTCCACTCATCCCGTCGAGATCATCACACAAAGATCAAAAACATTGTACCTCAGTCAGTGATTTGAAAGATGTTGGGCGAGCCTGTCTGTGCCTGCCCGATTATTCCGTTGGGGTCTCAAGAGTCAGGCTAAAAAACCGAGAGTGGTGGAATTATCTTTTTGCTCCCACTGGAAATTGAAATTGCAGTCTCGAGTGAGTACAGATATTATTGGTGTAGTTGAAAGTGAAACGTGCACACATGCATAATTACAGTTTGGTATTGAAACCTGTGGTTGATTTGAAGTTTTTCAGCAAGTCATGTGAAGAGCAAAGTAATTCCTTCGAGTGGGAGATCCGTACGTAATAAATAATACGTTATAATAACATCAAGGTGAATTTTGCTATAAGAGTTTAAAGTGAAATTAAAATACGTGATGAATATTATTGAGTGGAAGTATGCATGGAGAAGATCAAGAGTCAAAAGTCATATTGAAATGAGTTTCACGTATGCACGGTCATGTGCCGGTTGCATTTTGAGCCACAATGCATACATATAATTTTGGAATTGTGACGACGAGTGAAGAAGAGACCAAGTTATTGATTACAGCGTAGGTGTAAGAAACGGTGAAAATTGTGAAATTTTGTTCCTTTTTACAAATTGTTATTACAAAGTTGTTTCGCAAATCAGCATTCATTACTCGTTTGCATGATGCACACGAATAATTGAAGGAATAAATTGGGAGCTGTGTCATTCTGCTCGGATGTGATATTTACGGTAAGTAAGTACTTATTACTAGTAGATAAATATATGCAGTTTTTAAGAGAAAATTTAATTTTTAGTCTATAAAGATGGTGAAAGTAGGTTACATATTTAGATATTTGACGTTTCGTCGACTTTACACATTACCATCATTATCTCATTATTACATCTCCGCCGGTTATGAAACACCAAGTTATTTTTGTGCACTTACTTATTTCCAATCTATTTATTGACACAGACACCAATTTTGCGAATCATTTTCGCAATTGAGTCGTCATTGCAGCTGAAGTAGCATAGATAATAACATGGAGAAAATAATTTGAAGAGAGTATTAAGCTTGTTACTTTCCGTATGAACATTTGCTCATGTCGTGGAGCAGGATCAATAAATAGCTTTATTGCTGCTTATTTCTCTTGATAAAATCAAAGTGCTTTCCAAACCAACCAACAAAACTATGTAGTTTGGACTGTGAGATATGTATAATAAGCCAGCCTCGAGAAAACCTTTCCTTGCAGGTATTCACAATTAGAGTAGTCGCAAAATTCATACAAGACTTTTGGACGTATAAGTACAGTTATGAAGCGAATTTATTACGATAGCAGCACCCATTATTACATTGACCCGTCATAAAATCAAATGTTTCCTATATCTACCATTTCCTGTCTTGACTTGAACAACTTCACATCGTTTTTAGGAAAGTTGTACTGGGTCTTGTTTGAAGAGAATTTCAGCCCAGAAACATATTTCCAATCGTGTTTGCGTTGAGGTTAAAGAGTGGACATGCAAAATTTATGGACTTTGTGTTCAAAGGGAATATGTCCGAGTAATCAGAAATATTCAACAACTGGGACTCAAGTACTTTAACCCTCTTCAACACGTCAAAAGGTTTCGTATCGTTACTTTTGTGGATTGTCAGCATAGTGTTTGGAATTAATAACTTGGTTCTCTGTGTATTTATTACTTTGGGAGGCCCGGGCGTTCTATATTTGCTGATCTATTATAATTTGAGCTTGGACATCATTTTGTTCTTTATTATCAATGATTGATTGATCGATCGATACTGGTTCCAGCACATTTATTAATAAGCATCTTTTAATTTAGGACTCGGTTATTACTCATTATTGACATTTGGGTAGGTTATAAATATAATATTATGTAGGAAATGGAGCACCAGGCTCAAGATGTGCTGAGTTGACGACGACAGGCTAAATTAATGACTTTTCCAAATCAACCAAAACTGAACCGTCCCAAACAGTTCAGTTTATTATTAAATAGTCAATAGTATTTATTCTGTACATTTTTCATTAAAATACAGAATATACGTAACCCTAAATATTCAGTTTAGTACAATAGCTCAAGCTTCTGCATATGTGAAAAGTGTTTTTTTGAGTAATTTTGTAAAATCACTACATCCATTAAAATGTGACTGACTTCCGGAACATAGCGCAACCTATGATTTTGTTCAGCTTACGATATACGCTGTACCGATTTCCATTCCATTTCAAATCACCTGTGTACAAAAGCTCTGTAATCATGCTTCTTTGGAAAATCAGACCACCAATCTCAGATTCCATTGTCCAAGAAAATGCAGGAAATACTTACACAGCCAGCGCTGTAGATTTCAATCAAATACCAAAACCACACTCTATCATTTCATTCATTTCATGATGGTGGTTCAGACAGATCCTTTTAAAAAACCTAACTTTTCTCACTGACGTGGCACATGAATGTAGCTTGTCTCGTCATGAAATCTTTCTCATGCAATTTGTCTGGAAAAAGTAGTCCATGAAAATTCCAATGCTACATAATGTCCAAAATATAAAAAAAGTAGGCCGAAAATTGAAGACAAGTGTCAAATCTAGAAACTTTCACCAAAGAGAAAGGTGGTTCAAGTTCACATATCTATTTGTAAGTAGGTCAAACAAAGGATCTATCAATCCAGATCCGTTCAATTTGCCAATTTCGGTAGTGTCTCGGTGTAATGTAATTTCTTTATTTAATTACGTACGTCACATGTTTGAGTACTTTTTGATGTAAACTAATTTTCACGTTCGACTCATCTCCCAGTGGTTTAGAAAATGCATTTCACATTTTTATAAATTCCTACGTATGTATCTCATGAGATGTCTTTCCACTCCGGTAAATACCAATTCACGTGAAACTATTTTGATTACAGTTTTTATCAAAGTGCGGTCCGTCTTCCCTGGAAGTTTGAATTATCTCAGCCAAAAGAAGGATCTGCACAGGAAATTGCTAAAGTGAAAGTAGTGGGAAACACGGAAAAGTGAAAGTTTTTACCAAAGTGGAGAACAATGGACGAAGATTGTGATAATGACGACAGAGGATCTACCAGGGCAAAGAAGAAAGACGAATTGGAGCTTTTCAACGAGCGGATCAAAGAAGGAAAATGTAAGCCCAAAATTGAATTGAATAATATATTCATCCAACTGTAGCCTATAAGCCTGACACATTTTACTTGCTTTCACCATACGCGAAAATATTACATGCGTATTATTGGGTCACAATAACCTGACAGATGTTGCGAATAAAACTACTCTAACAAATCAACGCAGTATAAGATACATATCTTGGGTTTATGTATGTAGTTTCAAAAAAAGTTTCTCAAATACATGTTTCAAACATGTTCAAATTATTATTTATTTCCATATTTCTTACAAATCACGCAACGTAGGTGATTCCAAGCAAGGTAATTTTCTCCTGAGTAACTTCAGCAAAATTTATACACGATATGAATCCAAGTTATTCTCAGCATAATGTAAATATAAATTTATGTGTGCACGCAACCCGAAATTTTTTGAATTTATTCTCTAACCAAATTATATTCGCACATTTTCCTGTTCTTATTTGCCGCAAGTAATTGCAGAATAAGTTATTTCTCAGGGAGAAAGCAAACTTTCACCACGCGAACTACTTTGCATTAAACGACAATGAGATGAAAATGAGATTTATTTTGCTTTGTAATATCACCGGAATATTTTACTGTTACCAAATCCTGTCAACCGTTCGAAAAATATCGATCACGCCACGGCCTTCTTTATCCAAATGGCAAAGCTTACTCTTCGCTAAACCCCAACCCCACCAGAAGATGTAGACGGTAATATCAAAATACAACAAAAAAGTTTCTCACAACTCTTCCTCTCTCTTTGATACCAACAAAATATATGACGCTGCAAAAATCCACCACGTTATTTTATACGACCTGAGACATTAACCCACTCTGGTTATTTTTAGTTATCATCTATCTAACAAACTAGTCGTAAATGTCTACACGGCCACAAGTATATCCCGTTATCGTAAACTTTTTGCTTGCTTACGCGATCCCTCCGCTAGAAAAATTCTGCTTATATTAAAAGATCTGCAGCACACAATGCTACGTGTGTATAACCGACTAGTGCATATTCCATTTTAAACGAAATACCAGTTAAACGAATTCAAAGCTTACGACTCCATGTGACCGATCAAGTCCGGAAAATGACAGCCAACAACATGTTTTCTCCATGTTGTGAACTCTTTATCTTTCCTACAACGATAATGTCGTGCCTGATAAAATATGACGTTCCCTTGCACCGGAAGTTGTAGAGCTTTCATTACCCGACGGCATGTCGTCAATGAAGGATCTCACCGAGTAGGAAACTCGTGTCATGATCCATCAACGTTGAAGTGAGGCTTGTCTCGAAAAAAAATCCAGCAGCGTTTTCGTTTTCTTCTCTTCTTGTGTGCACATGTGAGGTGTATTGTAATAGTATGCATTTCATTTTCTAACTTTGGTGTGGGATGCATTGTGCCAACAAAACGGGAGGAGATGAATATACACAAAAAAATCTAAATCGGTTCGTTCGCTATTTAGCTGAGATATTAACTTGGGTGTGAAATACACCAATAAAATTATGATTTAGCATAGTCCAACGTAAATATTTTAGTCTGCAAATGCATGCAAGTGTAGTGTAAACTATCCATTAAATCTGGGATATTACGCTTTTAAAAAGCTAATGCTTCACTATTTTAATAAACACGCAACGGGGAATGCATCCAAGTCACTTTATCGATGAGATATGTAGATCCTTCCTAAATCTATTTTGATTCATGATTCCACGCATCACACCAACATCTGGACCTTGTCATTAAGACAGTGCTATAAAAATGTTCAATATCGCTAATGCATTGAAAGCTGTCTATATATAACGCTCTTCACACCTCAAAATTAACCATTATTAATCTCATTTTCGCCTTTTCGAACGTCACGAGTATTTGTCAAAACATAACATTGGCCTGAAAAGAAAGCTGACACTTTTTCACTCGCAAACAGATAACTGTCGTTCCTCCTTTATTATAAATACCCACAACGACGAACTTTTTCTACAAGTTGAATATGTATACATACTAGAATGCACGAGCTTGGAACTTAATTCTGCATTTGCACTCTGGCTTATAGGAGCATTTCTAAAATGCGATATTGCGTATCCAATAACCATCGCCATCCATCCATCCGGTTCTTATTCTTGGAAGGATAAGAAGAACGGGTGAGATCAACCAAGTCTTGTGTGTAAAGGTTGGACAGATCCAAATCCAAAACCTCATGTTGATGGCTCATCGTCTTTTTCACTAGATGCCTTCCAACTTTTGTACTTTTTTATGCTATAGTAGTAAAAATGTAAAAGCTAAACTAAACCTCAATACACAACCCATCGCTCAAGAATAAGTCTGTTGTTTTGTTTAAGAATTTGCAAACTTATCCCTGAGACTCTATCTTCTCAGATTATTTAGGTTTTCGCTGCTGACAACAGAAATGTACACAGAGAGACAGACAGGCAAAAATCAAGAAGAAGGGGGGTGCAGTAAAAATCAGTATAACTTTAAACTACAGTTTACTTTAAGAAACGAGGTGAAGAGCAGCAAGTCAATCTCTGAGAGCATGAGAAAGATTCAAAATAAGAAAAAGTTTAGAGTTTTCTTTCTACTAAACCAATTTCCAAGAGCTCATTAAGACTAGAAAAAGCTGGGTGAATGCTGGTTTTAATTGACGGGTTTTGCTCGTTCATTTTTTTCCTACCTATTACCGAGAAAATATACGATTAGTATTAAACTGAAATTTCTTCATGGAGAACGAAGTATAATAGAAAATGTAGAGTATCACTAATTAAAGTTAATGGTTCATTTCGTAATTTCGATTTGATTCGAAAGAACTAAATTTGTGTAAAAGAAAGAATTAAGTGCACGATTTGTTTCGTAAGAAGATGTTGGGGTTTTCATAAAGTTTTTGTATATAAAATCAATATAAATCATGATTGGAGGATACCGTCGTCAATTACCAGGACCCAGCTTACCCAGAGTTGAGAATGATCCAGGTACTTTTCAATGGTTTTAAAGAGATGAATGAATATTATTTAATAAAGCTCTTCACATAAGATTCATAAATATGTATGTGAAAATTTTCACTTTCATGGAAAGTGAGACTACAAAAAGCTGTGTAGTACAAAAAAGCTGTGTAGTATCTATGTGTATAATAATTAGCCTGCGAAGGTTGGTTTTATAAAAGAAAAGATTACAGTTACACATTTATATAACGATAATAATCTGCGTGATATATTTTACTGACTGTGGTACATCTTGACATGAAAGTACCATTAATCATTTTGCAAAATTAACTTTCATTCAACCAAGATTATTAGGTATTTAAGCAGTAGCTATGTCATAATCAGGTTCCAACTGCTTATGCACCTGTCTGCAGCTTGCTTATATAACATTTTATGTAATCATCACTTTTAAGTAATAATTAATTAATTAGTATTTACGTTTTTTTCTGTGGTGTACACTTTGCACATTCTGATGATTTATAATTATTCTTGAAAATCTACTCCCATTCGAAACCTATAGCTTTTTTAACACGTACTTATATTCCACCCAACATTCCACCCGTATAATCCTTCCCGTTAAGACAATGCATTAAAAACCATTGTCAACAAGGGAACCACTTCCTAATGTTGATGTTAATTGCCCACCTTATTATGTATTCATTCACTTAAACTTTACCCTGCACGCATAATAAATGAGTTGAATTCTACGTACCCGAAGTGGTTCTATTATGTAGGAGATGCACTTTTACATTATCATTGAATGTGTGCATACATACATCACCACAAAACACAATAGTTGGCTCAAGTGAGACTTTTACGCTTTTTTAACATCATCTTCTCATCTCATCTCTCCACCATGTTGCCTTTTACACTAGTTTCGAGAGGCAGGGAGAGGCAGCAGAGCTACCTGTTGCTAAATAGACCTTTTTTTCTGTTTTTATTTACATTTTGGTCAGTTGTTAAAAGTTAAAAGTTAAAAAATAATAATATATAAAATTTACCAAATTTTGCGTATCAAATTTTAATAGTCGGCCCAATTCAATTGCTTTTTTAACGATGCAAAATTCAAGGACAACTGCATCCAGTAAAAAGTTCAAGTTTAGAGAAGTTTTTTAATACTTGTCATTTTTGATTTAATTTAGTGGGGGGTGTAGTTAAATAGTGGTGTTTTGAGTTGTTAAAAGGCCTTTGTTAAAGGGTGTCGAAATCAAATTGGAAATTGACGCTAAAAATTAAATCGACGACCGGCTCGGCCTTCAAAGTATGACCAAGCCGTTGACTTTTAAGTGATAAACTGTCCATTTAAAGGAATAATCAGGAAATGGACAGTCCGACAAGTCCAACGGTTCCGGGGGGTGTTCCCTTCTTTGGTATTTTACTTGTTTAAATTTTATAATGAAAATAGTCAACAGGTGTTATTTGGTTTGGAGTGTATGACCTTGTATTTAGTGATCAGAATTAGTTGCATAAATTCCTTATCAATTAATTGACTTATGTAGTTATTTGTTACTGAACCAGGACCCAGATTCAATGGGGAAAGAATGTCGGCTTAATTGTTTTTTTTTGCAAAGACATAACACAAGATTATGGATTTTTCAATGATTTCAGATGAAAGAGAAGATGTGCAAAAGAAAACTTTTGGAAAATGGATCAATTCCATGTTGGCTCGGGTAAAACATTATGAAATTAGTTGTGTTAATTATTAAGGATTTGGTTAAAAAATTTGTTTAACACTTTAATAGGGAAATCATCCCCCAATCAAGGATATGTTTTCAGGTATAACAGTTCACTTCTTTTAATAGCCACGCCTTGAAAACAAAGGACAATTTTATTTATTTCGAATTTCAACTTTTTTCAGATCTCCGAGACGGAACCAAACTTCTTGCGTTATTGGAAGTCCTCACAAATAAACAATTTGTAATTTTTTCAATAATACAGATATAAATAGCAAATGTGAAATGCAAGAAGTATGTTTTAATTGTTAAATTGTTTTCAAGAAACGCGAGAAAGGACGGATGAGGGTCCATCATTTAAATAATGTAAGCCGTGCCTTAGAAGTTCTGAAGGAACAAGGGGTCCGTCTAGTTAACATAAGCAACGTGAGTAACACAATATGTATATAATATAACTAAGCTAATATAAATTTTGTTTGTATTAACATTCGATGTTTCAATTATAGAACGAAATTGTTGATGGAAGTGCCAAAATTACATTAGCAGTTGCCTGGACCATATTTTTACATTGGCAGGTTGGTCATTCATGGTTTGATACTTGTGGATTAATGTAATTATCATACAAAGACGTGTTATATTTATATTTTGAAACTATTTATGTTTAGGTCAATGATATCATGAAAGAACTCATGGCAGCAATGAAGCAAAATAATTTGGAGAAAGCTCTACTTGCATGGTGTCAGCAAAATACTGAACCTTATCCTGGTGTGGACATTAAAAATTTTACGACATCGTGGTCCGACGGACTTGCCTTTGCAGCCCTCATTCACCGTTGGAGACCAGATATTTTAGATTTCGGAAGTGTCGTCTCAAAGTCTGATCGCAATGAACGGCTAGAAATGTCCTTCAAAGCTGCTCAAGATGCGCTAGGAATTGATAAGCTGTTGGACCCCGAAGATGTTAATACAAATGTGCCAGATAAAAAATCTGTTATGATGTACGTAATGTGCCTTTTCCAAGCCTTAGCCCATAGTGGTCTGGAACCACCACCACTGCCAACGACAACATCCTTACAGGACGCTATAGTATCTGCAAAATTAGAGGAGGAGGCGTCCCGTGGACCTTCAGTAGAGTTAACATCGTATCAAAACATTGTGGAGGAAGTTTTATCATGGCTGCTTATAGCCGACGATAGAATATCCACGATGGAGCCGATTAGTGAAAATCTTAATGAAGTTAAAGTACAATTCCAGGAGCATGAGAAATTCATGCTCTCCTTGACTGACCATCAAGGTGACGTTGGTGAAGTTCTCCAAGAAGGCTCAAGACTGCTACAAGAATCCAAACTTCCACCTGGCGAAATTGAAGAAGTTAGAGCACAGATGAAATTACTCAACACCAAATGGGAGGACCTGAGGGTAAAAGCTATGGATCGTCAAAATAAGATTCATGAAAAATTAATGGCGTTGCAACTTGCCGAGCTTGAAGCATTAAAGGAATTTCTGACATCCACGGAAAACCGAATTTCTTTAATTAAACCCCCAGAGATACATGATGAAAATTCATTAAACGCGCAATTACAAGAACAACAACTATTACATGAAGATATTTTGAAGGAACAAGAGAGGGTCGTGTCGTTTTCCAATCTTGTAGTCGTTGTTGATGAAAGTAATCCAGACACAGAGTTTTCAAATATGGAAGACCAACTTGCAGGTGAGTGATATTATTTATTTTAAGCTTTGACTTTATATTGATCATTGAAATAATACAATTCATTATTTAAACGTAGCTTTAAGTGAACGATGGTCACATATTTGCTCGTGGACAGAAAAACGTGGAAAAGTTTTAGCCAAACTAATCGATGCAGTTCCTATGCACTTGGAAAAATTAAAAGGTTTGTTCGTGAATTAACAAATTACCGTATTAATACATATCTCATTATATAAGTATTAAAATTTAGAATTGGAGAACTGGTTACATTCGCAAGAAAAACAATTAAAAGAAGTTGAAGCAAATCCTAACGAGAATTCCGAAGATACGTTAATGGAAAGATTTGAAAAGCTTCAAGTAAATATTTTTTATAGTGCTCTGCCTAAAATGAATATATTAAATGCGTATGGATTTTACTAATCATATGTAATATTTGTTTAGGGGTTGCAGGGAGATATGGAAAGTAAAATGCGTGAAATTGGTGATTTACAAGAGACTTTACAAAGAATTAGTGAAGAGTGCAATAAAGAAGCGGGTGGAGATACGACATCGAAATCTGGAGTCGAAAAGGGATCCGATCTCAACATTGTTTCTGATGGGGACAATAAGCTAATGGCCAAAATAGAATTACTTCAAGATAGATGGGATGCCTTATCGCAGATTCTTGAAGCACAAAGCCAGAGGGTAATTTTATTGGATATTTATGCGTATTTAGTTGTTTTAGTTTTTATTTGTTGTGTTTAACTTAACATTTCTAACGGATTTGTGTTTGAACCAATTAATCAAGATAACAAAGTATGGAGTAGTTAAACCAGATCCAAAATCACCTCATTTTGCCACTGGGATTTCCGTTGATTTTGTTGACATTGTATCAATATCTAAGCAGGTGTGTAGCTAATATTTTAGATTCAAGTTTAATGATAACCTTGGATAATTTTGGGTTACATCAGGACTTTCCGAAAGCAAAGAGGACAAAAATAATGAATGAATGGGAGAATAATTATTCCCGAGTTAATGAGTGGGTACTGAGAACCGAAGGTCTTGTCGATGCCAGCCCTCCCAGTATGTGCACGTTTGATGATCTTTCTGTCGATGAGCAACTCATGCTCTGGGAAGATCTGGAAACCGAAATGACAGGAAACGAAGAAGTGTACGAGCAAGCCCTAAATGATTCGAAAGAACTCATCAAATTTTTAAAGCTCGGTAAGTTGTTAATAATCAACTGTCAAACAAAAAAAGTTTTATTCTACTGAATTGTTTAATTATCTATAGAATCTCAAGACTCGAGTGAAATTGAGAGCCAGGCTGAAGAGATGGAAAATAAATGGAATAAAGTTAAAGGTTTGTTGTCTAAACGCAAGGAGCTGATAGACTATTTGTTGGTCAAAAAACAACTAGCGAGCGAAATGAGATCTCTGTTAAATGTCCTTGCAGTAAGAAGTCATTAAATATATATATACATACGTACTCATGTAATACTCTCTGTTATGTAAAACTTGTTGATATCTTTATTTCTTTTTGCAGACTTATGAAAAGTGGCTTGACAATCAAAAAACGGTGTCACCTATTTCTAGTGAGGGCAAGAGACTACTAGAACAGTGTCGTGTCAAAAAGAAGACCTTACTTTCTCATGAGGGTCGTCTTAATAAGTTTAAAACCAAAGCCAGTGATACTTTTGAGCAACACAAAAACGCTGAAGAGGATGCCGAACTTAAAGCAGACCTTGAGGGTTTATTTTCGAAATGGGATTGTATTGTGAAACGGTAACAGATTCTTTCTTCACTTTTACGGTAAGAATAATAACGTCCCATTCTCGTCCTTTATTGCAGATTGACTGAAAAGCTTAACGAACTGGAAGATATTAACGATATGACCATTGAAGAGAAATTTAGTGAATCATCTCAAATTATACTACAGTGGATAAATGCTACGGAAAGTTTCCTGTTGTCAGAAGAAGTTACATTGACCGATTTGCCAACAATGAAACAACGACAACTAAAACTGGAAGAATTTGTCAATGCCACAGCATCTCATGAGAGAAACCTGGCAAAAATTGACAATTCGTCCCAAACAGTTTGCCCTGAAGCTGGTAGCATCGACGAGTTAAAATCCCGTTATACTGAAGTAAAAGCTTTACTGGAAGATCGGAACGACCAGCTTAAATCATGTACGAATTCGTAATGTGTGTATTGTATTGATGATGTTGCTAATAATATTGTAATCTGTGAATATATATTTTGCAGTGATTACAAAAGTGCAACAGTGGCAAGAAGAAATGACTGGATTAGGTGAGTAGTTGTTTGGGGAAGATTTATTTTAAAATTTAAATAAACATGAGTTTATGTTTTATTTTTCTACTACAGAATCATGGTTGGAAGAAGTGGACATATTTGTATGCGCAGAAACACCTGCTGTTGGGGATCTTGAAACCTTAGAAGCCCAATTGGAACAGTCAAAGGTAATTTCTAGCATTGCTAAAATTTAAAGTTTATATTTTAAAAGTTTGTAATGTTCAATATTTTTGGTTTAGGCGTTGCAAGTGGACGTCACAACTCTATCTCCAAAGTTTTCCAGTTTAAACAAGATCGGAAAAACGCTTATAGATGATGCAGACGAAGGATCAATGCCTGCGTTGAAGACGAGGATGTTCAAACTGAATGCACACTGGAACGAGACAACAAAGAAAGCCAAAGAACAAAATACAGTGTTAGGGAGTGCTCTTGAAAAGACTCAGAGCGTTGTTGAAGGTATCCAAGAGACGACAACATGGCTTGATGCACTTCAGAACGATTCCCCAACAGTCGGAGTAATTTCTAGTCCAGCCGATCTAGCTCGTTTGTCCAGGAAGTATCAAGCTCTCAAAGACAGGGTAGATAAAAAGGAAAATGGATTCAGAGTGTTAAATGATAAAGGAAATGAATTGTTACTCCTCCATCAAAGTAATTCTACATTATTTTATAAAAACATTTTTGCATAATTGACAGCTAGATTTTGATTATAAAATAAATATTTCACAGAACACTGCAAAGATGATTCTCGCCGATCCTCCACAGTTCAAGAACTGGCTAGAACTTTTACTCAATTAAATGCTAGGTACATACATTAGCCTGCAAAGTGTAAATTAAACTATTTGTAAGAAATTCGACTAATCACCCAATTTGATTCATAGGTGGACAGAAATAACTGGGAATGTTGATCGTAATTGTAAAACAATGAAAGAAGCCTCTTATTTATACGGAGAATTTAGAAGTATTAAGTCACATTAATTTTTTCTGCTTACTTGGATAGTTTACATACAGGTTTTTATGCATAGGTTTGGCCGCTCAAGAAAATGATTGCCTAGATCGTATGGAACGGAAATTAAAAAAATCAGTTGCATCAGCCGCAGATGTCGAAGAACTATCAGGTCGGAAGAGCTATGTAAATAATTTTGTGTGTGAATTTTATTTAACATTTTGTTTTTATTTTATTTCAGAGGATCTCGATGTATGTCTATATTCCTTCCTTATTCCTATCAAAAATGTTCGCATGATATTAATTATTTTAGGATATCGAGTACATGGGAGGGCAGCAAGAAGCACAGCTGGCAAAACTCCAAGATATCAGTCGACAGATGGTCGAAAAATCCGTATTGTCAAATTTTATTCAAGCTGATATTGCACAAGTCACCACGCGCTATTCTCAGCTAAAGCAACAGGTATATTTGTATGAAATTTGCATTGCCTGAATTGATAGCATCACGAATTACAACAGTGATTGCTTTTTATTGTTATAATTATTATTATAAAACTAACAATCACTTTGATTTAAATTTGTTTGCAATTTATTTTTAATATGCTCGCTGGTTTGCTTGCACTGGAATGTCTTGACACAACCTAATAACAAAACTAGGCCGAAGAAAGAACAGTCTACTTACGGTCTGAAATGTCGGTTGCTGAAAAATGGGAGATAGAAATTCAAGAGCTATGTGATGTTTTGGAATGTTCGGATAAAATATTGTCTGCAAGGCTTGAGGCAAGGCTTGAGCACGATCTCGCCCCAGATGATATCCCTAATGACACCCAGGTACATGTCCAAATGCAAAAAATACTGCATACGTATGTAGCAAATCATGTTCAGATTGTCTTAATGATCTGTTTTCGTCTTTATTTGCTCTAACTATTTGTAATTTTATCAATTTGTCTGTCTGTCTTTGCGTTTTGTTACTAATGTAATAATATGTTATTCAAATTTGTACTTATTTTATACACCTTTGTAGCAACTATCTGACGAACTAGCTAAACAAGAAAAGCTTTTGGAAAACATGGCGAATCAAGTTGAAACATATAAAAAGGCTGGGAAGTTAGAGGTATGTTCACCATAATTTCTACCAATTTTGGGTTTGTTACCCATCTCATGAGTATATTGTTTTTCTTGATATTCCATAGGCTGCTGCTCGGTTAGAAGAACAAAGAGATTTACTCGAGGTACATTATGCACCTACATAAACTCGTATTTTTATGGCTTAGATCTTTCCAATAAAGTTACTGTTTTTATTACTAGGGACGCTTTAATGAAGTACAATCAAAGTTCACACAGTTCTCATCACCTCCTCCAGAATCAAAAATTCTACCACGAATTGAAAGAATATGGCGATCTCTTCGTCAAGTTGAGCAAAAACTATGCTTCTTGGAATTGTCATCAGATGAGCCAGAATCCATCCAGAGTCAACTTAATCAATCAATTGTATGTTTATTTGACAACACTTATAATTAATCTATAAAAATATTTGCATACATATTTATGTTGTCATTAAAATGATTATTTTGCATTTCAGAGGGAATACGCAGTTCTTAGTGAATTGAAGAAAGAAGTTGAACACGTTCTACGGGAAGGGAGACGTCAGGTCGAGGACAAAAAGGCCGACACAAAGCTTAACACTGGTATAATGTACTTAATAAAATTCACTTCTTTATATAAATTGCAATTAAAATTAATTTACAGAATTGGACGCCATGAAAGCATTATACAATAAGGTACAAAATGTTTTTTTAGAGATTAGCAAAACATGGAGTGCGTATTAAATAATCTACTTTTTATTTTATTATAGTTGGGAATGCAAATCGCTTCCATCCGAGGATCTTTAGAAAAGGGGATCACAATTAGTTCCAGTATGACAGAGCAGATGCAGTCTTTGGAATTTTGGCTTCAAGGTACCATGATTGTTTTGTTACAACTCATTAATTTATGCTACAAATTTATTCCATTATTTAAAAGTTGTATTATTCGCAGAAAGCGAAACTCAAATTGAGGAGGGATTTCCAGATAATGAGAATGAAATTGAATTTTTGAGGGTAAGTACTTATGCATTTTTTTACTCTAAATATATATTTTAATTCCCTTCTGTGATGTCTTTCGTACGTTGTGTACATTAACTTATACTCTTACTTGCTATTATAATTCTTGCGCCTATCGTACATAGGGAATCGGTGAGTTACATTTTATTAGAAGCACAATTTTCTATCGCACTTGTAATTATCTAGTTTCTATTTAAAATCTGTAATTTTTCAAAGTTTGTTTGACTTGATTTGAAAATTTTGGTTGATAGTTGATTTCATAATTTTAGGGTCGCGTTGAGGAGATGCCGAGGTGGCAAAAAATTATCGAAGAATTTGAGAAGAATTATGAAAATTTCCTAAAATTAGTGGATCCTGTGTTGCTGGACTCGCTAAAAGAACGACGTGCAATAATATTGGCAAGATGGAACGGCCTCAGTAACGACATGGTACAAAAACATAAGGCAAATATACCAGAGGACAAAATTCCAGAACTTGAAGCTGCACATGAAAAAGTTGTCGATGATCTCAAAGACTGGTTGGAGAAGGCTGAACATTTTTTGAATCGAATGACGGCTGACAACGTCTTATTTTCGGATGAGGAAATTCTAGAGTTGCAAGTACGACGTTTATTATATTTTTATTAATCGACTATGTATGCACATGTATAACTTATAACTACTATTGTCGTGTTTCATTCAGGCTCTGAATGAAGATCTAACAGAAAGAAGTGATAAACTAGACAGCTTAAGAGATAAATCAATCGACTTAATTGTTGCAACAGGCGATCCTTTTAGCGTTCAAAATCCCCAGAATTTAGTGATTCAGAAATTATCACATCGCTTAGAGTCAATTGGTGTTCAGCTACAGGTACTTCGTTAGTTTATACAATTTTATTTCCAGTGCTTTCACTTATGTGATATGCACAAATGTATGTAAAACCTATTTGATGTCAAGCGCACGTTCATGTTTTGTTTAACTTTCTTCAACCATGTATGTAAATAATTTCCTACAAATTTATATGTGCTTACAGAATCTTAGTTCCTGCATTGTCCTTGATGATGACTCAGCTGACGAAACACCTGCTGTCAGTACCGCTAGCGCTACTAAACAATCCAATTTTACCGCATTTACGTCTGATTCTAATTTAACAAATCTGGCTTCTCCTGGCAATAATTACACAAATTCATTTTCTGCAAGTGGAATTTGCAATCCAGGATTTAATTTCGAAGATGATGAAAACGAGGGCGATAAGGATGATCACCCAAGAATTCCTGCTGCTGCTACAGCTCGAGGAGAAGGCTTACTTTTTGATTGTGAATCGACAAGTGAAACAACTCCAGTAAGCCATTCCTCGGACATCCGTCATCATTCCAACTCCGTCAAGCCTCCCAGAAATTCTAGTGTAAAAAGTGATAATACTACTACAATATCAGAAGGATCGTCATCCAAACCGAGAACAACCAAACAATCCCAAGCTGACGATGGCAATGATACAGATGAAGATGCAGCATCTCTGTCAATTTCTACCGTCTCCGAAGCTTCAACCGTAGTTCCTGGAGAATCTTTTCAACTAGTCGATCGTCCTGCTCCTCCTCCTGTCCCAGAAAAGAAGAATCGTAAATCTGTGAAGAGCAATAATAACGCGTCTTCTCTGGTAAGTCAGCAACCTATGAGGAGAAGAGCTTCTGTGAAATCGCAGTCTAAACTTTGTGGGGAAGGAAATGTCAGAATTGTAGAGATAAAATCAAGAGACGTAGTCCAAGGAATTTTGAAAATGGAACCAAAATTAGCGTCTTTGAGTGGCAGAGATCATGTTGCTATTGTAAAAGTGCCTGTTGCTTCTTCGTCACATAATCTGCATAAACAGAAAGCTCGCCAGCAAGCTTCAAATAATTGTGCGGGGTCAGGTTCAAGTCATGAAAGCAGAGACGGGAATGCTATCAATAAGGTTCGGATGTTGTTGATATCATCAAGTTTTTTTGAGATAGAGATACTGTTTGGTCCTGCTTGTTTCTTTTTTCTTATACACATACATACATACTTGTGTATATAAGATTTAGAGTGCATTTATTGTCCTTGCTTTGACTGCAAGTGAACTGAACCCCGACTTCTGCTTAGTTTTGTTTGGGTTCTTATCTAGCCAACATAATTCTCGTTGGTGTAAAAAAAACTTCAACAAAATGAATGTTCTATTCTATTGTGTTTGTGTGTAGTGAATACAAATAATGTGCGAGTCTGTATTTATAATGCAAATTTTGACATTTGATTTTTTGGTTTACATACAACTATATGGTCCTTGCACTAATCACTAATTATTTCTATCTAACAACTACAATAGGCGCTTACCTCTGGTCCAACTGTGCAAGAGAATGATAATAGACCCCCAAGCCTCTCTGTGGAACCCTCAGCGTTTGCTAGGATCGCCAAAACATTTACAGGAAGCAATGGGGATTCTACAAAAGACAAAGATCTACTCGGTTTTCAAAAGGAAGGCGAATCCATATCTAGCACTATGGCACGAATGGCCAGAAAGTTAGAAGAGATTGAAGAGGACGAATGTCCCAGGAAAAGAGTTGATGCAAGTTTTAAATTGACATTGTGTCATTGTAATTTGACTCATAAAGTATAATTGCTAAATTGGTATTATCTCTACAGGCCTTGGAAGTAGAGTTGAACGCAGTTGAACCTGAAGTTGCTCTAACAATTAGGTAAATAGGCATTTTAAGAATATATTTTAAGAATGTACCACAAGCAACCGCAATACGAAATTGATTAAAATGAATGTTTTCCTTTTGGTCCATTTAGCAAAGGAGATTCTCTAGTCTTTAAAATTTCAAAAATTGACGTTAAAAAAGCTAATCAAATTCGATCTGCGTTAGATCTGTTAAGGTCGGATTGGTTACAACTGAAAAGTCGTGCAGAGAGCCAAAAATTATTAGCTTTGAGATTGGAAACTAGTCAACTCGGTAAAATACATTAAAATTTACTAATCATTTATTATAAATATAATGGGTAGTTAATATTTATTAATTCTTGTGTAATTTTTAGAATGCCAGTCAATACTTCAACAGTTGGATGAATGGGTTTCTGATGCTATGCAGAATCCTAATAAAGATTCTCGGGTATGAAATCGAAATATTCTTTACCATACATAAGTTCACCATGTTGAATTGTTTTTGTTTTCTAAAAAGGCCGTGCAAGATGAATTTACAAAGAAAGCCGTGGAATATCGTATATTGAAGAAAAAGTTTGGGGATCTGAAGAAGCGAAATGTCGTTGGACTGGCTCCAGAAATGAATGAATTTGAAAACCATTGGCTAGAGTTACAAAATGCTATGGAGGTTGCAAAACCAAAGAAACTTACTCAACAGCAACCTAAACAAGGCGCCAGAGAGGATAGTTGTCCACCAATTGTGAAACCTAAGCCCATTTCTTTAGTGAAAAAGGATACTGGTATCCAATCTACAGACTTTGTCATGAAAACAAATAAGTTGAGGGAACAAATTGCAACTATTACAAGAGCATTAGGTTCTGCGGAAGACTTGATTGTAAGGTTGACATAATTTATATTATTACAGTTATTTATTGTCACATGATATGAATTGCTTCATAATTTCAGCGAGTTAAACAAGATCTGGATACAATTAGTCCAAAAGTACTCGAATTAGAAGACCAATTCGAAACGGGGATGCGAGGAACGCCAGATCAAGTAACGCAAGGACATCGAGTGCTATCAGGTAAAGCAGTCATAGAGAGCGACTGTCTCACTGTGATACTGACTACCAAAAATTCAAACTGCACCAAACGAAATTTAGCCGTGCACATGTTTAGTCACTAGTCAACAGTCGAAGTGAGATAGTCTCTCTCTAAATTATATTTCTAAAGTAGTTAAAATAACCGGTGCTATTATAAAATGGAAGTTTCAAGTCAAAGTAGTAAGTCTACTGTGGACAATAAGTTAAAGTGTTCAGTCTGCGGAAAAAAATATGCGAAAAACTGTAATTTAAAAAGACATTTTGAGTCAGTTCATTCAGAAACGCATCGTTTCCAATGTAGGAATTGTGAAGTGTATTTTTCGGAAAACGCTACACTACAAAAACATTTAAATCGTCAAATCTGTGTAATTAAGAAGGACAAGAAACTGATGGACATTACGTATGATTGTAAAGTGTGCAAAAAAAAGTTTGGTGCTCAGCATGTCCTCAATTTACATATCAAGCAAAACCACCCTGAAAACTATTATAAATATAACTGTAGTCAATGTGATCTTATGTTTAGCTCGAAACAAGGTCTCTATGGCCATGTGGATACCATTCACAATAACAATAAAGCCAAGTGTTTAATTTGTGGATTGGAATGCTACGACAAATATAAATTAAATAGACATATCGAAAATGTCCATTCACCAAATGCTATGAAAAAGAGGGATGACAAATTAGCAGCAAGGTCTGAAGCAGAGTTAAACAGGGAAGTCTATCGCAAGTTGAAGTCAGATCCCGGTCACATTCTAGTCAAGTCAACAGTTGATCCCAGTGAACACTATTATTTAAAATTAAATAAGAAACAACGAGAACGGGTCAACAATCAGAAAATGTTAAAACCCATCGTGAAGGAACCAGTCATAGGCCAGCATCATATCAAAGGTTGGGGATACACTTCTGAGGGAAACGAGTGTCCCATCAATTACGTCAAGTTGACAGATGAACAAAGAAGTAAGTAGTTGTAACTATTCTATCAATCATCTCTCACAAATGTTATCCTCAATGTCAGTGCCGTTCACAATAAAAATTTATTTTCTCCTCCACACAGGAAGTTCACGCCAAGTTTATGGATATGTGTGGCGTGACGGTAAAACTTTCGAGATTCTGGAGGTGTATTATGGGATGACGTGTGATACAGCTATCAACGGAGCAATTGCTAAGTGGACTACGATTAAAGCTTCGACAGACAAAGGTTGTTCAGACAGGTATAAAAAATGTCGATTTAATACTATGCACTATTTGTTACCAAGCAATTTAAGTAATCATTTTACACTTACATGTAGACGGATGTATGACGCCGGTCATTTTTTTGTCCTGAAGAGGCGTTTTTGATTGAGGGGATGGTTGGACATCAAAAATGGGTGGTAGGACAACTCAAGTGGTTAACTAGGAACGAGGCCGGAGGAATTTGTTCTGTCAACCCCAAAGAGTGCTACAAATGGCTGGAAAACTATATGGGACAAATTAGAGAGGCGTTGACCAGAGCCAACCACTTGTGGCTTGATCATCCCGACCCAAACATCCCAACCTCGGATTCCCAGAAAACTGCTAAGGCGCAAGACCACGACCTCGAGGATGAAAACAAGACGCTTAAAGCATTACTTTCAGTGCGAGAAACACGAATTGAACAACTTGAATCCGATATGGTAATGTTGAAGACTCAGTTTCAACGAGATATTCAAGCCAAGGAAGATAGTTTCGAAGAGGAACGTAAAACCCTTCTTCAACAATTGCGCGATACAGAGACAAAGTTGGAGAATGAACGCGAAAACAAAGTCGCTGTTGGCAAAGACCGAAAAAAAGGCGTCTCCTTATTATCCACTTCTCCTAGTAGTATACGCCTCGGAATATCCAAGACACAGCGTCCGATCAATCCGTTCCACCCATATCGTCGCTCCAATAATAAAATTAATAATTAAATTACCGACCATTTTGTACATATTTAGGATAGTTAATTTAATAGTTATGTTGGTAAAGCAGTCTAGGATAGTACGAAACTGAAAACATACAAACATACATTATTCTTATCATTATTTAGGGAAGAGTCTATCAAAAATGTTGGACGAATGGTCTACTCTGAGTATCACTGTTGGCCAACTTCTTCTGAGATCACCTCCAAGTAAAAGTCCAAGTCCAGGTCCCATGTTTTCTCCCGTTCCACAAACAACGGACATTTTAGATTTAGAGTCTTGGCTTGACGAAATTGAAGTAAAATTGAAAAGTCTAAAGGATACCGCAATTGAAGGATCAGAGGAAGCTAAAGAAAGTCTTAAAGCTATTGAATCTCAAGTTTCCAAACGCCACAGGTTTTTCTTCTACCTTCACAATATTATTGACTACTATGAAAAATCCTATGATTTCTATAATTTTTATTAATTATAGGAGTGTTATGTTGTTAATGAGCAAGAAATCTCGGCTCAGCCCCGCTTATGATGACTCAACTAAAAAGATAGAATGCATTGGTACACGATGGAGAAATCTTTTAGCTGAAATGACAATGAGACGAGACAGGTACATGCATCATGCTGATACAATTTCGAAATTTTTACTGATTGATATATCGTAAATAATTTACTTTCGTAGAATTTGTGGCGAAACTGGAGTTCATAGAATAACTGGGGGCAAATGGTGGGAGCCTCATGTCGTTCTCAGAGATTGGATTCGTCGAGCTACAGAAGCGTTAGATGCTCCTGTTAAACTTGCCGATGAACCTTTTCTAAGAAACTCTTTGTCAAATCTAAAGGTATGTACATACTACATACACAACATCATTCCAATTGACAATCTATTTATATATGCAGCTAGTAATAAGATGAAATTATGAATTTTGATTCAGATTTTGGAACATGAAATTATGGGCAAGAAACCAGACTTGGAAAAATTACGGCAAAGCAAACATCATTATGTCACTGAAGAGGAGATACAAAGCTTTGCTGTTGAGATTGCTAAAGTAATAGCATCAAGCAAATATTAACATATGACGTTCTTGCTTGTGTATATGTCACGTAATATGGTATCCAATAATTATAGCTGGCTGACGAGCTGCCAAAGAGAAGGAAATTGGTTGAATGTAAGCTGATGAATTTACGAAAGCTAACTTCCCACTTGGATACCACAGCTTCGTGGGTTCTGGAAGTGAGAGCTCAGGTCGCAACTGCTAAGCATCGACCCCCACAAGAAAAATCAGCCGCTATAGAAAACATTATGGTAACTAACAATAATAACTTAATGAAAGACGAGTACCATTATTGCCATATCCTTTATGCTCAGATTCGTATGGAGGACAAAGAAAACGAAGTAATTGACGTCATTCGCAATTACATCAATTTGGAGAAGGAATGTGAAGCTTCTGGTCAATGCATGACACCAGTTATGCAGGCAAGTTGCTTTCCCTTTTCTTCAAGTTCTACCATTTCATCCATCCATTTTTCTCTTTCATCATAACAACATCTATCCTCTTCTTGTCGCAGGAAAAGGTCCGACAGCTGAAGGAAGATTGGGTCTACATTAAATCCAGAGGCGAGATTCACACTTTAACTCCAGAAGGCGAAGCAAAGTTTTTCGATATTGTTGTTACAACTGTTGTCCCAACCACCACATTAACCGATCAGCCAGGTTCGTATATTTTCATCATGGCAATTTGTAATTCATAGCATACATTGTAGTATGGCGGTGGCCATGTTTATTCTATATTTTCATACTCCTCACGCTACCGTTTATTCATTCATAGTAGACCACCACTACCACCTCTGTAATTATTATTTAATGCACAGCAAAATCCTAAAACTAAATGGTCAAGTTTAAGCAGATGGTACCGCATAGATTTAGCAAGACGACGACTACTTGCTTCGAAAGCAAGTCTCACAATGAAGGACTGAAAGTTTTCCCATTTACGTTTCATTGTAGTTTCGTATCCAAGAGTGGTAGAAGACGAAGAAAGTGAAAACAGAGTGCAAACTCAGAATTCTAGTAGAGAGAAAAGTGCTTCAACACAAGCAAAACCATGGAGTAAAAGCAAGCAGGGCATTTCCTTCTTTCTCAGGCCAAAGTGTACACATATTTACCAGGTCTTGCTCTACAACTACTCCCCATTTTGCTATCCTTCGTTCGTTCATTCCCTGGTTCGTTCCAGCAGTAGTGGAGTAAGAGCAAGAGAAGAAGAAGATGAATACTACACACAACTCCCATCACCCTACAGTTGCACAGATAAGGTTGTAGTACAACATTAAGAAACGGTGAAAACTCATGCGCTACGCTGTATCGATTGGTTTGGTTGGTAGAGTGGAGAATACCCGAATACCCGGTTTCATAGGCAGGAGAAAGCAGTCTTTCTTTTAGGATATTAGCCCTTATGTTATTATGAGGCAGTTTATAAGCATTGTATATGCTTTACATCTACATCCTTCTCCTCTTCTATGCTCAGCACAGAGGCTCTGTATTTTTCCTGTTTTCCTATTCAGAATCCCTCTTTTCACCCTAGAACTGACTGATAAAACTATCTAGCTCTGGAAACTTGACATTATTTTAATTCGTACGTGACATATCGCTCCTTGCATTTATATAAAATGAAAGACATTTCTTTCTTTGGCAATATTCAACTTGAAAGTGCAAGTTGTCCCTTAGAATTGGTGCATTTTTTAATAATATAATTATACACACTGTGTATTACACTACACAGTGGTGAGATTCAAAATTATCACAATAAATCAGGCTGGGAAATAGCAGATATAAGTCTGATTTGGTGAGTTTCTTGAATTACTATGCATTAATTATACATTGGGGAAAGTTGTGCAATATCTTAATGAATTATTCGTGGTACTATTAATAGAACTGGCATTTTAAATCATTTTATATTTATATTTCAACCCTGAAAATGTATTTTCAACTGTGTTTTTGTCTGCTTACAGAGTATCAGAAAGTCGTCACAAAGGCTGAAATAGTTACGCTGCCATCGGAAGGATTTTCTGCAGGAATCGAGGAAGATTTTATCCAAACACATCACGACTTTGATTATAGCAGTTTAGATGCCGGACAATTGGAATTAGTACAAGAGGTGATAAACATTGTTGCATATCAGTACATGTATGTATGCATGTATGCATGCATGATTGCATTATTAATTCTTGAATTTCCTAAAATTACAGATTGATACTTTTGATGATTCAATGACGCTCAACCTTAAATCAATCAAGCAGCAATCGGTGGTTGTTGGGGATGTTGATAATGTTAGATGTGTTTTAGAAAAACAAAGAGTAAGTTTCATAGGATATGTTATATGCATAATCCCAAATTGGATTAAGTATATAATTTGTTATTTATAATTTATTTCAGACGGTGCTGAGAGAATTGGAACTGAAAAAGCCCCAGTTGGAGGAACTTCTTCAGACTGCAGAAAATTTAAAATCCGAAACAAATCGTCATAATTTACACGGGAAAGGTATTGGCGATGCATATAAGTTAACAAACGTCTCATATATGGTAATATGGTTTATAATTTCACTAATTGATTGATTATTTTATAGTTAACAAGCTTAGAGAACACTGGTTAGAAACAAATCATGCGGTTGTGAGTCGTATAACCTTATTGGAAGAATGCCTTTCGGATTCGATAAGATGGGAATCACAATTAAGAGACGCAGACGCGTGGATGGGCAAGGTACCTAAATAACTGCTAAATATGAGTAGTTTTTGACGTTAGTCATGTTGAATGATACAAAATATATTATATTTTACAGATGGAGGCCCGGATAGCTGCAGTATTCAATACACACATGGGCGAACATTCTGATAATTTTATGAAGGATCAAAAGGTATTATTCCGTTATACCGAAAATTCAGATTAAGATCTTGTAAAAATTGTATATTATTTGTTGTTTAATCTAGAATCTACATCTCGAGTTACATCAGTACAAAAAACAAATCGAAAACTTTCAACATCATACGCAACAATTAATTTCCACATATCAACAAGATGATACGACTCGTATTAAAAGAGCAACGGAACAAGTCAAGGCAAGCAGACTTGAAGAATATTTATTCATAATTATTTTATCTAATCGCCAATCCCTTAATATTATTTATAACATATGTCGCACTTTAATTTTTAATCATTTAACGATTTCAAATTTTTCTCGCAATAGAATCGGTACGCTCACATGAACAATAGGTAAAAGATCAGAGATTACATGATTTGTTTTACTGGATTCTTCTCACGATTTTATGTTGTTAGTGTGGTCTCTCGTGGACGTGCTTTAGCAGCTCAGGCGACCAATTCCACAATCGATAGACAATTGGAAGCCAAGTTAGCTTGGATTGCTGAGTGTGAAAGATCTCTTGACGCTTTAGAGAATGAAGCACACCGGTTTGGATCGAATCCTCAACGGGACTCTACCGGAAACACACTTCAGCGATTAAAGGTATGTCAAAATTATTTATTTTTTAAAACTACACTATACGGAGTCATCGTTCGTAAAAAATCAGATTGGAAAATCAATGTAAATCAATGATAGGTTGGTTTACATTGCGAAATGCATATAAATAAATGATAGCGCTATCATAACATTTAAGTGAAATTATGTATAATTGTTTCTGGTATGAATGCATAGGTCAGTCATTTGGGCCAAGTGCAAACTAGATAAGTACGTATGTACATAAGTTGAGCCTAAACTGAGTGTTGGTCAGTCTTTTAACGCTTTCTTTAAGCTTCCGTTCTTTACCACGTATACTCCACAATTTGGTGGTGTGTGTGTGGTAACAAAACTCATTTGTATCGTCATGTACTGGTTGTAAAACTAAATGATCTTTACGTCTTGTGAAATGTCACTAGCTTACTATTTTCACTTCAAGGGTTGGGTGAAAGAGCTAGTACAGCATTTAACTGCCAATAAAGTTAACGATAAGCCTGTTGACCGAGTCATTTCCAACCGTAATTTCCATCACCTATTGCACCTTTAGTATCAGTATTGGAAAGAAAGACAGAGAAAGACTGGGTGTTTTTTTTAGACTTTTTGTCAAGAAGTTTTCCCTCGTCGCGAAAGGTGCAACACGATTTGTGACGTGATAAAGGTAATGGAACATAAATTTGGTGGACGCAAAGGCAAGAATTGCTGTAATTGCTAATGTTTTATTGGTATTTTATAATCTACATTAAGGGTAATTGATGTCTAAAAAGCACTTGATTTAGTGGCTAGATTCTTACACACTAGTCCAAATACATATAATACACAATATGCGGTGGTGCACTAATCCTAAGTACGTAAAACTTAACGTCCATGCAATGTCATGTTTTATAAACTGGTTGCATTACTGTGTATTACAATCGGAAGCATTTTTGTGGTTTTTGAACGATTATATAGCCAGCCACCAAGTTACGTTTCCCGAACAAGAAATTGACCAGATCCAAACTCATTTCGTTAAAAGTAGGGGGAGAAATCATATCGTCTTCAGAGTTGATCCCGTGGTGTAAAAACAAGAAATATGATGATTTCAAGTCAAAGCTGAAGTGCTAAAGAATGTCGAGTGGGTTAGATAAGATTCTCAAACTGTTTTTAGGCGTCCTTCCTCCATAAGCACGTTGCAGTGATTTTTCAGAACTTGGCTTCTTCTCTAATAGATATTGCTCCACTCCTTGACTCACAATAATAAGAGCAGTTCATTCAATGGTGTCTTATTGTATATGAAAAGGTGATGGTTGCTGCCATACGAACTTTTAGACAGGAAGCTGATCTTAAATCTTAGCTTACTTAACTTAACCCTTTTTTATCCATTACTCGCACAGTGCATGTATTATTGGTTGATCATGTGCCGTTTTTTACTTATGTGCAAGCATTACAATTCACTCACTCACACTGCTGCGTAGAGAATAAAAACATCTCATACTCGACCAAAAGTTGTGACTGCGATGCACTCAAGTTTGAGCATTTGTTGGAGGAATGAAACAAAGTGTGTGTATAGGGATAAATGAGGCGGATTTGGGTTATAAAGTGTCTGCAGTTCATAGGTTAGAGTTTTCGAGTTTAGTAAAATTCTTGCGGATTCTTACGTTCTTCTTGTGATCCGAGTGGTGATGTTTCTCATTCGCAGCAGCAGCAGCAGCATCACATCACCCAAAAAGCAGAGAGTCGCCGTGTCGTGGTAAACTAAAAGCTCAAGTCACAGGAAAGGACAACCGAAAGGAAAGCAGAAGCAGCGTTGACGGTGTTACCTTCACTCACTTGCACTTTACTTGCTTCCATACACCCACATACACACACTTTCTTTTCATTCTCATTCCTGTGCCCAGTTCCTGGTCCAGTGTTGTTTTGTCGTCTTGACATGGACAACCACAAATAGGATCGAAATTGGAATAAAATTCAAGTTTTCTAGTCCATTCTGGAAACAAGTTTGGGGTTCAATCAAAGTAGAGTAGCAGCTCTCTGCTGGAAACAGGAGTTGGTTTCGTGGTGAAAGTTTTTTTCAGCAAGTATACATATTTGTACTCTGGTGAAAACTGGAATCAATTTCATTTCATAATCGAGCAGATCGTGGCGTGGTGACCGTGCACAGATTGGCCGTGTAAACTTTCTCTTTTAACCGACCGGACTAAAGACAAATCTCGGATTGGAAAATTTTACGTATTGCGTGAACCAGTGTCATGGTTGACTATTTGGAGAAAGAATAAATCAAACCAATGTTCATCATATTGAGGAAAAAAGAGACGATCTAGATCTACAAATTGAATTCGTGATTATGTGGTGACATATATGCATGTATGTAGGTCGTGTTTTGTTTACCCTGGTGGTAGTGTCTGCTAGATTTAGGTTTTAACAAGTAGGATTAGAGAGTAATTTTATGACCCATGTGGGTTGTACATATAAAAGAGGACATGTGATTAGCGAAAAAGCTCACGTACAGCAGGTTTTTGGGGCATCTCGATACATACTTTCACCCCTTTCTCCCCATTTGTTGACTTTGCTTTTTCGAGCTGTGACGTGCTCAGACAGAGAAGAATTTGTGAGATACAGTTACATGACTAGTGAAGTGACCAAAGTGATGTTATTGTATATATAACTGACTTATAGACTACGTGGAATCTTGTTGCAAAACTTTCTCCACTATTTCTTGAGTGACATTCTTCTTGTCCAACTGCTGTTGTTATGTTTCCCATTGTTCTTTCTTCTCACTATAATAATCAAGTTGGATATCTCTGTGCTGATTGTGTGTCTCAAATTGAGTAGTTAATAATTCAATAGTGCTGTGGTGTAGCATCATAGCAGGAGTACTGCTTTGGCAAGTAGTGCAGCAGATACAGTGTCGAATGTATGTTGAATACCTTGCGCTGCTGGTGATGTTTCTAGTGCAAGTGGCAAAGTCAAAAGTTTATGAGGCCATAAATGTAATGCATATTCATTCGTCATACTAGTGAAGGCATAGGAGTAGCCCCAGCATTTTGAAGGATACGGATGGATGAGGTGGTTATATAGGAAGTGATCTTCTCATCCTGCAATATGTGCATATACGATAATACGCCACACACATATTTACTATGCACAAGGCCACAGTTTTAAATATCATCTCAACAACAAGGGAAAACTATGGTGGATGTATTTTCGCATAATAGTAGTTGATGATCCTAGTTCATCTGAAACATTGCTCTACTACTGAGATTATTGAAAGCAATTTTGACAGTGTTGATTGCACCTTCTTCAATATTCAAGCTGATAACTTGTTCTGTAAAAGATCTGAATTTTGTATCCGTCCCGAATGAAATGTTACCCTGTGATCGTGATAGTTTATCGCTAAACGTTTCGAGAAGTTCGTCTGTGAAATTTCGTCCGAGTAGCGGTGGTGGTGGGTTTTCTTGCAGTAGTAATGGCTCCAGTTTTGAGCCATCCAATTATACAGATCACCGTAATCGGGAAAGAAGTAGTGGCAGGCGAGTCAGTGACGTGGGAATCGAAAATGATGAAACGAGAGGAAGGACAGGAGTTCAAATGCTGCCGTCATCTCGGAGTGATTATCAGTTATTTACTGGAAGAAAACCCAGGCCGTTATCTCTTCCGCCGGGTGGACTTGTTCGTTACAGTTCACCTCAAAGGAACCGTGAAATTGGGGAACATAGAAATGGTCATCTTGAGAGAAATAAAATCACTTCATCTTCTTCCTGCAATGGCATAAATGGTGGTGGCGCAATTGTTGGCAGTGGCAATAATTATGTATCCCGGAAGTCATCGCTTCCTTCCTCTGCATACACTCGGATGTTCCCAATTAGCTATTCAACCCCTGGATTGTCAGACCCTGAACTCACTTGTAGCAGAAGTAATGACAATATTAGTCCCTATACGAATTCGAGAAGTCTATCAAAAGCAACAGATTATGCTAGTTTACGATATCAAGAGGGTGGCACTGTGATGAATAAAAATGGAAATGGATATGCTAAACTACCCGGGATCGGATTGCACCAGTCGGCCACAGACACTAATTTATACAAGTCGACGCAATGTCCAAGATATTCCTTCCACAACCTTCCCGTCGATATTAAAACTAATGGGGGTGGTTCCATTTCAAATGGTGGAGTCGATTTCGAAAATAAAACGATAAATTTTGGAAAGAAAGCCCAGCTCAGGGAATATCAGACTTCGAGTGAAAGTGATTTTAAACAGTTGCAGAGATACGGGAGTTTAAAACTGAGAAAAGGTCGTGGGAGTAATAATAATGGTGAGAGGGCGACGATGGGAATGACCATGTCCAAAAGTTTCACTAATGGTGGAATGGCTAGTAATAATGGTGCTGCGACGTGGGGAGACGTTAGTAATACCTTGCCTCGATCTGGGAAACAAAAGAGTGAAGAACATGTAGCTCTATTTTATGACATCTTATCTACACAAGAAAGATTTGTGCAGGTTGGCATTAATTAATTTTTTTTTCTTCGTCAACACTTGTACCATGAGTATTTTTTCATATCCATGTATGTATTACCTATATTTTAAGAAAACAACAAAATTCTGGACCATGGATCTTGAAGGATTTTGTTTTATGTGTGTTGTTTAGGTTGGCATTTTTGTATAAGCCTAAAGAACAAGGTTTGGTTGACTTGAGTTAAAAGGTTGTACGTGGCGTATGTATAACATTTTGTATAACATGATGTTCAGTCAGGTCCGACTTTTATGTATGTAAAGAGAAAGCTACTCGCTCCGCTTTTCCTTTTGACCAAGCCCAGAATGATGGATCAGTAATAACACAGTTTAGACAGGGGATTTAGGAGCATGTATGTACATGTGTGACCGTAAGGAAAAGGGTATTTTTGGACTAATGCAATCTAGCAAAAATGCAATACTTTAGGTTTCGTTGGCTTCGACTTTGTTAACCACGCGAGAAAAGCTTGTATCGAGCTATTCTTTGGCATCTCTCTCTCTCTCTGAGGTTACTTTAGCCTTTG